CGAATATGAAACTTTTTTTTACAAAGTTGATTTACGATTCTATTTTGTTAATTCATTTACGAATTTAAAAAAAAATTGAATTACCCTGATTATTATTATTGTTAATTAGGGTTCGAGTATAATTAAAGGAATTTGAATTTTTGAAGTTATCTGAATAATAAGAATCCTTTTTATATTTTATTTGCTGATTATTTTTTATCAGGCTTTGTCACATTTTCGGTTATTTCTAATTAAAGAAATTGAAATTTTTGAAGTTATCTGAATAATAAGAATCCTTTTTCTAATTTTATTCACTAAAGGATTGACGATATTCCAGTGATTCTTCTTCGGCATCTGAAACAAAAAGCAAATCTTTAAAATTAGTAATAATTTTTTAATACCTTTAATTAGAAATTGTTAGAAATTTATCAATCCCAAAGAACTATTAAAATTCTCAAATGTTACTAATTCCCAAAGAAAATTGTTTTTTTACTATCTTTATTCAACTGAAAAATATTCTCCACCCTATCACCATTAAAGAATCTTGTTATTCCATTGCAGAAATACTTTCAAATAAAATCCATAATGGTTGTATATGTACCGTTAGACTTAACCTCTCCCATAGCATATATATATAGATTCCAATTTGAAAAATCCAAACATGAAATGAATTTCAATACAAAGAAAATTTATAATTCTAATAACGTTTAGAAAAACTAGCATTTAATTTGAATTTCTAAATTTTTTGTTATTCTAATTTTTCCGCTCCATGAACGATAATTCCTGGTGCAAAATTTGAATATAAGATGATCTTGAATTCGTGACACGATGGAAAATAATTCTTTTCTTTAGCGAACAAGAAAGAGAGAGAGAGAGAGAGATGAACGCATAAATTTTCCTACTCTGTAAATAACTCTTTGCGCATATAGTGTCCATACGTTCTTTTGTACGCGTCCTTGCATATACATATATTCTAACCTAATAAGTACCATTGCGCACGTAATCATTGGCTGTAATAAGAAAGGATCGTCAAACATCGTCGTCACTATATAGTGCCATTGTTTGCGAAACATAAGAATATGCGTAAAGGGGTGTATTTCTCATTCAAATTATCCTCAACTCGAATGATTAGTTATGAAACGGAAATTTTCATTACGACTCTAAATATACTTTTAAACTTCCAAGAAATTTATTTCAAAACGTTTCCATGTAAACATCATTTTTAATCCTAACATATTCTCAAAATATTCCTATTCCTAAAATCCTAAACATCCCAGTAGTCCTAAAATGATTCCTCAATTTTTAAATCATATTTTTAGAACAAAAACATACTTCTGGCACTAACCTACAAAGGATATAAAATTTTAACCATAAAAATGTTCATAGAACGTTTTATATATATAAATTGTGACAAGAAGTCTTAAATGTTATTTAAAAAAGAAAAATTTCTCGTCCATTAAAAAGTCGTAAATTATCATTTAAACAGACATGTGTAAATACATTCTGCGAGAAAGTTCTTTAAACGAACGCGACGATTTTCTTTTTTTTTACAGTACATTAAAATCAAAAGCATTTAAAGTGATTTTATCAAAAAAAAATGTTCATCCTTTTATATTTATTTGAATTTTTCAATAATAGAACATAACCTGACCTCATTATAGGAGGTTATGAATGACAAAAGTTGTATAATAATAATTTATGTTCATATATATATATATGACATATTATATTATAAGCTTGCAATGTGCCGGAATCACGTGCTATATTTCTTACCACTTGAAAGAGCATGACCCACGAATCGTACAATTGCAATTTATAACTGCCCGCTGTCCCTCTCGTTATATGTCTCATGATTATATATTCGTTCGAATTTTATTTATATTAATGCGCATCCCCTGTCACCATATATATATATGCAAAAAATTGTCTATCCCCCAAGTCACGAAAAAAGAATATTTTTTTTCATTCGAATCCATTCCACGATGAAACGAATTGCAAAAATAACTTTTTTAATACGTGCATAAAAAAAGTCTCACTTTTGAAGCGTGGAAAAAGTGTAAAAAAAATCATATTTTATGGGAGACGATGTTACAAATACAAATAACTTTTAGTACTTTTATGAAACGCTAGTTACTTTTAGTGTTCTAAAGACAGTAAATTACGTCAAGAAGAGAAAGAAGATTACGGTAATTTACCGGTAAATTACCGGATCGTTTTTTCTCTGAGAATTTACGAGAATTTTTACTTGTACTTTTATCCTTGTCTGACACGTGCGTTGTCATGACAACGTGTATGACGAGGATAAAAGTACATACATATGTTCCTGACTGTATAATTATTATTATAATGAAAAATATCTTTGTTACAATATATAATATATATATTAATATATTAATATTGATATAATATTACATTATTATATTGAATCAGGTACATTTATATGCCTGCACTTTTATCCTTGTCTAACACACATGTTGCCATGACGACGCACGTGTTAGACAATGATAAAAGTGCAGGCATATATACCCGACTGTCATCTTGTCAGTAAGAACACAGAGAAAATTAGGGTGCAGTCCCATGGAGCAGATTAGCAGATTAGACGTTGACCAATAAAAAAACAGTCTCTAACGGAAATGCAAAATTTGCCGCGAGAGACTAACTTTTGATTGGCTGAAATCTATTCTGCTAATCTGCTCCATGGGACTGCACCCTTACAGTTTATTATATTCATGGTTCAAATTATTCATTTAATAACATGTCGGTCGTTTATTTATAACTTACATACTATAAAAATACATATTTAAATTAAAAAAAGGCAATTATCAATCACTTAAATGAATATTCTCATAAATTCTCTTTTTTTCGGTAATTTACCGCAATTTTCTTTCTTACATTCTCAGGTTTCAATTTTACCGAGAATTTTAAAACACTAGTTACTTTACTTCATACTAGTTTCTTTTTTGATAGGGTTATTTGACTAACGTGTAGTTATACAGTGCATCTGACATCTGTTAAGAGGTTATGTTTTCCATGCATCAAAAATGAGACTTTTTATTAAAACTTATTATGTAAAGTATGAAATGATACAAGTCGTTGAAAGTTGAATTTATAGAAAAGAGACGTCATTACGCCACTCATCTGTAAAACCCCACTTTCTCGAACTTGTATCATAAATTACTAATTATTTTTTATTAAAATGATCTAAACATGCAAAAAACTAAATCTACAACTATTACATGCGTCATGCAAATTTCCCTAATTAAAGAGAATGAAGTTATCTGAATAAAAAAAAATATTTTCGTAGTTTCTGTTCCCTGATTAATTATTATTATTGCTCTTCAGGGTTTGGTATATTTTCAGTTATTCCTAATTAAAGAAATTGAAATTTTTTGAAGTTATCTGAATAATAAAAATCCTTTTTATATTTTGTTTCCTGATTATTGTTTATCAGGCTTTGTCACATTTTCGCTTCTTCCTTCATAGAGGAATTACAAAATTTTTGAAGTTATCTGAATAATAAGAATCCTTTTTCTAATTTCCTTCTCTAGTTTGCGATTGGCCAAATCCCAATGATTCTCCTCCGGCATCTGAAACAAATCAAATCTCTAAAATTAATAATTTTAATTTAAAATAACATCAAAATAGAGTTAAACTATTTTTTTTCCTCCATATTTTCCGTCCTTCCCAATTCAAGAAATAGATTTTTTTTAAAGTTATATCTGAATATTAAGAATCCTTTTTTCCTTTACTGCACGTCATTGTCTTAAAAAAACAATATATAATGCTCAGTCGACATTTATTAAAATATTCAACGCTTTCTGCCTTTGAAAATAATACCCGATATCTTATATATCAGACAATTAGCGAGATTGTAATCTAACAAAGCAAAATCTATATTCTAATCTTGTCTGACTCATTCTTTGAAATGTCGTTTCTTCTTCTTCTTTAAAAGAACATTTTTAAGAACTGGAGAAAAATGTTAAATTATAAAAAAAAACTTTAGTTGTCGACAAAACTTTCTCTCTTGAATGCAATTACTTTTTTTTTGCAGTACTAATATTCCATGAGTACAAAAATATTATTGTTTCACAAAGATAATTTTTTCGCTAGGAAATTTTTCAAAACTTTTCTAATTTACGAAATGTTCTTGAAATATTTTCAAAACTAATTTTAAAACTTATTAACTTTCAAATCTAAAAATTTTAGTCCGAAAAAAATGTTTGTGATGTAAAAAAAATTTTCAAAAATTAATAGAATTTAAAGGAATGATTATTAATGAAATTAATTATTATTTACGGAATTGATTAATTATATCAACGATGTAAATTGTGAGACTTAAAAATTATTTTCGTAATTTTTTTCAGCGTCCTTACATATGAGTGACACGTTGAATAACAATATAACGTAATACAAAAACCCTTTCTAATGTTCTAATAATTTCCAATAAGTACCACGCGTTTAGTTTCTATAAAGAAAGATTACAATATTTCTATTCATGTGTATTTTTATTTATTTTTTTTCGATTTTGATTTCCAAGGCTACTGCAAGTGTGGGCAAAGAAATATTTTTTGTCATGAAAAAAATGTCCATATTTCAAAATATATAGAATTTATATGAAAGCACCTGAAAAAAAATGTTCGAACCATTTATTTGAATGCATCAATTAAGTAATCGCGTGTCAACGAATTCTTTATTGCTTTATGAAACAGAAGGGGGAAATATTCCACCTGATTATATGTCGCGTGGTGGTTCCAGTTTAAATTAAGACCTTCAATGACCCCTTTTTTTTGTTTCGTTCTGTCGCGCACTGCGGTCGTTGACATTCAATTATTTCTTAACATCAATCAGGAGGACTAAAATTTCCCCCTAGAAGCTTTTCAGAATTTTTTTTCTATTAAAAAAAATTTACGTATTCCAAAAGAATTTAAGAATTAATTAATTAGAATTTAGAAAAAAAATTTAGCAAATTGCGTCTATTATTAGTACAACAAAAAATTAATTATTTGATTTTATTTTTCCAGAAGTTGCCGTCACCAAGTGAGAGAGAATTTTGGAACATTAAAACAACAAGATTGGATCGAACGGACAACAATAATGCCAACAACTCTAATGCCAATACCATTCACAATCTTCCACTTCACGACTCTCTCAATTCTAGTTCCAACGTCGACGGTTACTGTAAGTGAAGTTGTTTTCTATTTTTTTTTTTTTTGGGGAAACGAGTGTTTTTGATGTCTTATCGATTTCAATTAACTTCTATTTAAAAAGTTTTCTTTTGCAAAACATTTGAGAAATTAATTTTTTATTATTTAAGGCGGAAGATTGCCAATGACACCCTCAGAGGCAATGAAGTACTTTGGCTCAAAGCTCACCGAATTTGAGCGAGCCGAAATTGAAAAATATTCCGAAATCTGGTATTTGGGACTTTCGGCCTGTAAAATTCATGGCGAAGAAGGTGCATCACAAAATGGCGGCTACGATGATGACAATGGCAGTTACAATAAAGTTCTACATGACCACATTTCATACAGGTATGGAAAAAATATCCAATCCAGAATGAAATATCAAAAAAGAAATACAAATTCAATTTAAAAAATGTTTAAAACTTCAAAATTTATCCCAACAGGTACGAGATTCTAGAAGTGATTGGAAAAGGAAGTTTTGGCCAAGTAATTCGCGCCTTGGATCACAAAACTGGACAGCATATTGCCATCAAGATAATTAGAAACAAAAAGAGATTCCATCATCAGGCTTTGATTGAAGTGAGAATACTTGATCATTTAAGAAAGAAGGACGCTGAATCAAATTCGCAACACAACGTTATTCATATGTTAGAATATTTTTACTTCCGTAATCATCTTTGCATTAGTTTTGAATTAATGAGGTAAGGAAATAAAGACCTAAATATATACTACAAACTTAAATGTAAAATTCTAATCTGTATTTTTCAATTACAGTCTAAACTTGTACGAGTTAATTAAAAAGAACAATTATCAAGGATTCAGTTTGAGTCTAATTCGTAGATTCGCCAATTCATTGATTAATTGTCTAAGGCTGTTGCATCGTGAAAATATCATTCATTGCGATTTAAAGCCGGTAAGTAATTATAATTTAGAAACAATATGTTTAATTATTGACTTTTGATAAAAAACGGAAAATAATTTTATAATTTTAACAGGAAAATGTTCTTCTAAAACAACGTGGCAGTAGTTCAATAAAAGTTATTGATTTTGGATCATCATGCTATAGTCATCAACGTGTTTACACTTATATACAATCGCGATTCTATAGAAGTCCAGAGGTGATTCTTGGCCTTCCTTATGGAACGCCAATAGATATGTGGAGTTTGGGTTGTATTTTAGCTGAACTTTACACGGGATATCCACTATTTCCGGGTGAAAATGAAGTTGAACAACTCGCATGCATCATGGAAGTTTTGGGAAGGCCACCAGAGCAACTTATCAATCATGCATCACGTCGTAGACTTTTCTTTGGTGAGAATTATAATGTTAATTTATAAACTATATATACTTTTGAAACTATAGACTTGGAATTTAATATATTCTCTAATTGTTGAAATTTCATCTAATTAGGAAACATTTTTTTTTTGTTCTACAGACTCGAAAGGAAGTCCTCGTTGTTTGACAAATAGCAGAGGAAGAAAACGAAGACCAGGTGGCAAAAGTGTGGCCATTGCTCTTCGTTGTCATTACACATTGTTCGTTGACTTTGTTAGCAGATGTCTCGAGTGAGTAGATGATTTTTTTTTATTAAGGGAAAATTAAATTTGACTATCAATTCTAAGGGTAACTGGGATTTTGAAAAAAAGAATGACAAAAGCTATAAAAATCCTATTTTTACGAAAAGAATCAAACTAAATATAAAATCTTCCTAACCTTATCATTACAATGATCGCAAGAAAACTTTTGGAAATCAAAAAAAATTCCGCCTTCTTTTAGTTTATGAAATTAAAAAAATTCCATTTCCTAAATCAAGTGCTTTTTAAAATTACTTCGATCCAAAGCTTCTAACCCTTTAAAAACTACAGAATCACGTCCTAAATCTAAAGCTTGTCACTTTGATTTCAGGAATAAATTCTACGTAATCTAAGTTCCTGCCTCTATTGTGAAACAAAAATCTAAGACTAGCGTGCAGAATTTTTTTAATTCCAATCTGTTTTAGATGAAACGAATTGCAAAAATCCATTCTTATTAGAATTAACATGCAAAAAACTAAAGCTACAATTACTACATGCGTCATGCAAATTTGTCTAATTCAAGAAAATAAAATTATCTGAATAATAAAAAAAAATTTCATAGGTTCTGTTCCTTTTAGGGTTTGTCATATTTTCGATTATTCCTAATTAAAGGAATTGGAAATTTTTTGAAGTTATCTGAATAATAAGAATCCTTTACTTTCTGTTTCATGATTATTACTCCAAGTGGAATAATTTTTTTCGGAACAAGAAACGTTTTTCTTTTTTAGTTTCGATTCCCTGATTAGTATTATTGTTCATCAGGATTTGTAGATTTTTTGGGTTTTTCCTAATTAAAGGAATTGAAATTTTTGAAGTTTTCTGAATAATAAGAATTCTTTTCATAATTTTCTTGACTGAATGTTTGCGATTGACCTAATTGCCAGTGATTATCCTCTCCTGCATCTGATACAAAGAAAATCTTTAAAATTAGTAATAATTTTAATTAATTTAATGTTGTTCATTAGGTTTTGTCATATTTCATGTTATTCGTAATTAAAAGAATTAAATTTTTTTGAAGTTATCTGAATAATAAAAATCCTTTGCGATGTTTTCTGTTCATAGAGATAGTGTAGAGTAGGCAAAGTATATGCGGTAGCCATAATGATTCTCCTTCTGCATTTGTAACATAAAAAAGCAAATCCTTATTAATACCAATGTTAATTTTTATATAACATGAAAAATAGAATTAGACTAATTTTCCCAAAACAAATTTAAATATTTCCCTTTTGTTCAATGAATTACATTTATTTTCAGATGGGACGCAAAGAAACGAATGACACCCGACGAGGCAATGAAACATGAATGGTTAAATTCCTCATCATCATCATCATCACATTTAAGTTCATCGAGCTCGACAATGACGTCTTCAGTTAGCGGCACAACAGCTGTGAGCGCTGTTGTTGATTCATCACAACAAAGTCATGCGCAAACTGTAACAGTGCAAAATGCGCCAAGACAACGTGCAACAACAATGGAAGATCCACAACAACTTTATTCACTCTATAGGCTTTATCGTGGACGTAAATGTGTTTCTAAAATAACAACACTTGACAATGCAGATTCTGGCAGCGGCGGAGGTGGTTTAGTAGTTAAAAGTAAACTCAATGGTAGCGCCAGCAGTCATGCACTCGCCGTTGGTACACAACCGGCAACATCAAGACACGCATCAACCGGTGACATTGTTTCCAGTCTCGATCCCAATCTAGATGATTCCGGCACTTTTTTACCTCCAATCTTATGAAGTCGGGTCTGCGCTAGCCACTTCTAAATATACAAAAAAAAGTATAATCTCGTTCTAAACTCGCTTTTGAATCATTTTTCGATAAAATCGAAAATTTCCCTGGAGGTAAAAAAAATATTCTAATGAAAAATCAATTTCCAAATTTTGCAACAAATCCAATTTACAAAAAAAAGCGAGTTTCGATCATTGAGATAAGAAAAAATCCCGAAGTGGTTAGAGCTATAGATGAATTTTATTATTCTCAAGCTGTTAGGCCAAAATCGACCTAAAGGAGACGCTAGACTGATATCGTGACTGGAACACTTTTAGACGATGAATATTTATAATAGACAAAAAAAAAAGCGGTATGATCTGATCTTGTTCCGTAATTCGTAAAAATATATATAAATGTGTTATTTCAACGCGACACTCTTTTGACGACGACTTTCACTAAACTTCAAAGAAATCAAAAACGCAATCTTCTCATCGAAATCAAAATCATTAGATTAATTAAAATCCGATGGAAAAAATTCAATCAAATCGGATCAAAAAAAAAATTAAGAAAGCGTTTTGTTTCACGAATAAAATTCGGTGAATATCGTCAAGAACAAAAAATTGAACGTAAAATGCTTTCCCTGTCATCGTGTAAGTGTATTTTTTTTGTTTTTGGTAAAAAAAAAAGCTACAAGCTGCCCTTGACTGAGTGCGCGTTTAATTTTAATTTTTCGATTCGATGTCCTGTGAACGATAATAATAATAATTAATAATAATAATAATAATAAATAGTCACAAGATATCGAAAGGAAATTTTTTGGAAGAGAATTCTCTTTGAATATGTGTGGGCAAGCCTTTGCCTCCCCTCCCTCTAATTTTTGAGGGCTGAGTAGTCTTATTGTGATATTAAACTACCACTGTCTTACTTAGATCTCTGATATAAATTAGGATTACTAATTAATAATTTCGTTACTATTAATTATTTTCTTATCTTATAAATATTTCTTAAATATATATATATATATAAATATACATAATATGTATATGCTTACAATAATGGCTACTGCCATTTTAATATCGATTGAGATCAATATAGCCGATAACACGGCATTAATTTGCAATTAATTAATCGATTGTGTACAGAATTTTTAATTAGACATCGAGATTTTTATCCCCCTTCTTTTTTTTCTCGTCTCGTGTCATGAGTTTTTTAGCTTGTAAAAAATATATAGAGAATATATACAATGTATTTTAAATTTGTTAATTTTAATTTTTAAATGTCCCGTTTGCAAAAAAAAAAAAATTATTAATCACTTTTTTTAAATTTGTTCCTCTTAAAATTATTTCTTAAACAGCAAAACAATTTTGCTAAGTTATTTTGTTATTAAAATTGAGAATAAAAAGAGATGAGGAATAAGCGCATCAATGTGAAATCATCGATTTCCGATTATGAATTTAAAGGAAGTTTTTGATATTCATTTGGAAAAATTGTTAAAAATCCAGTGGAGAAATTTTTGTTTTTTAAATTCTTCATTGGCTCAGTTGGTAAAGGCTCACGATTTTCTGAGTTTTTGTGCCGATGGTTCGATTCTTCGTAAAGGTAATTTTTTTTTTTCTATCGAATTCGACGATTTCACATTGCGCGCTAGATTATAAATGCAATTTTTAGGGAAAAAAAAGAAACGAAAGAAAACTGCTAAAATGTAAAAGAATAAGATTAAGTATTACAGTAGGCTAGCAATTTGGCGTGTTTTTTTTTAACCAATTTTTTTTTCCATGGGAACAAAAAAAAACTGGAGCAAAATTTGTCTTAACTATAAAAAAAACCTCAATAATTCCCCCCTAAAAAAGAAATTCAAAACAAAAAAATCAAAAATTTTTTTCGTTGATTCTCCGAATCGTGATTTCTTCTAAAAAGGGAAGAAAAGACAGTGGACTAGTCCTTATTTAGAAATGTATTTTACAGCAACTTAATCGTTTTCAAAAAAGGCACCCTGACAAAAAAAAACGATTTTCGTGATTTCGCTGTTAATATACATTTTGTTTATTTACAATTTTAGTCGAATTATTACGAACAAAAACAAAACTGCTCCTAACCTCAGGATAGTAAAAACAAAAAAGAAAAATATTATCTAGACAAGTGTGTGTGTGAGTAGTCCTAAATCACTTTCTAGAAAAAAAAAATTGCTCCAAACATGACAAAGAGCTGACACGATACGATTAAAAGTTTATTTGCCAAAACTTAATTTTTCTCTTATTTTTTCATATTATAAAAGAAAAAGAAGGTTCAGCTCGAGATTTCATAATTTTAGCCAACTAGCCTAGTAGGACAATCAACTTTTTTTTTTTTTTTTTTTAATTAAGTCCAGATCTTCCTTATCCTAATTGGAGATCTTCGTTAATTTTAATTTAAGATCTTTGTTTGTAATTTGAGATCATTTTTTTTTTCAAATCGAAATCCTCGTTTATATAATGGAAAAAAATTGTTTCGTCTCTATATTGTTAATTTAAAAATCTACAATTGAGAAATTGTAAGCAATTTTATTGCAAAAATAAATAAATAAATGTGTATGAAATCATTGTTTTCGCAACTATTTTGAATTTTTGCATGTGACAAAATAGAACAAAAAGAAAAAACGAACCGAGTATTCAATGCACGCGAGCTATAATAATATAGTGAGAAAGAATATAATAATAATTAAACTAAATATGAGACTCGTGAGAATGAATTTTTTTTTTTGTGATTCGTATATAAAATAATGTTTAAATACCGTTTTCCCCCCTTCTCTTCTCACCCCCCTCCACGAAACCCGAGTTATTATATACATATATATATAAAAAATGACGTCACGAGGTCGTCATAAAATTTCTGCCTGACTTTTTAGTGTATTACTATATATATATATTTATATATATACATATATATATAATTATATATTTATTTATATATATAAATATATACGCAAATGAAGAATTGATAACAATAAATAATAAGGTAACGAAAACAAGAAAAAAAAACAAAAAAAAATATTAGTGTAAAGGTAATCGACATTATATATATATTGCGAGAAAAAAAAATAAAGCCCAACCTAAGCATCATCACCTTTTGTATCATTTGTTCGTTTGTTTTTATCTTATAAAAATGCGTTTTGTCTTTCATTCTTAATGTAATAACTATATATATAAATATATTTATATATATAGTAACCAAGATGAGACTATCACTCCCATGATGATTATCTTGTGTGTAAATAAAAAAAACAACTAATAAAGATTATACATAATACGAATGTGAAATTTGTTATTTTTTTAAATGACGATTTTTATCCTATAACCAAATTCCTAAATATATTTAACGGATTTTTTTTTGAGCCTAAATTTTTTAAGATGGAAATATTTTTTTGAGATGAATTTTAAAATTAATTAAAATTTTATTTGATAAATTTTGTAAAATAGATAAAAAAAAATTAATTAAGATAAAACGACATTATGGGAGTTGCCGCTAACCTTATAAAATTAAAAAAATATATTATTGCATCTCCGATTTTTTAAAACGGCTGACGGGGAATTGTTCCAAATTCCAAATTTTCAAGATTTAAAATCCTAGCTGCTCTTTTTGTTCTACCCTTTTCGAGATTATAACGTGGAAGTTAAATAGGGGCGGTTCAAATACTACACAATTAAATTCTACATCGTTAAAACCCTACACGTCAAACTCTACACAGTTAAATTGCACACCGTTAAACCTTATACAATTTATTTTTTAAATTCTACACACTTAATGTGTACAATGTTAAACTCTACACAAATTTATTTTGTAGTGAAAAATTAATTTCTTTAAATTCAACACGGTTAAATACTACAACGTTAAACTCTACATATATTTCTTTTGTAATAAAAAATTAATTTTCTTAAATTTAACACAGTTAAATTCCACATCGTTAAATTCTACACATATTTATTTTGTAATGAAAAATTAATTGCATAAAATTCTACACAGTTAAATTGTTCACCGTTAAACTCTCCATAAATTTATTTTGTATTATAAAATAAAATTTGTTTAACTCTACACAGTTAAGTTGCATATTGTTAAACTCTACAAAAACTAATATTATAATATAAAATTAATTTTAATAAATTCTACACCGTTAAATTGCACACCGCCAAACTCTTCATAAATTGATTTTATAATAGAAAATAAAATTGATTAAATTCTACACAGTTAAATTGCTCACTGTTAAATACTAAAGAATTTATTTTTTAAATTCTGCACAGTTAAATTCCACCTCGTTAAATTCTACACAGATTTATTCTCTAATGAAAAATTAATTGCATAAAATTCTACACAGTTAAATTGTTCACCGTTAAACTGTCCACAAATTTATTTAATAATAGAAAATAAAATTTGTTGAACTCTTCACAGTTAAATTAAACACACTTAAACTCTACACACACTAATCTTATAATATAAAATTAATTTTATTAAATTCTACACAATTAAATTACACACCGTTAAACTCTTCACAAAATTTAATTTAAAAAAAATAAAAATTTATTAAACTGTACCCCGTTAAATTGCACATTGCTAAACTCTAAACGATTTAGTTTTTAAATTCTAAACAATTAAATGCTACAATGTAAAATTCTACACAAATATATTTCGCAATTAAAAATTAATTTCGTTAAATTCTACATAGTTAATTTCCACACTGTTAAACCATACACAAATTATTTTTTAATTGTACACAATTAAATTGTACAATGTTAAACTCTACGCAAATTTATTTCATAACAAAAAATAAGTTTTGTTTAATTCTGCACAGTTAAATTGCACACCGTTAAACCATATACAATGTATTTTTTAAATTCTATACATTTCAATTGTACAATGTTAAACTCTGCACCAATTTATTCTTTAGTGAAAAATTAATTTTGTTAAATTCTACTCTGTTTAACTCTAAACTGTTAAATTCTACACAAATTTATTTTGTAAATGAAAAATTAATTTTGTTGAATTCTACACAGATAAATTCCACACCGTTAAACTCTTCACAAAATTTAATTTTAAAAAAATATAAAATTTATTGAACTTTACACAGCTAAATTGCACATTGTTAAACTCTAAACAATTTAGTTTTTAAATTCTACATAATTAAATGCTACAATGTAAAATTCTACACAAATTTATTTCGCAATTAAAAATTAATTTTGTTAAATTCTACATAGTTAATATCCACGCAACGTTAAACATCAGACAAATTATTTCTTAAATTGTACACAATTAAATTGTACAATGTTAAACTCTACGCAAATTTATTTAAAAAAAAAAAAAAAATCCGCCATTTCGAATTTTGAAAAACTAACATTAGATTCGTAATCAGCAACCCCGAAAACCTCCCAATAATCAGGTTGCAAGAAAATGCATCCAAATTTTTAAATAATCATCCGCCATATTGGATCCGCCATTTTAAATATTGAAAATCTGATATCAGATTCGTAATCAGCGACCCAAAAAACCCCCGAGTAACAATTTTCTTGAAATGGCGGATTTTTTTTTTTTTAAATAAATTTGCGTAGAGTTTAACATTGTACAATTTAATTGTGTACAATTTAAGAAATAATTTGTCTGATGTTTAACGTTGCGTGGATATTAACTATGTAGAATTTAACAAAATTAATTTTTAATTGCGAAATAAATTTGTGTAGAATTTTACATTGTAGCATTTAATTATGTAGAATTTAAAAACTAAATTGTTTAGAGTTTAACAATGTGCAATTTAGCTGTGTAGAGTTCAATAAATTTTATATTTTTTTAAAATTAAATTTTGTGAAGAGTTTAACGGTGTGGAATTTATCTGTGTAGAATTCAACAAAATTAATTTTTCATTTACAAAATAAATTTGTGTAGAATTTAACAGTTTAGAGTTAAACAGAGTAGAATTTAACAAAATTAATTTTTCACTAAAGAATAAATTGGTGCAGAGTTTAACATTGTACAATTGAAATGTATAGAATTTAAAAAATACATTGTATATGGTTTAACGGTGTGCAATTTAACTGTGCAGAATTAAACAAAACTTATTTTTTGTTATGAAATAAATTTGCGTAGAGTTTAACATTGTACAATTTAATTGTGTACAATTAAAAAATAATTTGTGTATGGTTTAACAGTGTGGAAATTAACTATGTAGAATTTAACGAAATTAATTTTTAATTGCGAAATATATTTGTGTAGAATTTTACATTGTAGCATTTAATTGTTTAGAATTTAAAAACTAAATCGTTTAGAGTTTAGCAATGTGCAATTTAACGGGGTACAGTTTAATAAATTTTTATTTTTTTTAAATTAAATTTTGTGAAGAGTTTAACGGTGTGTAATTTAATTGTGTAGAATTTAATAAAATTAATTTTATATTATAAGATTAGTGTGTGTAGAGTTTAAGTGTGTTTAATTTAACTGTGAAGAGTTCAACAAATTTTATTTTCTATTATTAAATAAATTTGTGGACAGTTTAACGGTGAACAATTTAACTGTGTAGAATTTTATGCAATTAATTTTTCATTAGAGAATAAATCTGTGTAGAATTTAACGAGGTGGAATTTAACTGTGCAGAATTTAAAAAATAAATTCTTTAGTATTTAACAGTGAGCAATTTAACTGTGTAGAATTTAATCAATTTTATTTTCTATTATAAAATCAATTTATGAAGAGTTTGGCGGTGTGCAATTTAACGGTGTAGAATTTATTAAAATTAATTTTATATTATAATATTAGTTTTTGTAGAGTTTAACAATATGCAACTTAACTGTGTAGAATTAAACAAATTTTATTTTATAATACAAAATAAATTTATGGAGAGTTTAACGGTGAACAATTTAACTGTGTAGAATTTTATGCAATTAATTTTTCATTACAAAATAAATATGTGTAGAATTTAACGATGTGGAATTTAACTGTGTTAAATTTAAGAAAATTAATTTTTTATTACAAAAGAAATATATGTAGAGTTTAACGTTGTGGTATTTAACCGTGTTGAATTTAAAGAAATTAATTTTTCACTACAAAATAAATTTGTGTAGAGTTTAACATTGTACACATTAAGTGTGTAGAATTTAAAAAATAAATTGTATAAGGTTTAACGGTGTGCAATTTAACTGTGTAGAGTTTGACGTGTAGGGTTTTAACGATGTAGAATTTAATTGTGTAGTATTTGAACCGCCCCGTTAAATATTTGCCACGAAAACACTTAAGAGGCAACGAACTCAAGAAAATATCTAAATAAGACGATTATTATAACTGTAAATGTCAATATACTCGACTTTGTCAAAGGGGAAATTCAAAATTTAATTAATTTAATTTTCAATTAAAATTTTTTGCTCCAAATTAATTATTATCATTGACAAAATTCTTCGAAAATTTAATTATTGGAAAAATTACATATTAAAATAAATTTTAATTCAAAATTAACCAAAACAAAATAATTGTTAATAAAAATAGTCAATAATCCTCATTAATTTATATAATATATTAAATTCATTTCACTAATTTTGTAATGAGAATAATTCTATAAAAATATTATCAAGAAAATTTAATTTTAAATATTTCAGAATCGAACTAATTGTAAGACATATTTTCAAAATTTTATTTCAAGTAAAACAAATTTCTAAAAAAAATTTTTGAGTTCCATTTTTATAATTTTTTCAAGTCTGATTTAAGCAATTTATTCGAATTAAAAATTTTGTCATAGTTTTTAGTTTTGATGATCAAAAAAATTTCAGGCAATAGTTAATCAAATTTTACAGATTTTTAAATATAAATTTTTTTAAAAAAATCAATTTAAAAGAATTATAGTTAAAATTTTTAGAAATAATTGAATTTCAAAAGATTTTGTTAATTTTTAGACAATAATTAAATTTTACAGAACTAAAAATTATTTATCACGTAATTTTAGATAAAATTTTTTAAAAGTAATTGAATTTTCAAAGATTTACAATTTAGATTTTTGAAATTAATTGAACTTTAAGTGATTTTTAATTAAAAATTTTTGATGATTTTAGTAAAAAAATTATTAGAAATTGCAGAAAAAATACAATAATTGAAAATTTTGCAAATATTTAAATTTCAAGTGATTTTGAATTAAAATTTTTTTAGTAATTTTATTTGATAATTTTTTTTTAAATTATAAACAATTATTAAATTTCATTACTTGGAACGCAGGATTATTTGCTGAGTATAGATTGGAACTTAATATTCGCAGAGTTTTTATGCAAATTCGTCTTTCAAGTTTGTACGCAAATTTGAAAATTAATGAACAATAAATTACTTAGGTTCCGCTTTTTGAGCCAAAAAAAAATTGCAAATTTTTGAAATATTGTCTTTTGATTACCCTAATTGTAAATAATACGTGAAAAATATTATTTTGTTGTTGTTACCTTTAAAAAAAAAAAAACCCCCGATTTCAGTATGCATAGAAAGTGCGTAAGCACGTTTTGTTGCCTCTATTCTTGTTTTCAACAAAGAATAGAAGTTTAATTCATAGCGTAGTTGTTTTTTTGATCTTTCGACGATGTGTAGCAAAAAGAAACTCCTCTTTTCTCCTCCTCTTTTGATAAAAAATTTAAAAAAATATTCTTTGCAAATATCTCAAGTCCAATGAATCCACTCTTTGAAATCCTGAAAACCACACAAAAATTCTCCAATTGAATTTTAATTCAACAAATTTTTCTTTTTTATTCTGTAATATAATCTTTATTTAATTTAGAGATGACAAAAAAAATATGGTAATCACAAAAATATGTCAATTACACTTACATTTAAATAAAAAAAAAAAACAAAGAAAAAACGGACTTTTAATTAATAAAAATGTTCATTTGTGTAAAAAAAAAGATGACTAAAAGATTCTTTTTTTTAAAGAGATAAAATTTATGGCACCTTAAAATTTCGCTTCTAAGAAGGAAAAACTACTATTATTATTATTTTTATTATTAATTAACTGCAATTATCTTCAACTACTTTTTTTTTCTCTCTCTATATATATATTGTAACAAGAGTATTTGAAAATTGTCATTAAATTGTAAATTAAATAAAAAAAAAAAACGTTAATATTGAAAAATTGTAAATAGAAAATAATAATAATAGATATCGAAATGTATCATCACATGAGGACAAAAAAGTTGTTCCATTTTGGTAAATAATACGATGAAAATTACTCTCTCTTTTTTTTCTCTCGTCAATAAAAATTTTTAATGCTACCTCCTTCGTTCACCCTTTTGTGTTTTGCGTTTCTCCTTTTTTTCCTCTTTCATCTGTTTTTGCTTCTCCCTGAAAATTTTTTTAAAAAATTACTTTTCATTTTTAGAAAATAGAAAAAAAAAATAATGCTCACCTATCCTCTTTGTCTTTCTCCTTCTTTTTTTGACTCTCAATTTTTGCTCTCTCACGTTTTTCACGTTCCAATTGAACGATACTTGCGGCATTTGTGTTTTTCTCAATTTTCACCTCAATACCGGATGTTGCCTCCTCAGTGTCTTCACAATCGCTTGTCTCTTGATCGGGCATCTCACTGTATTGTGCAAGAATTGCTTCGCGAATTCGCCTCTCCTCATCGGTATAACTTCTTTGCGTTGTTGTGGGAAGACTTTGTGATTCAAGAAGTCGTGCCAAACGTACATCAACATCTTCGCTTGGTACTGTGGCGTTATTTAATTCATCTGTCGATGGTAACCATTGTGACCATGCTTTTAAAATTTCAGCCACATGATTTTCAATATTCTCCTCCTTTTCAAAAGAAGAAGACAATAATTTTATTTTTTTCTTAAAATCGCCGTTTTTTAGAATAATTTTTTATAATAAAAAGACCTAAACGTTTTTTTTTTGGTTTTAAATATTCAAATTTATTTCCTCGGCGAGTTGAAAATTTTATAATTTTTTTCTTCTTTTTGTTTTAATTCGCTTAAAATCTTCATTTATTAAGGGGAGGGACCGGTGAAATTTCAGCCTACTGAAGTTATTATTGTTAAAGAGTGTCAATTTTTTTTCTGGCATAATTTAGGATCCAAAATTATTATAAATTATTAAAATTTAAAAAAAAAATTTTTTAGCCATTTTAGAAAATTTATTTTTTGGAAAAATTAAATTTTTTTAAATTCCATACGATTGATTGTTTAAAATCGTGAAAAAAGCGTAAAAAAAATTTGACAATAAAAAGTAATGAAAATTGTGGAAGTAGTTGAATTTTTTTCAAAATTACCACTAAAATTGAAAGCAATCAAAATTGATCTTGTTTAGGGGTAATAATTTTTTTCAACATTTTTTTTCAACCAAAAATCTTATTCTACTGAGAAAAACAACAAAAGGTAATTTTTAACAATTTTACAAATATTTTTATTTTTCAAAATTTTCATTTTTTGAAAAAATTGAAATTTTTCAAAATCCATACGCTTGATTGTTTAGAATCATGAAACAAGCGTATAAAAAAATCGGCAGTCAAAAATAATTAAAATTGTGAGAGAAGTTTAAATTTTAAATTTTCGAGAATTTTGAATTTGATTTTAAAAATTATTAACAAATTTATAGTTTTTCAATTTTTCATGATATATTATACATTTAAATAATTAATATTGTCAGAAAAAAAATTGACCACCCTTAAACAGCTTTAATTTTGATGTGTTAAAATTTCAGCGGTCCCTCCCCTTAATATAAATTTTTTTTGAAAGAAAATTAATTAATATATTAATCTTTTTGTTAAAAATTTAGAGGATATTTTAGTAAATTTTTGTTTAAATTTCGCGACATTTATTTATAATTATTATATTAGACTGAAAAAAAAAATTTATTTGATTCAAATAATCGGTTACTTGACTATTAGCAAATAAATATTTACTTGAACCAAATAATTTTTATTTGAATTAAATAAACTGTATTTGAACCAAAAATTTCTGTATTTCTGTAAATACCATTTAATTGAATGAAATAATAATTATTTGATACAAATAAATATTTCTTTGGTGCAAATAAATATTTCTTTGGTACAAATAAATATTTCTTTGATGCAAATAAATATTTCTTTGGTACAAATAAATATTTCTTAGATGGAAATAAATATTTCTTTGATACAAATAAATAATTCTTTGATAAAAGTAAATATTTAATTGATAATAGTCAAGTAACCGATTATTTGAATCAAATACATTTTTTTTCAATGTACTATTTTATTATTATTATTATTATTATTATTATTATACCTATATATTATTATTATTATTAGTGTTTACAATTTTTTTCAAATTTTTCGCCAATTTTAGATTCTGTCGATTATTATTAAAAAAAAAACAAAAAAATTATTTTGTGAAAATAATTATTTTTTATTTAAAAAATTTAAATTAGGGAAAAATTTGGAAAATATTTTAGTAAATTTTCTTTTTAATTTCAATTTTTCAAAATGTATTTATTTCTAATTATTATTTATTAAAAAATAAAAGTCGCAAATTTTTTTTCTTTTCGAATTTCGCGCCATTTTTAGGTTATGTTGATTGTTATTTCAAAAAAAAAAAATACAAAAATTTTATCACTTTCTATGAAAAATAAACAATAAACAACGATAATTTCCACGAAAAAACATAAAAATCGTTTCTAAATTCAATTCTAACCTCAAAAATTGCGTTTTTGAAAAAACTGAAAAATATCGATTTTCTATTTATTCAACTTGCGTCGAATACAAAACTAAAATTATCTAAATAATGTAAATATTTATTTGTAGAAAAAAAAGTAAAAAAATAAAGATCAGTAAAGAAATTTTCATGAAATTGGGCGGGTAAAAAATAATTACAAGGATTTTTATAACGCGTATAGGAACAAATCGAAAAATCTCTACGAGACTTGTTATTTTTTAATATATACAAATTATGGAGAATTTTACAAAAAAGGAAAAAAAGAATTTTGATTAAAAAAGAATTATTTATTCAAAATTTTTAATAATAGAAAATCAACGCCGTTTTTTAGATATTTCTAACCTCACAATCCAAACGGTCCTCACCGTTATGCCGGCGAGAATGCCTTCGAGAGCTTCCGTTTTCTCGTCATCAGTTTCATCGCCTTCCAAAATACCCTTGATGTACGATCCAAAAACACCCTCGTCAGTATTTAATGCCTGAAGCTTTTCACTTAGCCAAGAATCAAATGAATTCACTGCCACCGCCATGTTAATTAAATTAATTATTTATAACTTTATAACGAAAAAAAAAATATATCCCTTTTCCCTCTTGCGTGCGCGGCACAAAAAAAATTGCTACTGTAACTGCGCATGCTCTACTATTTCTCGAAAAAAGGGCGCCTATTTTTAAAATACTATCGTTTATCGTTAGTAATCAAAAATTACCTACCAAACCACATAATACCAAACACACCACCAAACGATTTCTTTCAATAAAATCTTTACATTTAATTATTAAAATAAATAAAAAAATCTGTTTGTCGTAACTTTTGTCGTTGCCAACTTCACGGTGCTTAAAGTAAAGGTCAACGCACAATAGTTTTCACGGAGATATGATAGAAAAGGACACAAAAGTCACTGTCCTTTTCTATTCTCGTTCCTGCGATTCTATTGTGCGTTGACCCTTAAAAAAAAAGAAAAAAGAAAATTGATCCCGAATTTAGGTTATGTGCAGTCAATTGCAATATAGTGCAATGACGTCACATGACGTGAAATATTTCACATTTTCATCGCTATAATAGAAAATTGGCGCTGCAGTCGCGTTCGCTGCCACGTAATGTTGTGTGTCGTTTGTGAATTTCTTTTTCCAAGATAAAATTATTCGATTTTTCAATTTATTTTTAACAGTGCAATGAGTGAATTTGTTACGCCCAAAATATAACGCTGAATTTTGATTTCAGCTCGAGATTCAGCAATAAAAAAAAGGGTAAGTAAGTTTAATAATAATAATAATTGTAAATGAAAAAAAAAAAGGAAACTGTTTTTGCAAATAAGTTCCCCGTCATCGTATTTGCTGTCGCGCTTTATAAGAATGACGTTTTAACCTTTACTCGTGCGTTCGAAATTTGTACAATCATATTGTTAGATATATGTATGCAATGTAATTTTTCATTAATTTTTTTTTTTACTTTTTAAGAGATTTTTAATTTGTCTTATTTTCTTTTCAAATCTTATTTTCTATTTGGTAAATTGGGTGAGGGGTTTTTAAAAGAGAGAAAGAGAGATGCTGAGATTTTTTTTTGACAAGTGTCAGGAAAGTCATAAAAATTTTTTTGGCATATTTTATTCGTTTTCTATTTTTCTTTTTGTTGAAAAATTAAATTTTGAAGGGATTTTTGGAGAGAATTATTATCGATGTGAATAGTTGGGGGTTTTTTTTTTTTGGAGGGATTTTTCTTAGAAGCATTTTTTACATTGTTGATTATAGTATTTTTTGCTCGTACTATTTATGTCGTATTTAAAAAAAAAAAGACAGTATCTACATGTGTAGATAAATTAATGTAGATTGTGTCTTTTTTTCTAAAGTACAACAAAATTTATTGTCATTGTAATTTTTTTTCTTTTTTTTTTCTTCTTTTTTTATTACAATAATTTGCATTTTTTTTTTTATTAAAAAGAAGTAGTAATTTTTCTAGGTGCTGGAATTATTTTTTTTTAATATAAAAATAATTTTAAAAATTATATTTAAATTATATTTATTTATTTTAATATTTTATTTATAATAATATTTATTTTTGATTACAATTTATTTATTTATATTTATTTTTTATTAAATTTATTTAATTATATTTATTTTTTATTAAATTTATTTAATTATTATTTATTTTTTATTAAATTTATTTATTTATTATTTATTTTTTATTAAATTTATTCAATTATTATTTAATTCTTGTTACAATGTAAAATTTTACGAAACAACTTATACCGTTTATTATTTTTATTAAATAAAATAAATTAAAATACATTTAAAAGAAAAAAAAACATTTTTCCAGATACTGGAATTATTTTTCTTATTTAAATGTAATTTTTAATTTTTTTTTTTTTTATTTAAAAATCATTTATGTAATATGGGCTTTGTCCGTATATATTTTTTTTTTCAATAAATCAATAAATAAATATATATATATATATATATATAAAAATAAAAGAAAAATGATATTTTTAAAGTTTCAGTTATCTCACACAACATAAAATGTCTCAATTAAGCAATCATCCTTATCCAAAGAACTCGGATTCGGATTCTGTTTTAAAAAGTGGACCACCACCACCTCCTGTTAATGGCATTGGTCAACCAAATAATATCCAGTATTCACAAAATGGCATTCAGTCTCCTCATTTAGCTGGTAAAAATATATTTATTTTAATTTTTACATTCTTCAAATATTTTACATTTTAATGGTTTTAAAAAAAAAAAAAAAATTATTTCAAAAATAAAATTTTCGTCAATTTCTCCAATTTTAATTAATTTGAAATATAATAATTGTAGAGATTATTTTGAATTATTATTTTGAAAAATAAATTTTTGATATTACAGGCCACGGATTCTACGACTTTTTCAAATTTTTGTTTTAAATTTAAAAAAAAAAGTAAATGAAATTAGTAAAAACTTCAATTCAAAAATCATTTGAAATTCAATTATTTTCAAAAATTTCAATTTAAAACATTCTGAAATTTTTATTATTTCTAAAATTTTCTAAAACTTTCTGAAATTTAATAATTTTAACTATAACTCTTCCAAAATTCAATTATTCTTTAACGATTTTTATTATATTCCTTCGAAAATTCAATTATTTGAAAGCATTTTTCAAATTAGAAATTTTTTAAAATTTCAATTTTTGTCTGTAATTTCTAATCAGTTCTTTCTCATCATAAATCAATAGAAATTACAATTCAAAAATTACTTGAAATTCAATTATTTTCAAAAATTTAAATTTTTATACTTTCTAAAATTGAATTATTTCTAAAAGTTTCTGAAATCTAAAACTTTTTGAAATTTTAATAATTTCAAATATATTTTTTTTTTTTATTTTTCTGACAATAATTTATATTTTAGAGTTTTTATTTGAAACTTTTTTAAATAATTGAATTTTTAAAAAATACTAAAATATAAATAATTTATTAAAATTATTATTAATTATTATTATTATTAATTATTAAAAAATTTATTAAGTTTAGTTATCCGTTTATAATCCTTAAAGGACTGCGGAGAAATGTATTAAATAAATAAATAAAAATAATTTCAATTATAACTCTTCAAAAATTCAATTATTTTTTAATGATTTTTATAAAAATTCTTCAAAAATTCAATTATCTGAAAAAAATTTTTTAATTAAAAACTTTTGAAAGTTCAATTTTTTTTTCTGTAATTTCTAATATATATCACCAAAAAAATTTCAATTAAAAAATACTTAAAGTTCAATTATTTTAAAAAAAAATCTGAATTATAAATCTTCGAAAATTCAATTATTTTGAAAAAAAGATTATCCTTATAAATTATTTAATAAATTATTTTTAATTTTGTAAAATTTAATATTATTATCTGAAATTTAAGAAAATATTTTGAAATTCAATTATTTTCAAAAATTTCAACTATAACTCTTCCAAAATTTAATTATCTTAAATTATTATTTTTCAATTACAAATTTTGTAAAATTCAATAATAATTGTTTAAAATTAAAAAAAAAAAACCAGCAAATAAAATTACTAAAAATTTCAATTTAAAATCACTTAAAATTCAATTATTTTAAAAAAAAATTTTAACTGTAACTCTTCAAAAATTCAACTATTTTTGAATAATTTTAGTATTTTTTAAAAATTCAATTATTTAAAAAAAGTTTCAAATAAAAACTCTAAAATATGAATTATTGTCAGAAAAATAAAAAAGAATTTACAGAAAATTTATTTGAAATTTAAAATATTTCCCAATTCAATTATTTAAAAAAAAAGTTTAATTTAAAAATCTGTAAAACTCAATTATTGTCCGAATTTTTGTTTAATAATCATAACTAAAAAAAAACTATACAAAAATTTTAAATTTGAATATATCGTTTAAATCATAGTTGAAAAAATTTTAAAAATAGAACTTTAGGAATTTTTTAGAAATTTGTCCCACTTATGTATAATTAAAATTTTGAAATATTGTCTCAGTTCGATTTTGAAATATTCGAAATAAATTTTCTTGATAATATTCTTATAGAATTATTCTTATTAAGAAATTAATAAACTAAATTAAATGAATTTAATATCTAATAACAATAATTATTTAAAGTAAATTATTTATTTACTAAATTAAATTTAATTAAAATATTAAAAAATCGAGTTTTTCGACTTTTTTTTCAAATATAAATTGACTTTTTTTTGTCCTTTAAAGTCGATCCGAGGGCTGAAGTAATTCAAAATAATTAATTAAAAAACAGTAATTGTAGATTATTTGAATAATTATTATGAAAAATAAATCGTAGATATTCAAAATATAGAAATACAAATTTTACAATTATATAATTTACTTAATAATATAAATAAATGTTTCTAAAAAAAAATTATCGAAATCAAAAAATATTAATAATTGAGGATCCCGATCAAAGAACCGGTTATAATTTTTTGAAACTCAAAATCGTTGGCCCTTGAATCAAAAAAAAAAAGTTTTGAATTTTAGTTTCCTGCAAGTATTTATTTTTATAAAATTATAATTTATAAAGTTATAAATTCAAATCTTTATTATTTAAAATTTACTGGCCAGTGATTTTTAGTTAAAAAAAAAAAAATTATAACCATTTCTTTGATCGGAACCCTCAATTTTATGTTCTCCAATAAAAAATTTCTTCAATTTTTTTTTTCTTTTCCACGTACTTAAAAATTAAATAATTCAAAAACAGGTACACCATCATCACAATCGTCTCGTGATCCATCGCGAGAAACATCAAGGGATCCGTCGCCAACGCAATATCTTCGTGGCGCAACTCATCAATCGCAATATCGACCCGAATGGAGACCTCAAATGCCACCAATAAACGGACGAGAAATAGCAAATTTTCCCACACCACAAAATACCGAAATTCGTGAAGCGAATCGCGTTTCTCCACTTCAAGGGCCGCGAAATTTACCCCCTCATCAAAGTACTGGAATTTCCAATGTTGCAGGAGGATCAGTTTTTAAATCGATGCCGAATCCCGTGAATTTAACGGAAAACAAAATACAACAACAAAAATTAGAACCAGCGTCATCGTTTTCACAAAAATCGTCATCACCATCGTCATTTAATTCGGCCTTCAATGATCTCAGGCTTAACGATAATTCCCCGAGTGAATCGAAACAAACTCAGGGACAAAGTCTAATTCCAAATAATCCGGGACAAGTTCCAATTTCAAATCCAACGCAGAGTCAAATTTTAAATAGTTCAGGACAGATTCCTATTTCGAATCCTCCACAAAGTCTAATTAATCCGGGACTGGTTCCAATTTCGAATCCGCCACAAAGTCAAGGGCCAAATAATCCGGGACTGATTCCAATTTCGAATCCGCCACAAAGTCAAGGGCCAAATAATCCGGGACTGATTCCAATTTCGAATTCGCCACAAAATCAGGTTCCAAATAATCCGGGACTGATTCCAATTTCAAATCCGCCACAAAGTCAAGGGCCAAATAATCCGGGACTGGTTCCAATTTCGAATTCGCCACAAAATCAGGTTCCAAATAATCCGGGACTGATTCCAATTTCGAATCCGACGCAGAGTCAAGTTCCAAATATTCCGGGAAAAATTCCAATTTCAAATCCGGCGCAAAGTCAAATTCCAAATCCAATGCAAAATCAAATTCCAAATTTGTTACAAAGTTCTTTGAATCGAACGCAAAGTCAAGTTTCACCTCAAAATTGGAATCAAGCCACGACACCTCGTCAAAATTTGTCAAATTTTCCAAATTCAAATTTACAAGGTCCAACTAATATTTTAAATCAATCGCGAAATATTCAAACGACACAAAATCAATCCCATTTTCAAACGCAATCAAATCTTCAAAGTCAAACGAATACTATTCAAAATCCAACAAATCTTCATCAAAGTCAAACAAATTTACAAAATCCACCAAATCTTCATCAAAGTCAAACAAATTATCCAAAGCAACAAAATTTATCATCATCAAATTTAGTAGGAAATTATAAATCCAATTTCGATAATCAACGAAATTTATCCAGCGGTCAACAAACCAATCCCCGTAATGTCGATAACACAAATAATCAATTTGATGGTAAAATAACGGCAAATTATTTTAATACAAGTCAAAGTGGAGGAGGACCAATGCAAAATTCACAAAAATTATCAAATCAAACAACAATTGATCAAAGTTTGAATCGATATCCAAGTGGTAGTCAATATGGAATTTTATCACAACCGCCAATTCAACAAAATATTCCAAAGATGACGAATTTTCCAACAAATGTACAAAATACAATTCCAACGGTGACGCAAAATATTCCAAATGCTCAACAAATTGTAGGAGGTGGTAATACAACAATGCCATCGAATTTTTATCCTCAACAATCATCAAATTTACCTAGTCAAAATAATAGTAAATATCCGCCATCGAATTATTCGTATGGTAATCAATTAACGAATGCCAATTTATCGGGACCACCGTTAATGAGTCAAAATGCTGCGACGGTTCCTGGGGTACAACAGACGACGAGAATGCCGTATCCGGGAATGCCGCCAACGGCTACGATGCCACAACAGGTGAGTTGAAAAAAAACAAAAAAAAATTAAATTAAGATAAAACACCAACAGAGCAATTAAACGAAAAAAGAAAAGACAAACAATTATCAAATTCCAAGGTTTTCATTGTAATAGTGTTTACATCGGAGAATCAAAACGATATATTTAAAAAGAAGAACGTATGAACATGCAAAAAAACGACAAGATCACAGATCGACATTAATAATACATAATACAATAATACATTAATAATTAAACATAATTTTGACTTCAATAGACAGGATGTCTAACGGTTAGGGAAAAGTCAGGGAATTTCTTTAATTTTTTTTATAAATAAATAAAAGTAACAATTAATTTTAATTGGTTATTACTCTTTGGCTCAAAAATCGTCATAAAATAAATAAAGGTATATATTCAAAGCACTCTGGTTATCTCTTTTTGGCTCAAAAATTGAGCTGTGCATGTCGAAATACTCAAAACTCGACAAAAGTAAAATAAGAGCTTTTGCTCTTATTTTAAAAATATATATATTCAGAGCACCCTGGTTATTACTTTTTGGCTCAAAAATCGACAAAAAAAATAAAAGCTTTTAGTCTGTAGGTATTTTTATAATACCTAAAGATATATATATATATTTAAAGCATCCTGGTTATTTCTTTTTGGCTCAAAAATTTTCCAAAATTTAATTTATCTAAGTTAAAAAATTATCCAAATTCTATATTATTTAAATTTCAAATAATGTGAATTTCAATTTGCCAGCAATTTTAATTGACCTAATTTTAAAAATATTCAAATTTTAATTTATTTAAGTTTCAAATTATCTTAATTTTTATTAACACTAATTTTAATTGATTATAGTTTCAGATTATTTGTTTTTTAATTTATGAAAATTTTATAAAATAAAATTTTTTTTTTTTATAACTAAATAAAAGTAACAATTAATTTTAATTGGTTATTACTCTTTGGCTCAAAAATCGACATAAAATAAAAAAGATATATATTCAAAGCACTCTGGTTATCTCTTTTTGGCTCAAAAATTGAGCTGTGCATGTCGAAATACTCAAAACTCGACAAAAAGTAAAATAAAAGCTCTTATTTTTAAAATATATCAGAGCACCATGGTTATTACTCTTTGGCTCAAAAATCGACAAAAAAATAAAAGCTTTTAGTCTGTAGGTATTTTTATAATACCTAAAGATATATATATATATATATATATATATATATTCAAAGCATCCTGGTTATTTCTTTTTGGCTCAAAAATTGTCCAAAATTTAATTTATCTAAGTTAAAAAATTATCCAAATTCTATATTATTTAAATTTCAAATAATGTGAATTTCAATTTGCCAGCAATTTTAATTGACCTAATTTTAAAAATATTCAAATTTTAATTTATTTAAGTTTCAAATTATCTTAATTTTTATTAACACTAATTTTAATTGATTATAGTTTCAGATTATTTGTTTTTTAATTTATGAAAATTTTATAAAATAAAATTTTTTTTTTTTTATAACTAAATAAAAGTAACAATTAATTTTAATTGGTTATTACTCTTTGGCTCAAAAATCGACATAAAATAAAAAAGATATATATTCAAAGCACTCTGGTTATCTCTTTTTGGCTCAAAAATTGAGCTGTGCATGTCGAAATACTCAAAACTCGACAAAAAGTAAAATAAAAGCTCTTATTTTTAAAATATATCAGAGCACCATGGTTATTACTCTTTGGCTCAAAAATCGACAAAAAAATAAAAGCTTTTAGTCTGTAGGTATTTTTATAATACCTAAAGATATATATATATATATATATATTCAAAGCATCCTGGTTATTTCTTTTTGGCTCAAAAATTGTCCAAAATTTAATTTATCTAAGTTAAAAAATTATCCAAATTCTATATTATTTAAAATTCAAATAATGTGAATTTCAATTTGTCACCAATTTTAATTGACCTAATTTTAAAAATATTCAAATTTTAATTTATTTAAGTTTCAAATTATCTTAATTTTTATTAACACTAATTTTAACTGATTATAGTTTCAGTTTATATGTTTTTTAATTTATGAAAATTTTAATTTCATTCAATTTTTAAATTATATCCGAAATTTAATTCGATACAAGTTTTAAATTATCCGGAATTTCTGTTTGTCGAAATTTTATTTGACCTAAATTTCAAATCATTTGAAGTTCAATTTGCCTAAAATTTTAATTAATCTAATTTTAATTTATCAAAATTTAAAATTATCCGAATTTAACTAACTATTAATTTGAAATTAATAAATTTCAATTATTTTTATGTTTTAAATTATCTGAATTTTAATTTATCAAAATTTTGATTGATTTAAATTTCTTCAATTTTATTCAAAATTTCAATTTAGTTCAACGTTAATTAATTTTTTACCAATCAGGTTTTTTTTATCATGTTCTTTTCCTCTATTTTCGGTAAATATTTCACTTATTTATCTATATTTTTTAAGGTAAAAGTAGGTCCCGACTTTGTTTTTAGTGAAATATTAAAATTATATATAAATAAAAACCGCATAATTTACCAATAACAGTTTTTGTAAATAAATTAAATAAACAGATGTTTCAACTTGATTAAACATTAATGTGATAAGAAACGATTTGGAAACTTTTTTTCTACGATATAACTAATTTTTTGTGGAAATTTTTTTTCTTTTTTTTTTTTGTGTATTAATTTAAATATTTCATTTTTTTTCCAATGCAATGAATTTATTATGGTTACAATATATTTTGATTTGCAATTTTTTGTATTTCATTTCACAAAATTTGTATCTATGTAAAATTTATTTTTGACAAATTTTAATATTTAAAAAAAATTTTAAATATATCAAATTGAAGTAAAAAATTGTAATTTTTATTTTTGCATTCGGTGATACAATTAGATGGGGTGGCATGGCACGAAAAAAATCCCACCGCTGCCACCATTTAATTGTACCTCCAAATGCAAAAATAAACTATAAATAAATTAAAATTCAGTTAATTAGATAATAAATTTGAAGAACATCTTTCTAAAATTACTTGATATAATAATTTTAAGTAATTAAATTAACCCTTAATTTTAAGGGTTGAATATTTTGCGTAACAGATTCTGACCCGAAAATTTTGGAACAACTGTTTTTTGGATTAGTTTTATTTATTATAGAATTTTTAACTTATTATTATTATTATTATTATTATTAAATTTTTCTTAACTATAATTATTTTTATAAAAAAAATAATTATTTTAATATATTGCTTTAAATTCTTAAAATTATACTTATGTGACGATTTCTGAAGCAAAGGATGCAGGTAAATGGAGCATTTATCTTAAATGTAAAAAAAAAATTTTCAGCAAAATCTACAAGACACGAGACCTCCATATCCACGGCCAATGTCCAATGTTCCTCTAGATAACATGGCAAAAAGATATCCAACTGCTTATCCAGATCAACTCAATCAACAAAATAGTCAAATTAGTGGATATGGCGTTACTCAAACTGGTTTTAATAAACTATGGGTACAATTTTTATTTATTATTATTATTATTATTATTATTATTATTATTACCTATTACTGTTAATATTAATAATAATTCAAGTTACAAATAATAATTTAATTATTTACAAATATTATTAAAATTTTAGGGAAATGATACTGTTGATCTTCTGCAGTGTAGAAATATTTTACCATCGGATAAAGTTGAACCTCCTAAAATAAAATTACATCAAGACTTTTTAGATCAAGTAAACTGTAGTCCAGAGTACGTATTATAGAATTTTATCAAAAATTTAAAAAATAAATTAATTAAAGTTCCTTTAAAAAAAAAAAATATTTAAACATGAAATTTTGAAACTTATCGATTGATACAATTTTTATTTCTTATTTTATTGTTTCAGTATTTTCCGATGTACACTCACGAAAATTCCAGAATCGAATTCCCTTTTACAAAAATCGAGATTACCATTGGGTGTTCTTATTCATCCGTTCAAAGATTTATACGTGAGTGTTTAAAAATAAATAGTAAAAAAAAAAAAAAAGACAAAAAGTTTCTTGTGGAATTTATTTTTATGGGGGAAATAAAATTTCTTTTCTTTTTTTTTTGTCTCTCTTAGCATTTAGCAGTGATACAATGCAGTACAATTGTTCGTTGTCGTGCTTGTCGAACTTATATTAATCCTTTCGTCTATTTTGTCGACTCGAAAAGATGGAAATGTAATTTATGTTACCGAGTTAACGAACGTAAGTATTTAATTTGTCATTAAATAAAAAAAAAATTTACTAAATTTAATATAATTAAATAAAGTCAGAATTTTTCAAATTTAATATATATAGTTCCAGATGAATTTCAATTTGATCCAGCTACAAAATCTTACGGTGATCCATCACGTAGACCGGAAGTTAAAACCAGCACAATTGAATTTATCGCACCCAGTGAATACATGGTAATCTTTTATTTATTTGCTTCTTCAATTGTATTTACTGTATTTTCTTTCAAATTTTTAATTTTTCCTTTTTATAATTCTTTTTCATGAAAAAAAGTAGTTCTAGCTTTCACGAAATTAAATTCTTTTTTGATCGTAATAATAATTAAACAAGTACGATCAAGAGAAAAAATTAAGATATATTATTGAAATTTGTTAAAATATTTTTTTGTTTTGATTAATTAATTTTATTTATTAAATTCTACAGCTCCGTCCACCGCAACCGGCGGTTTATCTTTTTGTTTTGGATGTCTCGCGACTCGCTGTTGAAAGTGGTTATTTAAATGTTGTTTGCAAAACAATTGAGGAAGAACTTACAAAAATGCCGGGCGACGGAAGAATGCAAATTGGATTCATTGCAATTGATTCGGCGATTCATTTCTTTAGTTTGGCGGACGGTGTTTCGCAGCCACACGAAATGATAATGCTCGATGTTGAAGGTATGTTAATTATTTTTTAAATTTAATTACATTTTTAATTTTGGCAAATAATTAACTTTTAATTATGTAATTTTACTTCTTAATTTTTTTTACTATTAACAAGCCTCAGATTATTATACGACTTTATTTGACTTTTTCTTCAGAACTTCTTTATTTCAATTATTTAAGAAAAAATTTTAACTAAAATTTATAACAATCTTAATTATTATTAATAACTTTTTATGAAAAATCTTTACAAATACAATTATATTTAACTATTTTTCAAATAAATAAACATTTTGTGAAAACAATAATTTAGTAAAAATACAGCAAAATTAGAAATTTATCACTTTTTAGTCCATTTTTCATTGTTCTCAACCCTTTAATTCCATAGAACAATGGAAAATGGAACATTTTACGTATTTTAACCCTTTTTGCTACAAATTCCATTGTTCTATGGGATTAAAGGGTTGAAAACAATGGAAAATGAAGCATTTTTCGAAATTTTGATTTTTGCTCCATTTTCCATTGTTCTCAACCCTTTAACCCCATAGAACAATGGAAAATGGATCATTTACGTATTTTAACCCTTTTTGCTTCAATTTCCATTGTTCTATGGGATTGAAGTGTTGAAAACAATGGAAAATGAAGCAATTTTCGAAATTTTGCTCCATTTTCCATTGTTCTCAACCCTTTAACCCCATAGAACTATGGAAAATGGATCATTTTCCGTATTTTAACACTTTTTGCTCCATTTTCCATTGTTGCAGAGGATTAAAGGGTCAAAAACAATGGAAAATAGAGCATTTTTCGAAAATTTTTGATTTTTGCTCTATTTTCCATTGTTCCCAACTATTTAATTCCATAGAACAATGGAAATTGGAGCAAAAGGGGTTAAAAAACGTAAAATGCTCCATTTTCCATTGTTGTAGAGGATTAAAGGGTCGAAAACAATGGAAAATGAAGCAAATTTTCGAAAATTTTGATTTTTGCTCTATTTTCCATTGTTCCTAATTATTTAATTCCATAGAACAATGGAAATTGGAGCAAAAGGGGTTAAAATACGTAAAATGCTCCATTTTCCATTGTTTTATGGAATTAAAGGGTTGAGAACAAGGGAAAATGGAGAAAAATTTCAAAATTTTCAACAAATGCTCCATTTTCCATTGTTTTCAACCCTTTAATTCCTTAGAACAATGGAAATTGGAGCAAAAAGGGTTAAAATACGTAAAATGCTCCATTTTCCATTGTTCTAGGGGATCAAAGACTAGAAAACAATGGAAAATAGAGCATTTTACGTATTTTAACCCTTTTTGTTCCAATTTCCATTGTTCAAAAATTCAAAATTTTCGAATAATGCTCCATTTTTCATTGTTTTCAAACCTTTAATCCCCTAGAACAATGGAAATTGGGGATCAAAGGGTTGAAAACAATGGAAAGTGGAGAAAAATCAAAATTTTCAAAATATTCTCTATTTTCCATTGTTTTTAACCCTTTAATCCCCTAGAAGAATGGAAATTGGAGCAAAAAGTGTTAAAATATGGAAAATGATCCATTTTCCATAGTTCTATGGGGTTAAAGAATTGAAAACAATGGAAAATGGAGCATTTTTTGAAAATTTTGAACATTGCTCCATTTTTCCTTGTTCTCAACCCTTTAATTCCATGGAACAATGGAAAATGGAGCATTTTACGTATTTTAACCCCTTTTGCTCCAATTTCCATTGTTCTAAGGAATTAAATGGTTGGGAACAATGGAAAATGGAGCAAAATTCAAAATTTTCGAAAAATGCCCCATTTTCCATTGTTTTCGACCCTTTAATTTCATAGAACAATGGAAAATGGAGCATTTTACGTATTTTAACCCCTTTTGCTCCAATTTCCATTGTTCTATGGAATTAAATGGTTGGAAACAATGGAAAATGGAGCAAAATTCAAAATTTTCGAAAAATGCTCCATTTTCCATTGTTTTTCGTCCTTTTAATCCTCTAGGACAATGAAAATGGAGCGTTTTACGTATTTTAAGCCCTTTTGATCCAATTTTTATTATTCTAGGGGATTAAATGGTTGAAAACAATGGAAAATGGAGCATTTTTCAAAAATTTTGAATTTTGCTCCATTTTCCATTGTTTTCAACCCTTTAATCCCCTAAAACAATGGAAAATAGAGCTTTTTTATAAATTTTAATTCTTTTTGCTCCCTTTCCCATTGTTTTAACTCTTTAATCTCCTAAAGCAGTAGAAAATGGTTCATTTTTTGAAATTTTTTCCCTTTTTACTGCATTTTCCATTATTTTTAGTTCTTTTTTTATTGATTTTTCGCAGAAGACAATGAAAAAACAAGCAAAGTCGATCTGTGACTCGTACCTATAACTATTTTATTTATTTATTTATACAATAATAAGAAAATGTAAAGAGGTGTAAATAAGAAATCAAATTAAATTCTATTTATTTATTTTTTTTAGATGTATTTTTACCCTGTCCGGAGAATTTGATAGTTAATTTGAAAGAAAGAGGTGCTTTGGTCGATATGCTGTTGAAGCAATTGCCCTCCAAGTTTGAGGGAACACATGATACACAATGTGCTTTAGGAGCCGGATTACAAGCCGCTTATAAACTCATGGTAATTAATCAATCAATTTATTTTAATGAAAGAAAAAAAAATTCATTAATATTTTTTTTATTATAAAACTATTTTTTCTTTTTGTTCTTTATGTTTTTTTTTAGTAGTTTACTATTAAAATAAAATATCCATAAAATCTTACACTTTTTTTTGTTTTTATAGAAACTAATTTTGTAGTAATATTTTTAGTTTAATGAATTAGGTAAAAGAATAAATAGGAAAATATTTCGAAAACATTTAATTAATAAGAATTATTATTTTGCGTGATTCGTAAAATTCTTCTCGGACGTAGAAGATTATTAGTTTAATTTAACTTTTTATTTGTGTTCTAAAAAAAATTTTAATATATTAAAAAAATATTCAAAATTCTTTTTTAATTATTTTGTTAAAAAAAATAATTGTCAATTTCAGTCATCGACTGGAGGTCGAGTTACGGTTTTCCAAACTTGCCTACCAAATGTCGGTCCAGGTGCTTTACAATCGCGTGAAGATCCGAGCACACGCGCCAACAAAGATGTTCCAAATTTAAATCCTGTTACCGATTTTTACAAACGTCTCGCACTCGACTGCAGCAGCCAACAAATTGCAATTGATCTGTTTCTTCTAAATTCTCAATACAGTGATTTAGCCACACTCTGTAAGTGTATTTATTTTCTAAAAATTACATCTATTTGTGTTTAAGATTTATTTAGAAAATAAGCAAAACATCAGAAAGTTCTAAAAATCATTTGTTAGAATTTTCTTTTATTAGAATTTTATAAGATATAATTTTAATTTAGCCGAATTTTATTTATTCGAACTAGCAAAATTAAACGGGCGCCAAATTGAGTATTTAATTGTTTGTTATAAAGAAATTAAAGATTAATATTATCAATAATAATTTAATTTATTAGAATATTATTACATATTAAATGATAATAATGAAAATTATATATGTTTACAGGCCTCGGATTATACGACTTTTTCCGACTTTTTTCAAAAATACGACTTTTATCGACTTATTTTAATAAAATGCGACATTTCTTTTTACATTTGAAAAAAAAATGTAAATAAAATACATTTTTTTAGTATAAAATGTAGATCTTCTTCAGATCTTCTTCAATTCAATTATTTAACAAATTTTGAACTAAAATGATTCTTCACTAAATTAATTATTTTTAATAATTTTAATGAAATACATCACAAATTCAATTATATCAAAATTATTTTTCAATTAAAATTTTGATGAAATTTAATAATTGTTTATAATTTAAAAAACAAAAAATATCACAATAAAATTTAATTATTTTTTAAAAATTTCAATTCAAAATAAACTAAAATTCAATTATTACCCGAAATTTTAATTCAAAATCAATTAAAAATCCAATAATTATCCACCAAATTTTCAATTTAAAATTTAATTATTTACCAAGTTTTCAATTTAAAATAAAATAAAATTCAATTATTTTCTAAAATTTCTATTCAAAATTAATTATCCAAATTTTCAATCAAAAATGAACTTAAATTAAATTATTATCCAAAATTTCAATTAAAATTCAATTATTTCCCAAAATATTCAATTCAAAATGAACTGAAATTAAATTATTTTTCAAATTTACAATTCAAAATCGACCAAAATTCAATTATTTTCCAAAATTTTAATTCAAAATTAACTAAAATTTAATTATGTAAAAAAATTTCAATTCAAACTCAACCAAAATTCAATTATTTTTCAAAATTTAAATTCAAAATCAAGTAAAATTGAATTATTTTTGAAAATTTCAATTGAAATTCAATTATTTTCAAAATTTTCAATTCAAAATTAACTAAAATTTCTATTATTACCCAAAATTTCAATTCAAAACCAATTAATTTCAAAATTTTCAATTCAAAATCAGCTAAAATTCAATTATTTTACAAAATTTACAATTCAAAATCAACTAAAATTAAATTGTTTTTAAAATTTCAATTTAAAATCAATTATTTTGAAAATTTTCAATTCAAAATCAACTAAAATTAAATTATTTTCAAAATTTTCATTCCAAAATCAACCAAAATTCAATTATTTTCTAAAATTTTAATTCAAAATTAACTAAAATTTAATTATTTAAAAAATTTTCAATTCATACTCAACCAAAATTCAATTATTTTTCAAAATTTAAATTCAAAATCAAATAAAATTGAATTATTTTCGAAAATTTCAATTGAAATGCAATTATTTTCAAAATTTTCAATTCAAAATCAACTAAAATTTCTATTATTACCAAAAATTTCAATTCAAAACCAATTAATTTCAAAATTTTCAATTCAAAATCAGCTAAAATTTAATTATTTTACAAAATTTACAATTCAAAATCAACTAAAATTAAATTGTTTTTAAAATTTCAATTTAAAATCAATTATTTTCAAAATTTTCAATTCAAAATCAACTAAAATTAAATTATTTTCAAAATTTTTATTCCAAAATCAACCAAAATTCAATTATTTTCTAAAATTTTAATTCAAAATTAACTAAAATTAAAATTCAATTATTTCCCAAAATTTTCAATTCAAAATGAACTGAAATTAAATTATTTTCCAAATTTACAATTCAAAATCAACCAAAATTCAATTATTTTCCAAAATTTTAATTTAAAATTAACTAAAATTTAATTATTTAAAAAAATTTCAATTCAAACTCAACCAAAATTCAATTATTTTCAAAATTTTCAATTCAAAATCAACTAAAATTCAATTCTTTTCAAAATTTTCAATTTAAAATCAAATAAAATTCAATTCTTACCCAAAATTTTCAATTCAAAATCAACTAAAATTCAATTATTTTCCAAATTTTCAATTTAAAATCAAATAAAATTCAGTTCTTACCCAAAATTTCAATTTAAAATCAATTAAAATCCAATAATTATCCAAAATTTTCAATTTAAAATTTAATTATTTACCAAGTTTTCAATTTAAAATGAAATAAAATTCAATTATTTTTTAAAATTTCTATTCAAAATTAATTATCCAAATTTTCAATCAAAAATGAACTTAAATTAAATTATTATCAAAAATTTCAATTAAAATTCAATTATTTCCCAAAATTTTCAATTCAAAATGAATTGAAATTCAATTATTTTCCAAATTTAAAATCAAATAAAATTTAATTATTCTCAAAAATTTTAATTTAAAATTAATTGAATTTTCAATAATTTGAATTTAAAAGCATCTAAAATGTAATTATTTCTAAAATTTTCCATCGAAAATTTTTTTTTTTTCGAAATTTAATAATTTCAATTATAACTCTAAGGAAATTCAATTATTTTTAACTATTTTAATAATATTCTTTGAAAATTCAACTATCTGAAACCATTTTTCAATTAACAATGATTTTCAAATTATTGTATTTTGTTCTCAATTTTCTAATAAATTTTTAGTGAAATCATCTAAAATTTTAATTACAAAACACTTAAAGTTTCAATTAATTTAAAAAATCTCAATTTTAAATCTTTGAAAATTCAATTAAATTTAAAAAATGTTTTCCAAAAATTATTTGATAAATTATTTTTAGTTCTGTAAAATTTAATAATTGTTTGAAAATTAACAATATCTTTTGAAATTTAATTATTTCTAAAAATTTCAACTTTAACCCTTCGAAAAGGATTATTATTAAAAAAAATTTTTTTATGTAAAAATCTATAAAATATTTTTGTTAAAATAAAAAACAAATCCACTTTTTTTTGGAATATAAATCGACTAAAACGACTTTTTGTGTCTTTAAGTTGATTCGAGGCCTGTGTTTTTTATAATTAATATTTAATAGATATTCGTTGGCCCCTGGTACCTTAAAAATTAATTTTGAAAAATAAATTTTTTTCAAATTACTATCTTGTACGAAATTTCCTGGCGTATCTTTTTTCTCATCATAAATTTTTTGTATTTATATACAATTTTTGAATCAATATACAACTTTAAAAAAAAATTTCGTTGATAAACGTTGTGTACTTCAGCTTCGTGAATTGAATTTTCAAATTTGGAATTTTAAAGAAACTTATTCCGAAATTTGAAAACACAATTATACAACTTTGGCAAAAATGAGAAAAAGAATTGTCAAAATTTGACACGTCATAAGATTACTATTCAAAAAAAAACACGTGAAATCAGAAAAGGTCAACTTCAAGTTAGGACAGAAGGACAGACCAAGCATTTTATTATTATATAATTATTATTTTGCAGAATTTTCACTTAAAGGAAAAATCATTTAACATAATTTCTAATTGATTCAATTTTAATTTATCCGAACAATCGATTTCGGCGCTTTTTTAAAAAATCAACCAATTAAAAATTATCCATTTTGTGATTGGTTGATATTAAAAATCGCGCCGAAAAGCGATTGTTCGGACATTTTCAAATTTCGGACAAATTGAAATTCTATTAATTAATAATTCTGTTAAATGATTTTTCGATTAAGTTTTTCGAAAATGCCGTAAAATGAAAAATCGATTATATGGGAAATTCTATTAATTTTGAAATAAATAAAAATTCAAAGGCAAAATATATAAATTTTTTTGTATTTTTTCCAGCTGGTATGTGTAAATTTTCGGGTGGCTGTATATATCATATTCCACTATTTCGAATATCAAAATCGCCAAGTGTTGAGACGCTCGATCGCACATTACGTCGTTATTTAACAAGAAAAATTGGACTCGAAGCAGTGATGAGAATTCGTTGCTCACGCGGTTTAAGCATTCATTCATTCCATGGTAATTTCTTCGTTAGATCGACCGATTTATTGAGTTTGCCAAACGTTAATCCCGACGCTGGATTTGGAATGCAAGTTTCAATTGATGAGAATTTATCCGATGTTCAAAATATCTCTTTTCAGGCTGCCTTACTTTATACATCAAGTAAAGGTAAATAATTGTCATTGTCCTTTTTTTTCAATATTGTAATTTTTCATTTTCTTTTCAATTTATTCTCTAAACCTTTTGGAATGTAATATTTATTTCTTTGTGATAGGAGAGAGAAGAATAAGGGTCCACACACTATGCCTACCAGTAACGAATAGTCTTACGGATATTTTACATTCGGCGGATTCACAATGTATAGTTGGACTTTTGTCAAAAATGGCAGTCGATAGATCATTACAATCATCTTTATCGGATGCAAGAGATGCTCTAATTAATGCCGCTGTTGATATGCTTTCCGCTTACAAAATATCGCAATCATCACCAACTGGAGGTCTCTTGGCACCCGATAATCTTAAACTATTACCTCTTTATATTATTGCCTTACTAAAATGCGTAAGTTCACTTTTTTTCCTATTATTATTATTACTAGCAATATTAAATGCGCGCCAAATTGAGTATTTAGATTTATTAGAATATTATTTCATATTAAATGATAATAATGAAAATTATTATTATATGTTATTAAATTATATATAAAATTGAATTATTTTCCAAATTTTCAATTTAAAATTCAATAATTTACCAAGTTTTCAATTTAAAATTAAATAAAATTCAAATATTACCCGAAATTTTAATTCAACATCAACTTAAATTAAATTATTATCCAAAATTTCAATTAAAATTCAATTATTTTCCAAAATTTCGAGTCAAAATTAATTATTATCAAAATTTTCAATCAACTAAGATTAAATTATTTTCCAAATTTTCAATTTAAAATTCAATTATTTACCAAGTTTTCAATTTAAAATGAAATAAAATTCAATTATTTTTTAAAATTTTTATTCAAAATTAATTATCGAAATTTTCAATTAAAAATGAACTTAAATTAAATTATTATCGAAAATTTCAATTAAAATTCAATTATTACCCGAAATTTTAATCCAAAATCAACTTAAATTAAATTATTATCCAAAATTTCAATTAAAATTTAATTATTTTTCAAAATTTCGAGTCAAAATTAATTATTATCAAAATTTTCAATCAGCAATCAACTAAAATTAATTATTTTCAAATTTTCAATCAACAATCAACTAAAATTAAATTATTTTCAAATTTTCAATTTAAAATTCAATTATTTACCAAGTTTTCAATTTAAAATGAAATAAAATTCAATTATTTTCCAAAATTTTAATTCAAAATTAACTAAAATTTAATTATTTAAAAAATTTTCAATTCATACTCAACCAAAATTCAATTATTTTTCAAAATTTAAATTCAAAATCAAATAAAATTGAATTATTTTCGAAAATTTCAATTGAAATTCAATTATTTTCAAAATTTTCAATTCAAAATCAACTAAAATTTCTATTATTACCCAAAATTTCAATTCAAAACCAATTAATTTCAAAATTTTCAATTCAAAATCAGCTAAAATTCAATTATTTTACAAAATTTACAATTCAAAATCAACTAAAATTACATTGTTTTTAAAATTTTCATTCCAAAATCAACCAAAATTCAATTATTTTCTAAAATTTCTATTCAAAATTAATTAACCAAATTTTCAATCAAAAATGAACTTAAATTAAATTATTATCGAAAATTTCAATTAAAATTCAATTATTACCCGAAATTTTAATCCAAAATGAACTTAAATTAAATTATTATCCAAAATTTCAATTAAAATTTAATTATTTTCCAAAATTTCGAGTCAAAATTAATTATTATCAAAATTTTCAATCAGCAATCAACTAAAATTAATTATTTTCAAATTTTCAATCAACAATCAACTAAAATTAAATTATTTTCAAATTTTCAATTTAAAATTCAATTATTTACCAAGTTTTCAATTTAAAATGAAATAAAATTCAATTATTTTCCAAAATTTTAATTCAAAATTAACTAAAATTTAATTATTTAAAAAATTTTCAATTCATACTCAACCAAAATTCAATTATTTTTCAAAATTTAAATTCAAAATCAAATAAAATTGAATTATTTTCGAAAATTTCAATTGAAATTCAATTATTTTCAAAATTTTCAATTCAAAATCAACTAAAATTTCTATTATTACCCAAAATTTCAATTCAAAACCAATTAATTTCAAAATTTTCAATTCAAAATCAGCTAAAATTCAATTATTTTACAAAATTTACAATTCAAAATCAACTAAAATTACATTGTTTTTAAAATTTTCATTCCAAAATCAACCAAAATTCAATTATTTTCTAAAATTTCTATTCAAAATTAATTAACCAAATTTTCAATCAAAAATGAACTTAAATTAAATTATTATCGAAAATTTCAATTAAAATTCAATTATTACCCGAAATTTTAATCCAAAATGAACTTAAATTAAATTATTATCCAAAATTTCAATTAAAATTTAATTATTTTCCAAAATTTCGAGTCAAAATTAATTATTATCAAAATTTTCAATCAGCAATCAACTAAAATTAATTATTTTCAAATTTTCAATCAACAATCAACTAAAATTAAATTATTTTCAAATTTTCAATTTAAAATTCAATTATTTACCAAGTTTTCAATTTAAAATAAAATAAAATTCAATTATTTTTTAAAATTTCGATTCAAAATTAATTATCGAAACAATGCCAAAAAAACATTGAAAAATTTTAACCAACACAAAATAATGTCAAACAATACATTTAAAAAAAACAAAAGACCTATAACAAATACTAACTTCAGGTGTGGACAGAATGAACGAAAGATATTCACGATTATTATTATTATTATTATTATTATTATTATTATTTACTATTTATTAAAACGAATGTAGTCATCAGTGGACTAAGTTTTCTTTTTCGTATCTAATTTGCATATTCTTTTAGTTCAGATTTTCACTAAAAAACAGTTTTGAGATCTATAAAAAATAATCAAAAAAGATTCCGTAAGCAGAATTTTACAGTTTTCATTTTGAAAATTAATTTTTTTTTTTTTTGCTAATTAACAGGTTGCATTCAGATCGGGAATGAATACACGTGTTGACGATCGAATTTTTGCCATGTGCCAATTAAAAACATTACCTCTTTCACAATTAATTCAAACTATTTATCCGGATCTTTATGCGGTTCATACATTGGATGATAAACAACGTGTGAAAGATATTGATGGTCGTATTTGTCCACAACCATCGAGGCTACATTTATCAGCTGAGAGACTTGATTCACGAGGTGTTTTTCTATTGGATACGGGCGACAAAATTCTCATCTATGTTGGTAAAAATATTAATCCAACATTCTGCTCCAATGTCTTTGGAGTTCCTGATTTTACATCGTTACCAGAAGAAATGGTAATTATAATTTTCGTTCGTAAATATTTAATTTTTTTTTTGGTTTTTAAAATGGCAAAATTTAACACTTTTTTTTGCTGTTTTTAATTCTATTTTAGTATGAATTACCCGAATTCTCAAATCCAGACTCGGAAAGGCTGAGTAGTTTTGTATTTAGTCTACAAGAGGAAAAACCATATTACGTGTCTCTTCAAATAATCAGGTAATGTGGAAAAGAATTATTTTAAATTTCAAATTGAAATTTTAATTATTTTAAACTATTTTTTAAGTAAAAATTTTATGAAATTCAATAATTGTTTAAAATTAGAAGAAAAAAAAATGATCAAATAAAATTACCAAAAATTTCATTGCAAAATCACTTGAAATTTAATTATTTTGTAAAAATTTTTCATCTAAAACTTTTTGAAATTTAATTATATCAACTGTAACTCTTCAAAAATTCAATTATTTTTAATAATTAATGTTATTAGATATTTAATTCATTTTTATTTTTATTCATTTCATTTATATTTATAATAATAATAATAATAATAATAATAATAATAATAATAATAATAATAATAATAATAATAATAATCATTCTATAAGAATATTATCAAAAAAATTTATTTCGAATATTTAAATTTTTAGAAATAATTGAATTTCAAAAGATTTTGTTAAAATTCAGTAAATAATTAAATTTTACCGAATTGAAAATAATTTATCAAATAATTATAGAAAACCTATTTATTAAATAAATTAATTTTTGATAATTCACAATGAAATTATTATTAATTATTAAATTATTAGCTTTAGATTTTTGTAAATAATTGAATTTCAAGTGATTTTGAATTTGAAATTTCTAAAAAAATTATTGAATTTCATAACAATTTTAATTGAAAAATAATTAAAATAATTGAATTTGTGAAGAATTTCGTTAACATAATTGAAAATAATTGAATTTTAAAAAAGTTACCAATTAAATTTTTAGAAATAATTGAATTTCAAAAGATTTTGTTAAAATTCAGTAAATAATTAAATTTTACCGAATTGAAAATAATTTATCAAATAATTATAGAAAACCTTTTTATAAAATAATTTAATTTTTGATAATTCACAATGAAATTATTATTAATTATTAAAATTATTAGCTTTAGATTTTTGTAAATAATTGAATTTCTAAGTGATTTTGAATTTGAAATTTCTAAAAAAATTATTGAATTTCATAAAAATTTTAATTGAAAAATAATTAAAATAATTGAATTTGTGAAGAATTTCGTTAACATAATTGAAAATAATTGAATTTTAAAAAAGTTACCAATTAAATTTTTAGAAATAATTGAATTTCAAAAGATTTTGTTAAAATTCAGTAAATAATTAACTTTTACCGAATTGAAAATAATTTATCAAATAATTATAGAAAACCTTTTTATAAAATAATTTAATTTTTGATAATTCACAATGAAATTATTATTAATTATTAAAATTATTAGCTTTAGATTTTTGTAAATAATTGAATTTCAAGTGATTTTGAATTTGAAATTTTTAAAAAATTATTGAATTTCAAGTGATTTTGAAATTTTTAAAAAATTATTGAATTTCATAAAAATTTTAATTGAAAAATAATTAAGATAATTGAATTTGTAAAGAATTTCGATAAAATAATTGAAAATAATTGAATTTGTGAAGAATTTCGTTAAAATAATTGAAAATAATTGAATTTTTTGAAGAATTTCGTTAAAATAATTGAAAATAATTGAATTTTAAAAAAAGTTCAATTTTTCAAAATAATTTAAAATGAATGAAAAATAATTTATGAAATAATTTTAGATAAAATTTTTTTTTTTTTAAATAATTGAATTTTCTAAAAATTTACAACTCATGTTTTACATTTTATTCATTACCAAATTTTTTATAATGAATAAAAATTTAATTAATTTTTATAGTTATTTATTTATTATTTTTTAGTTAATTAATTATTTTTTTTATTATTATTTACTTCCAAATATAAAATTTGTATACAAAAAAGGTATAATTTATAAATTAACAATAAACATTTACAGGGATGACAGTCACTTTAGAACACTATTCACTGAAAGATTAGTGGAGGATCGCTTTGAATCAGCATTAAGTTATTATGAATTCTTGCAGCATTTAAAGCCGCAAATAAAGTGAAAGACTGTAAAAAAAAAAAAAAAAAAAAATGAAAATAAGAGAGACAAAAGTGAATTTGAAATTCTACGAGTTAAGTTCGTCGAAAGACCAAAAATTTGTATTTGGTAATTATAAAAATTTAATTAAAATGAAATTATACATAAAAAAAAATGAATATATATATATAAATATAAAGAATTGAGAGGAAAAATGCCATAAAAAGATAACCGGTAAACGGTATACTTTAAAGCATTTAAAGTAATAGAATGTAATTATAAATATTATTATTATATTATTATTATAATTATTATTATTATTATTATTATTATTATTATTATCATTCAATCAACATTATATGCTCTGCGATCGTTATTTCCTTTTTTCTTTTGTTTTTGTAAATGTAGTGAAAAAGGAGAACTTTTGCAATAATGCACGCTTTATAAATGAATTTTTGTTTAAAAAAAAAAAAACAGTTTTTTTCCAACTTCCGAGTTTTATGGCAAATATATAAAGAAAAAAACAATGTTTTTAATAATTTTTCTTTTTTTTATAAATATATAAAAAATATCTAAATAGTTTTAAACTACAATATTAATAATAATGTATTAAACATAAAAATTCTTGAAATTTGTCATAAAAACTCGAGTAATATTGTTATATACATATATATATATAATTACAGTGCGATATTGATGAGTCGTTGTTATTAAAACAGAAAAAAAAACACAAAAAAAAAAATAAAATAAGAAAGAGTTATATTATTCGCAATTGTAATATATTAATCAAATAATCGAAAATAGTGAATAATAAATTAATAAAAACGATGAATAAGTGTCCTCTACATATTAAAATTGAAAAATGGGGAAAAAATATATGTATATCATAGACACAGAACGGTTTCTTTATAAAAAAAAAAATACATTAGTTTAATTTATTAAAAAAGAAAAATAGGAAACGATTTTTTAACAGAATAAATGTGAATATTTTAGTTAGATTTTAATTATAGTTTTAGAATATTTCGATTTTTATTTTTTAGTATAATAATTTTTTTGTTATTAAAATTAAAGTTATTAGTCTCAACATATATAGTTTCATGTCTTTTTATTGATGAAGAAAATATTTTTATGCCATTTTTAAATATTTATTCATGATTTTCAATTTTTTATAATTTTGCTCACATAACCTCGAAATTAGAAACTAAATTAAAAATCGCTTCTCTTACATTTGTTTGGAATTTAATGCAGAGTATTTAAAAAAAAAATTTCTAATCGGTTAAGAACTGTGAGCGCTATATTATAATATAAAGCTATAACAGATAAAATAAAATAAATGTTAAATTCGGTCTAATTAATGCTAAATAACATATTAATTTCGCTTTTTTGCTGAGATATTTCGAGTGAAAGAGTCTCCTTAATGTGAAAAAGGCATTTTTTTGCTTTTGTCAATTGTATATCGATGTAATAATTGTTGAATCTAATCTTTTCATCCAAATGGACCCCCCAGGTATTTCACTGTATTTCTATTTGGCAACGGTTCACCCCCCTCTTTCGGCGTTATTGAAAAATCTCTCCATACTTTTGTAAATTTAGCTTTAACTTTATTTGTATTTGGTCTAAACAAAATCGTCTCGCATTTATCCAAGTTTACTTTGAGTTTCCACGTTCCATAGAAATTTACAATTTTTCGAAATATATCTTAGAGGATTTCTTTCGTCCTATTTAAATCTCTATATTTCACATATAGTATCACGTCATCTGCGAATGCTATGCCCCTTTTTTTTGACTTTGAAAAATATATTTATTGTTCATAAAATACACAGTTAAGTTTACAAAAGAAACATTATAAAATATATAAGCTATCGTTTCGAGTACGCAGTTCTCTTAGGAACTTTATAACCTCAGTAAATAAAAATCTCTGATTTCTTATTTATATTTTTGATTTAGATCGGTTATGATCGTTAGTTAAAATAATATTTATTTAAGTAAAAATGTTAATAAAAAACTTATTAGAAAACTATGCTTATGCCCTTTAACCAAAGAAGAGCCATTTATTGCTAACTTAAAATGACCGTTAGTAGAAAATAAAGGCGCTCTCTCACCTTTTTGGCTGCCTGCAGGTTACCATGGCAACGCATGAGAGTGAGTGCGACAGAAAATTTAAAAATTTGAATTTACAAATTTTCTGTCTCACTCACACTCGTGCGTTGCCATGGTAACCTGCAGGCAGGCAGGCAGCCAAAAAAGGTGTGAGTGCGCCATAAGAATTTCTGATTCGTTGACTTTTTTAATTCATCAGGGTTGGATAGTTTATCCATAAAGGTGCGATCACACATTTCGATTGCGTGAAAAAAGATTTGTGAACGCGCACCCTATTGTAAGTTAAGGTGCTTTTATACTTTCTTGGTTTTTTTGTCGAGCGATGAATTTTCACTATCGAATCACTGAACTGTACTTAGCTTTTGCATCTATTCTGGAACTGCCTTGAAAATTCATCGCTCGCCAAAAACCAAATAGGTATAATAGCACCTTTAAAGAATATTAAAGTTGCTTACGTAAGGTTGGTTTCCATTGTCCCCACTCGCCATTTTGTCATAATTCTCGTCAACTACCGCTCCCTGCTCTAGTTAAAAAGTGACTTTATTGTTAAAAGTAAAAGTTACTACAAAGTTACTAAATTTTTACTAGAGCAGTGTGCGGTAGTTGACGAGAATTATGACAAATGGCGAGTGGGGACAATGGAAACCAACCCATAGCTTCTTCCTTTTCGGCAAGCAATGAATTTTCATGTAAAATCACTGAATTTTATTGGCTATGACAAATATTCCTTTTCCATGGAAAAAATGGTAATTCAATCTTAAAGGTGCTTTTATACCTTCGATTTTTTGGTCAAGCAATCGGCTGAATTCATGGCTCGCTCAAAAATAACGAAGGTATAAAAGCACCTTTATGGAGCGTGGCAACCGTGTAAGAGTAAGAGAGATAGAAGATTTTCCATCTCTCTTACTCTTACACGGTTGCCATTGGCAACTGCTCCTGCAGGCGAGGTGTGACCGCTCCATTAAGGCGCTTGTACACCTCACAAATTCTGAGTATCCTTGGAATTTGTCAGAAGTTTTACTAACTTTGATTGGCTTTGCTCATAGAGAATTTGAAAATTTTCCTATCTTTTCGAAATTCTCCATGAGCAAGGCCAATCAAAATTAGTATAACTTTTTGACAAATTCCGAGTATACTTAGAATTTGTGAGGTGTACAAGCGCCTTTATCTTGTATTAACAGAAGTCCATTGTGAACACAGCCTAAAAATTCTCGAACTCAATAGTCGATAAAGTAGAAATCGATATACTATTTTTTTAAAAAAAAGACGTTGTAAATAACTACACATATAAAAATAAATGTAAATAAAATTTAAATAATAACTATTTTACAAAATTGCAATTAAATCAAAAAAAAAATCACTTATAGAAATAATTAAATTGAAAAAAACTCCAAAAATTTTTAAATAGAAAGTTATAGTAAAACATTTATCCGCCACATGGTGCTACAATCGTTCTGGACAATTTTCCCATAGAACTTTAAATTTTACCCAAATCTCATTGGCTATAATAAATATTTTACTCCTAAAACAATCATACAATTGGTGGAAATCTCCCGCGTTTTGAAAATATCCCTTGAACCCCTCTCACTCTTTTTCTCTCTCTCTCTCTCTCTTGCAACATTTTTGTTGCTGCTACACGGGAGGTCTGCTGCTGCTGCTGGTGTCGCGATTCGCGCCGACTTGCTTCTCCTTTTTTTTTAATGCCCCCACTTTGTGTATATGTATAATGTGTGAATAAAGAATTTCCCAAAAAAAAAAAAAACAAATACAAGTGATTTTACCACCCTTTTAAAAAAAAATTTTCCAATGCAATGTTAATTCTCCCTTTAGTGAAAATTGAGACAATTTTTCAAGTGACAATTCTTTCATTAGGAACATCATCACAATCACGGTTATACTCCAGTGCTATACAATAGGTGTTTTGTGTGTTTTTTCCCCCACCCCCCACCCCCCAAAAAAAGAATTTTTTTCCAGGAGAAGTGGGTTGTTTGAAAAACAAAAAAAAAAACAAAAGTAATGAAATTACGATATGTTGTTATTATCAATAATTCAAAGATTTTTTTCGCGCTCCAGCGAATTCGCTACTCGCTGCGCGAATAATAATAATAATAATGAAAGGTTTGCGCTATTGGCAACAACTTGTGCATTATTAGCTCATTCAGCAGCTGATTACACAGCCAATGGCAGCAATAGCAGCAACAGTCGAATATCCGGGTTGGTGGTGTGAAAATTGAGGGGGTTTTTTTTTCTCATTTATAAGGGGGGTGGGGTGGGGCGGGCGGGAAATGAGTGCCGAGAATCAAGAATCTATTACCCTAAGGTTAGGTGTAACGGGTGCAATTGCTACTATTTGTAGTAGTAGTACAACAACAACAACAACAGCAGCAACAACAATAACGACGACGACGACGACGAGGGTTAAAAGAGAAAAAATTGACGTCGATTGCAATAATGTCGTTGTTGTCGCCGGTGATCATGGCGCCGACGTCAAAACGAATATGGAGACGTATCAACAACATCATCATCATCATCAGCAGCAACAACAACGTGCTCCGGCGACAACAACGACGACAACGACAACAACGATGCCAATTTCAACATCACCCCGTGTAACATCAAATGGTTATCATAATGAAGATGTTTTTAGGGATGTTATTGCCGGAAAATTTGCCAATCTTCAACACAATAATACTACCACAAAACATGAGAAAATTCGGCTTATGATCGAAGAAAGCATTGGGTAAGTTTTGTGATTCTATTGTTTTTATTACAATTCAATTATTATACAATAAATATTTTTCTATATATCTATATATATGGTTGATTTAATAAAATGTTTATTCAGTTCAAATAAAAATATTTTGTGGATTCTGCTAAATATTTTGCTAATTTAGCCAAATATTTGGCTAAAACAATCAAATATTTTACTAAATCAGCTAAATATTATTATGTAGAATTAATGCAATCTTTGGCTAAGTCAGCTAATCAATTTTACTGAATCGACTAAGTATTTGATAACATCAGCCAAACATTTAGCTAATTCAGCCAAAGATTTGGTCAATTTAGCCAAATATTTATCCGATTCAACCATACGTTACAATAATTCTATATAATATTTAGCTGTCTTAGCCAAATATTTAATCAATTCAGTCAAACATTTAGCCGATTCAATCAAAGGTTTGGTGGATTCTGCTAAATATTTAGCTAATTGAGCCAAATATTTGGCTAAAAGAATCAAATATTTGACTAAATCAGACAAATATGTAGAATCATTTGTAATATTATGTTAAATCAGATAAATATTTGGCTAAATCGACCAAATCTTTGGCTAAGTCAGCTAATAAATTTCGCTGAATCGGCTAAGTATTTGGTAACATCAGCCAAACATTAAGCCGATTCAGCAGAATTGATTAACTAAGTCAGCCAAAAATTTGGTCGATTCAGACAAATAATTAGCCGATTCAATCAAAGGTTTGGTGGATTCTGCTAAATATTTTGCTAATTTAGCCAAATATTTGGCTAAAACAGTCAAATATTTTACTAAATCAGCTAAATATTATATAGAATTAATGCAATCTTTGGCTAAGTCAGCTAATCAATTTTACTGAATCGACTAAGTATTTGATAACATCAGCCAAACATTTAGCTAATTCAGCCAAATATTTGGTCAATTCAGCCAAATATTTATCCGATTCAACCATACGTTACAATAATTCTATATAATATTTAGCTGTCTTAGCCAAATATTTAATCAATTCAGTCAAACATTTAGCCAATTCAATCAAAGGTTTGGTGGATTCTGCTAAATTTTTAGCTAATTTAGCCAAATATTTGGCTAAAAGATACAAATATTTGACTAAATCAGCTAAATATTATGTAGAATTATTGTAATTTTTGGTTGAATCAGTTAATCAATTTCGCTGAATCGACTAAATATTTGGTAATTTAGCCGATTCAGCCAAAGATTTGGTTAATTCAGCCAAATATTTAGCCGATTCAACCAATTGTTACAATAATTTTACATAATATTTAACTGTCTTAGCCAAATATTTAGTCAATTCAGTTAAACATTTAGCCGATTCAATCAAAGGTTTGGTGGATTCTGCTAAATGTTTAGCTAATTTAGCCAAATATTTGGCTAAAATAATTAAATATTTGACTAAATCAGCTAAATATTGTGTAGAATTAATGTAATTTTTGGCTGAATCAGCTAATCAATTCCGCTCAATCGGCTAAATATTTAGTAACATGAGCCAAACATTTGGTCATATTAGCTAAATATTTCGCTAATCTAGCCAAGATTTGGTTGATTTAATAAAATATTTGATTTATACCATTTAAATGTTAAGTTGATTTTTGCCAAAGATTTGTTCCATTCAGCCAAATATTTAGCAGATTCAACTAAAGGTTACATTGATTCTGCAATATTTAGCTGATTTAGTCAAATATTTGGTTATTTTAGCCAAATATTCAGCTGATTTAACCAAATATTAAACTGATTATGCATCATATTTAGCTCAATTAGTCAAATATTTCATTGTTTTAGCCAAATATTCGGCTGAAATAGCTGAACGTATAGCAAACTTCAACAAACCTTTGAATTAGCTAAATGTTTAACTGATTCTACCAAATATTTGGCTAAAACAGCAAAGAATCTGTTGAATTTATAAAATATTCTACTAAATCAACCAAAAATTTCGTTATATTAGCTAAATATTTCGCCGATCTAGCCGAGATTTGGTTAATTCAATCAAATGTTTGTTCAGTTCAAATAAAAATATTTGGTGAATTCTGCTAAATGTTTAACTAATTTAGCCAAATATTTGGCTAAAACAATTAAATATTTGATTAAATCAGATAAATATTATGTAGAATCACTGTAAGATTTGGTTGAATTGGCTAAATATTTGGCTGAATCAGCTAAATATTTGGTAACATCAGCCAAACATTTAGATTGTTATCAACCAAATATTTGATTAAAATAATCAAATATTAATTATTACTGTTAACGATGTAAGTGTTTGGCTGATGTTGCAAAATATTTAGCCGATTCAATCAAATGTTACAATTATTCTGCATAATATTTAGCTGATTTAATCAAATATTTGATTGTTTTAGCTAAATATTTGGCTAAATTAGCTAAACACAGCAGAATCCACAAAACCTTTGATTGAATCGGTTAAATGTTTGACTGATTTTACCAAATATTTGGCTAAAACAGCGAATGAATCCATTGAATTTATAAAGTATTCTACTGAATTAACCAAAAATTTAGTCATATTAGCTAAATATTTAGTTGTTTTAGTTAAATATTTCGTTGTTTTAGTCACATATTTGGCTAAATTAAGTAAATATAAGGCAGAATCAATCGAACCCTTTTTTATTTACTTTGGCTAAATATTTGACTGAATGGACTAAATATTTGGCTGAATCAGCGAAATATTCCATTAAATTTCTTAAATATTCGACAGAATCAACCGAAAATTTGGCCATATTAGCTAAATATTTCGCTAATATAGCCAAGATTTGGTTAATTTAATAAAATATTTGATTTATACAATTTAAATGTTTAGTTGATTTTTGCCAAAGATTTGTTCCATTCAGACAAATATTTAGCCGATTCAACCAAAGGTTACATTGATTCTGCATAATATTTAGCTGATTTAGTCAAATATTTAGTTGTTTTAGCCAAATATTTGGCTAAATCAGCTAAACGTTTCGTATAATCAATAAAAATATTTTTATTGAACTAAACAATGATTTAATTAAACCAACCAGATATTTGGCTAAAATAGCAAAATAATCAATTGAATTTATCAATTCTTTGACTTAAACAACCAATTATTTGGTCATATTATCTAAATATTTCGCTATTTGTTTAATTTGGTTGATTTAACCAACGATTTGGTGAATTCAAAAAAATGTTTAGTTGATTTAGTCCAAGGTTTTTGTTAATAAAACGAAATATTTATAGTTGTAAAAATTACACATTTTATCCCGAATTCGGATAAAAAAAGTGTAATTAAATAATAAAAAAAATGAATGTTTAATTTTTTTTTTAAAATCAGTTCATATTTTGCATAATAATAATTTAAACATCAAAATTTTTGCATAAAATGAATAAAAATTCTCACGACATTCGTCAAATTCATGTAATGTAAATGAAGTTATAAACTTAAACCTGTTATTGATTTTTCGCTAGATTTTATTTTATCCTTTCTTTTATTATTAATTTGTATATATATATGTGTGTGTATCTATTTTTTTTTATTTTGTTTATGAAAAATATTTGTTATTTCCATTAAAAAATATTTTTATTTTTCTTTGAAAATATATTTTTTCTCTAGAAAAAAAATGTAGGTATATATAACATAAAAATCATGATAAATTTAAATTTCTAAAAAAAATTGTAAAAAAATAAAAATTTCGTAAAGTTTTTTTCGTAATAAACAATTTTTTTTTGTGATTTTACTGAAAAAAAATATTTCAAAAAGAATTTATATTATAAATATAAAAATATCAGAAGTTAATATTTTTGTCACGCGACACAATAATAATAATAATTCATTCTTTTATTGATCCACTTTGAATTGCGGATATAATTAATTTTTCAATTGAGTTCGATTCATAATGAAAGAAATTCTCTTTTCTTGCGAGAGTTATAATAAAATAAAATGAATTTAAAAGGTAAAATATTTTTATATAGAAATTGAAATTTGTTTTATTTTTTATTAAAAAAATTATTAATTATTATTATTATTATTATTAATTCTCGAAAAAGAAAATTATCGAAAAAATTTGTTTTTTTTTTAAATAGTAATATTAGAGTAGGTACAAAGAATTCAAAATAATTTTTTTGTTTTTGTTTATTTCAGCGATGAATCAAAGTTTCGTGTTCAGGAAATTTTCTCAAAAGTGGAACAATTGAAAATTGAGGAAAAATTATTATTGTACCTGAAGCTACCATTGTCACTTGCAAATCCCAGTGGTACGATAGATCCATTGAAACAACCGCTAAATCCATTGGGCAATCGTTATGAAATTCATCAAACAATTATGTGGATTAAAACACATTTAGAAGAGGATCCAGATGTTTCATTGCCGAAGCAAGAAGTATACGATGAATATAAGTTCGTATATTATTTTTTTAATTTTATAATATTAACATTTTTAACGTTATTATTTTTATTTTATATTAATAATTATTATTATTATTTTATATAGTATGTTCTGTGTGAAAAATTCCATGAAACCCTTATCCACGGCGGACTTTGGTAAAGTCATGAAGCAAGTGTATCCAAGGGTACGTCCACGAAGACTCGGCACTCGTGGTAATTCACGTTATTGTTATGCAGGAATGCGAAAGAAAATTAAACTTGATCAACCAAAATTGCCAATTATCGCCGGAATGCCGACTGTAAGTAGTAAAAAAAAAAATTGAAAATAGAATTTTTCTAAAAATTTTTAAAAATATTCTTAGGACGATAACGCTGAGGAGAATATCACCGAGGAAATGTTAGGCGCTGCATCGACAGTAATACGTGAATGGGCTGAAAATTTATTGGGTTTAAAATTCCCAACACTCAGTGCCTTAGGTCGATATTTAGTTGATAATATGTTCGTCGACACTCGATCTTTGGCTGCTGTGTGTATTGTCTGCGATTCTGGAATGACCGAAACTGTTAAGAATGGTAAATATATTTTTTTTTACTTTCATTTCTCATGCGAATTTTAAAACTTATTTTTTTTACAGAAATTTCAGAATCACCTGTTGATGTAAAATCGGGAAAATTACGTGAGGCACAATTACAATTACAAAGAAAATTGCAACAACGTGAACATGTACGTGATCAGAAGCAACGACAGTTAGAAAATGAGTCGCCGGTAAGAAAAAAAAAAAAAAAGCGTCAACATTTATTGATTACAAACAAAATACCCCATAAACATTTTTTGTTATATGAAATTCAAAAATTCCAAATAAAATTATTATTTTTTGTGTTTGTGTACGTCTCACCTTTAGAGTAAAAATTTTCTACCGTGTTAAAAAAAAAAACTCTTTTTCTTGCTCTTGACAAGAATGATGAACATAAAGCTCAAGTCTGGTGGTATTTTGATAAAATACAAAAAAGATATATATTCAAAGCATCCTGGTTATTACTTTTTTGGCTCAAAAATTGAGCCATGTATGTCGAAATGATTCAAAATCGACCAAAAATACTATATGAGCTTTTAGTCTGAAGATATATATATATTCAAAGCATCCTGGTTATTACTTTTTTTGGCTCAAAAAATGTCGAAGTGCTCAAAAATCGACAAAAAATAAAATAAAAGCTTCTATTCTGAAGGTATTTTTATAATATCTAAAGATATATATTCAAAGCATCCTGGTTATTACTTTTTTGGCTCAAAAATTGAGCTCTGCATGTCGAAATGCTCAAAAATCGACAAAAATTATAAAATTTGTTAGTTTGAAGATATATATTCAAAGCATCCTGGTTATTACTTTTTTTGGCTCAAAAAATGTCAAAGTGCTCAAAAATCGACAAAAAATAAAATAAAAGCTTCTATTCTGAAGGTATTTTTATAATACCTAAAGATATATATTCAAAGCATCCTGGTTATTACTTTTTTGGCACAAAAATTGAGCTCTGCATGTCGAAATGCTCAAAAATCGACAAAAATTATAAAATTTGTTAGTTTGAAGATATATATTCAAAGAACCCTGGTTATTTCTTTTTGGCTCAAAAATTGAGCTACGCAGGTCAATATGCTCAAAAATCGATAAAAAATAAAATAAAAAGCTCTTAGTTTGAAGATATATACTCAAAGCATCCTGGTTATTTCTATTCGGCTCAAAAATTGAGCCATGAATGTTGGAACGCTTAAATTTGACTAAAAAAGTTTTAGTTTTTGGGTATTTCATAATATCAAAATATATATATATATATTCAAAGCACTCTGGTTATTTCTTCTTGGCTAAAAAATTAAGCTATGCTTGTGAAACGCTCTAAATTCTACAAATTAATAATAAAAGCTTAAGCAAAGGTATTTTTATGATACCTAAATATATATATATATATATATATATATTCAAAGCACCCTGGTTATTTATTCTGTTCGAAAATTCTGGCATAAATTTTAAAATTAAGCCAGATGTATCTCAAAACGTTTTGTTCTATTCCAAAAATCAAATAACATTCATATCAGGTTTATAAATCAGATAACCTTAAATTACAGATTTCAAAATTATTAATACTAATTTGTACTTTCAATTTATTATAAAACAATTTTTGAATTTCTTTAACAATTAGTAGCTTATTAATAAGGTTTAACTTTAAATGTACAATTTCACTTTTTTTTGAAATTTCCTCATATCCTTTTAATTTTATAATTATTATTCAAAAAACTGTTTTAACAAAAAGCAAATATTTTTAATTTTGATTAACACAAATGTAGTTTTTCTTACCCGTTTTGATTGATAGCAAAAAGTTAATTTTCTCAACAAAAAAAAAAAGAATATTAAACGTCGATACTCTCAAATCCTCCCTACAAAAAAAGTTTACAGAATTCTAAAACGTTTATGCGTTTTGAATTTTTTTTGTTCTGTTTCAGAGTCAGAACAAAGAAAAAACTGTAAATAATAACAAAGGAGGACGCAAGGGAAGCAAAAAAAAGACGATAACGAATCAATCGCCTCAGGAAATAGGTGTTTTAACGTCCATTAAAGGCAACACAACACCAATTTCACGACAAAAAAAAACCATACGTAATCAAATTGATTATGTCTCCCAACAATCTAACTGTGATAACCTAGTGGTACAATCAATTGAGAATGTGCAAAAATTAACAACGGACACAACGTTTCCAATAAAGCCAAGAAATCCAAGGAAACGTACTAGTGGAGGAACAACACCATCGCAAGCTAATAATGATTCAAGTCCTGAAAAACAGGCAAAGCACACCGATACAATAACAACATCGCCATCGTCAAATATTAATAATGGCACGTGCACGCCTATTAATAATCACGAGAGTGGAAAAATTCCAGTGATACTAGCTAATAATCGTAATAAAAACTTTAGTAAAGCTGCCGATAGTCAGCTACCCCTAAAAAGCTGTGATATTGATAGTTGCGCAAAACTAATAAATGGTTGTTCGAATAATAAAAATGATGAAATTCCCCTCTTGGAAAATTCAACACTTCTCCAACGAACAAATCTTGGTACAATTGATCCCGATTCACTTGATGATTATTTAAATGGTGGTAATAATTCACAAGAGCAAGAAGAAGAATTATTACAATATTTTCAACATGGTGAATCAGATCCCGAAACTGTTAATCTTATTCCACCTGTTGAATTATCATCAAGATCGGATAAAGTTTCTGAATTACGTTTTATATTACAACAAAATCTTAAAGCAAGACCACCGCCAAATAATCAAACAACATCAACGCCTTTAAATTTACCAACAACAAATAAGGAAATTATTAATGAAAAACAAGCGCCAAATACAAATGTCAACATAAGACGTAGAGTAAGTTTCGAGACAAGTGTCATTGAGCATGATTCAATAATAACGAGTCACACGGTGCCTCAAAGTCCAAATACAAGACGTAGAATATTTAATTTTACGCCAATTTCACCAGGACCACATTCACCGATAAATGGACGTGCCTCGAAATGTAATTCAGCTAATGCAAGTCCTTTTGTATCACCTCGTAATACACCAGTGCCACGTTCAAAAAGTAATCTTCAAAATGGCTATCGTTCACGTAAAAAAACATTATCGCGTTCAATTTCATGTAGTGTGCCATATACAAATAAAAATGAAACATTTATTGTACCAGAAAATACCCGACAAATTGCTAAATCACCATTAGTTGTTAAATCCAATGATATGCAAATAGTGAAAAATTTTGTAACTGAACCACAAAAACAAATGATTGTCAATTATCAAGAGAATCTTCAAGAGCAATTAGTTAAAAATATCATTTATCAAGATGAAACTAAAACAATATATCAAAAAACACAACAAGATCAGGAGATTTCTGATTTATTGGATGATGGAAAATATGAAATTCAATTGGCAACAAAAGAACAATTATATAGTCGTTCACAATCAGTTCCATTATATCGAATGGTTAATCCAACTTTAATATCACCAGTATCAACAACACAATTTTTAGCTCCCTTTCGTAGTTTTAATCCATCAACAAGCAGTTCGATAGCACCAACACCAGTGCCAAGTGAATTCACTGATTTTTATTCAATTGATGCACCCGACGATGCAATGTATTTACTTGAGGATGCTAATTTTATGTCTGATGATCAACAATTTTTAATGGGTGAAAAAGAAATGTCATCGGAGAATATTAATAATTTTTTGAATATTCTAAATGAAGAGCCAGAAATTTTATGCTCTTCATCAAATGGTCAAGGTGTAATGGAAACAAGTTCATTAATATTGGATGGTTTACCTAATTCCTATTTAAATATGTCAAATGATAGTGGTATGGATTCGGGTATTGTGATTGAAAATGGTAATTTAGAAAAAATGATACAATCACGTTCTTATCCAAATACACCGTTACCATTACCAATTGGAACAACGTGTACATTACCATTTACAGAGGACAGTAGCGGTGGTTCAAGATCATATCCAACAACACCATTACACAGTGGAGTACAAGCACGCGCAACTGGTGAACAAACATATTCTGAGAGTAATGAACCAATGTTGTCGAGTCCAACAATTGATACACTTAATTTAAGAGGTGATGTTACAACAACACAAGGGACAAATTCATCGGAAAGTGTATGTCAAGATGTTGCCGATTTACTTGAACCAAGTTTTCTTGATAATGTCGAAAATGGTGATTTAGATGCACTCGATAGTTTTGAAGGTCTGCAGGATGCCCTCCCACCGTTGTTCAATGAAGTCGTTGAGCCGAATCGCTGAACTAATATATATATATATAGGGTAAGAAAATAAAATGGATTAAGAAGTTAAAGTACAGAAAATGCTCTCTCAAAATTGTAGTTTCAAGTTTAAAGTTTTTTTTTTATTTTTTTTTCAGCAGCTAAAAAGTAATTTTGAAGTTATGTTACATCGTGATGGGGTAAAATTGACTGGAGATTTATTTGAGTTTCTTATAATGCTTAAAGATATATATTCAAAGCACCCTGGTTAATTATTTTTGGCTCAAAAATTAAGTCATGCAAGTCAAACGCTCAAAATTCGACAAAAATACTAATAAAAACTTGAGTAAAAGTATTTTTATAATACCTAAATATATACAGTCGCCTTTCGATAAATTGAACTTCAAGGGACCGTAAAAACAGTTCAAATTACCGAGAGTTTTATTTATCGCATGTTTTAATTATCGAGGGGAAATTTGGGAAAATTCAAAATAACAAGAGTATTGAAAATTTAATTTTTACGTATTTTAAAAAGACATTCTTTACAGTTGGATATAGTCTATGTAATCTTTTTTGTTTTAATGTACTCAAACGTGCAATATCTATATATTGTTTTCAATTGTCATTAGATCTGTAAAAACTTCTCCGACTTCCACGCGAAGTGCATATGAGTGCAAAGCATTCAAAGATGATCTCGCCTCTTTCAATGTGACATCTTTTTTTGTTGCTCCTGTCTCTACCACCTCAATAACTATTTTCCTTTCGGAAAAAGATAAATTTTTATTGGTTCTTAGAAACATTTTAAACGATATAAACCGAGGCAGATAGCAAAATGAATTAAGAAATTACTCAGCATTGTTAATAATAAGGTAATTAGGTATTGTATTGACAAATGAAACAATACAATAACTATTATTAAGAAGAGAATATTTTGTACGTAAATATGTAAATTTGTATCGCAAGAAAAGTTCAAATTATTGAGAGTTTGATCTAGCTGAATTCAATATATAGAGAGTGAATGGAGAAATTGACCAAAAGATACTTTTAATTATCGAGAGTACATAAAACCATTGTTTTTTTTTCAATTTACCAAGAGTTTTTCAAGGGACTGGACTGTTACTTTAATTTAACGAGAAATTCAAATTATCAAGAGTTTAATTATCGAGAGTCAACTGTATATTCAAAGCACCCTGGTTATAATTATTTTTGGCTCAAAAATTGAGCTTTGCATACCGAAAAGATCATAATTTTTGACAAAAATAAGAGCTCAAGGTTTTTTTTATAATATCTAAAGATTTATATATTCAAAGCACCCTGGTTATTTCTTTGGTTAAAAAAAAATTTTATTTTAAAAAAATTAATTTTTTTTTTAGTAAATTCTATACAAATCTCGTTATATATTAATATAACTTAAATTAATGGATTTATTTCAATTTGTACTTTCAAAAACCAATTTTTTAAGTCTCAATATTTTTCCTTATTTTTCAGCAGCTAAAAAGTAATTTTGAGGTTATGTTAAATCGTGATGGGGTAAAATTGACTTCAGATTTATTTGAGTTTCTTATAATGCTTTAAGATATATATTCAAAGCACCCTGGTTATAATTATTTTTGGCTCAAAAATTCAGCTTTGCATACCGAAAAGATCATAATTTTTGACAAAAATAATAAAATAAAAGCTCAAGGTTTTTTTTTTATAATATCTAAAGATTTATATATTCAAAGCACCCTGGTTATTTCTTTGGTTCAAAAAAAAAATTTATTTTAAAAAAATTATTTTTTTTTAGTAAATTCTATACAAATCTCGTTATACATTAATATAACTTAAATTTATGGATTTATTTCAATTTGTACTTTCAATTTAATATAAACCAATTTTTTGAGTTTCAATATTTTTCCTTTTTTTCTGCAGCTAAAAAGTACTTTGAGGTTGTCAAAAAATATATATTTCTAAAAAAAATAATAAAATTATTGAATTAATATTCAAGTTAAACTTTTTTTTTTTATTTGTGATGCGCTCCAAAAAAATTTGTAGGTTATGTTTATGATAGTTTTATACCTTGATTAAAAGTTTCGTTTTAAATTATGTAAAATTAAAATCAGTTTTCATTTCTAAATAATTTTATATTATATTGAATCGATAATCTCTTTGTGTACTTTTACTCTTTGCAAATCAATCATAAACATAACCTATATATATTTTTTTAAATGCCTTTTTTTCACAGCACATTACATATAATTGTATTATGTAATTAATATTAATTTAATAATTTTAGTAATTTGGAAAATTTAGTAATTTTTTTTATATAATTTTTGAAAATATTAATTAATAATAAAAAAATTTCCCTTTTTTACAGACATATATATGTATAAAGAAAGCAGAAAGTTATTTGGTCCAATTCACTGCCAATATGTCGGCCACTGGAAGAGAAGGGGGGGGGGTTATTTTCACTATATACTTAATCATATACTCGTGTGTGTGATTATATATAAGAGAAAAGTGAAAAAAAATTTTTCGGCAGGAAATGCGTTCATGACACACGTACACAGTAACATTTAATATTACTAAAAAAAAAAAAAAATAAAATGTTGATCAGGGGACAAAAGTAATTTTGTACAAATTACGTCTTAGGGACGCTTTTATAAGGCCTGAAAAGAAGAAAATAAAAAAAAAAAAAAATTCTACCTCAGCGAGGTAGAAAAATTTTTGTTACCAATGACTGGTTTTCAAAAGAAAAAGAAAAAAGGAAAAAAAAGAAATTAATTTTAAAATTGAAATATACATAGTATGACCGTGGCTTTTCTGCGGTAAAAAAAAATACTCACGATTTTAATTTTGTGTATAAAATTTTTTTTTTTTTTTAATGAAAATTCCCCTCTAATCTCGCACAGTGTTAAATAATAATATTCCTTTTATGGACAAAACATTTTTTTTTTATTTTTATATTTATTAATTTTTATTTTATTAAAAATTAATTTTAACTATATGGAATTCTTTTTCTTTTTTTTTATTTCAGATTAAAGTTGAATTTGAAAAAAAATATACAAAATAAAACACGTTTTCAATATAAAGGGACCCAAGAAGCAAAAAAAATTATAGGTTATGTTTATGATAGTTTTACTTTAAAAAAACATTTTTTAATTTTTAAGTTATACAAACTTAAAATCTATTTTTATGAAAATTTTGTTCACCAAAAGCAGAACACTGTGTATAACCTCCCCCCTCCCACTTTTAAAAATTACTAAATTTATAATTAGTATTAAAAATATAATTTGTTTCGATATATATTTACAATATTATAATTTTAAATTCCTGTTTTGTACAGTTTTTGAATTATTATTATTATTATTATTATTATTATTAATTATATATATTAAATTTATTTTTTAATTTTCTTTTAAGAAATTTAAAAATTTAAGTATTTTTTTTTTTTTAAACTGAAAAAAAATTGTATAGAAATTAGCAAATTTCCAAAAAGCTCTCGGTTATTTGGAAAATAAAATTTTCTACGCTTTAGTCGTTTTAAAAAAAAAAATAAGTGTAAATAACGTATAAATCGTGTTTAAAAAAAGAATGCAAAAAAAAAAAACATTTGCAATGGAAATAAGAAAATTTTAATTTGCCGTTACTGCAGAAAAGCCATTGATTCGTAACTTAAACGTTCTTTTTTTTTTTGTTCTTTCGAAAAAAATATGGTCTTTTTCAAAAGAAAAAAAAAATAGATCGTTCACGTTATCGAAAAGAAGGAAATAAAAATGAAAAAAAACGGCGTCAAAACTGGTCGATATCCTCTTTTTTTCGTGACTTTGTATTTAAGAATTTTTTTCTTCGACGATTCGAAGAATGTGAAATGTAAATAGATTATTATTATTTTTTATTATTATTATTATATTATTATTATTATTATTATTAGTTGACTCACCTCTTTGCAGAGGCTAAGAATTTATATTCATCAATTTGTTTTCGTATTTTTTTATAGAAAAAAAAAAGAACAGAAATAAATTTACACATTTTTTTATACTTTTTTTTTACTTCATCTTTTTTTTTTGTAATTTTTATATTAATATTATTTTATTGTGTTCAAATTAATTTTTTTTTTCTTCTGTATAAAGAAATTTTTTGGTTTTTTCTTTTCCTAAGTGGTAGTGTTGTTATACACTCTAAAATTATGTACACATTTTTTTTTTCATATTTCAATGAACCAAAAAAAAGTACCTTTTTCATTGTACGACGACAGTATTTAAAAAAAACACAGTGCGCGATATTATTTGACTTTTCCGTCTGTTTCTATCTCTCGTTTTCTCTCTATCTCTCTCTCTCTCTCTATCTCTCTAAGTAGTTTGAAATAACCGAAAACCACAAATTTCCCGCATGCTTCAATTCTCCGTGGATATAATCGAAAGTAGATGATGAATTTTACCAAAACATATAGGAAACAATGAATTTTTGACGTGAAACATACAGACTCTTAGCACAAACAAAAAAATGAAATAAAATAATAATTACAAAAAAAAAAAAAAACAACAAAAAAATGACAAAAAAAAAATATAAATGAAAATTGTCAGTTTTGTCGTGGTGGCAATAAAATGGGTGCACATGTACTGTTTTCATATTATAATTGATTAAACGAAAGTAAATTGAATGTGTTTTTAATTTTATTTCTAAAAAATCCCCTTTGTTTTTTTTTAACTTCTAGTTTTGATAAAGTAAAAAAAATTATAGGTTATGTTTTATGATAGTTTAAACTATCATAAACATAACCTATAAATTTTTTTTTGCTACTTAGCAGTTATATGTATATTAAAAAATAATAAATACAATTTTTAAAAAAGGGTATAAAATAAAATATCATGTTTTTATTTTAAATTTTATTTTTCCTTTTTTTTTTTTTTTTTGTTGGTACAATTAAAAATAGAAAAGGAGAATTTCGAAAATTCTTGACAATGTTTTTTTTTTCTTTTTAAATTAAATCCGAAAAATTATGAAATTGAACATGTCAAAAAAATTCGAATTATCCTCAAAATTTTTTTTTTTTTTCTGAAAAATTTTTCAATTTTTTTCCTTTTTTTTTTATTCATTTCTCTTTCTCTCTCTTTCATATCATAAGTAAACAGTAAAAAGGGAATTCTTTTTTTCAAGATTGAAAATTTCTTTTTTTTTTTTTTGCCTCTCTTTGCAGGTAATTAAAAACAATAATAATATAAATTCTCACACAATTCAAACGTCGTCGTTCTCGAAAATAAAAAAAAAAAATTTCTTCGCTTTCACTAGACTGCAAAAGTCAATTTAACACCCATAAGAAAAAAATTTAAAAATAAAAAAAAAAAATGGGATTTTTCTTTATAATTTTGAAACTTTTACAGTCTAGAGTAAAAAAAAAAATATTATTATTATACTGTACAGAAATTGTAATTTAATATGTATAATCGAACCTAAAGTTAAAGAATATTTTTTTGTACATCAACGGGATCGTCTTTAAGATTTCGATCGAGTTTCGTTGGCAAATTGGAAGCTTGTTGAACTTTCATTTTTTTACCCTCGAGAAGATTTTTCACATCATCAAAGTCTAATGTCTCATATTTTAATAGTGCTTCACTTAACATTGTCAATTCTTTTGAATGTTCTTTTAAAATTGATTTTGCACGTTCGTACGATTCCTGTTTTTTAAAAAAAAAAATTATGATTTTTGTCAAAATTTTCTTATTTTAATTTTAATTTTCAATTTTAATTAATTAATTTTTCTTTCAAATGTTTAAAGCTCTAATCAAATTAAACTAAAAAGAAAACATTACCTGGAGAATTAATTTCACTTCCTCGTGAACAACAGTGTTTGATGTGTCTTTATCGATAACTCGAAAGCCAACTTTCGACGACATTCCATAATTCATTACCATACGCTCGGCAATTTTATTCGCACTCTTTAAAAAAAAAAATTGCAATAATTAAAAATTTTTACATTTCTTTGCATTTAATAAATAAATAGATAAAAAGAAACTTTACGAAAAGAAGAAAATTTCTTTTTTTTACCTTTAAGTCACCTGAACAACCAACGGTTACTTTATCCGAACCAAAAATTAATTCCTCAGCTACGCGTCCACCCATCATACAATCTAAATCTGCCAATAATTCGCGTTTTGTATAACTATTAATCTCCCTCCTGGGTAAATAGGAGGTCTGAAAGAACATTTTTTACAAACGATTTAGTAAAATTTAATGTAACGTTTAGGAAAATTTACAAAAATACTACCAAAAAAAAAAAAAAAAATAAAACTCACGTGTCCCAAAGTACCAGCTCGAGGAACAATTGTCACTTTATGTAAATTATTTGCATTTTTATTATAATAAGCAACAAGTGCATGTCCACTCTCATGATAGGCGACCATTTTATTCATTTCGACATCAATTTCCTTTTTATGCTCAAGACCCATTATTATTTTATCCCTTGCGTACAGTAAGTCATCCATACTCACTTTATCACCATTGTGTAATGCCGCTCTTAAAGCAGCTTGATTTACCTGAGAAGAAAAACTAAATTTGTCAACAAATCAAAAAAAAAAAACAAAAATACCAAAAAAATCCTTTTTTTAAATAAGAAATTTATTTATTACAAAATAAAACCTACCCTTTCTTTTAAATAATAAAAGTATTAAAACAAAGGAAACTAAAACAAAAAACCGATTCTTTTAAATAAGAAAATTAAAAAAAACAAAAAATTTCCCGCTAAAAACAAGGAAATTCACCATATTTGAAATGTCGGCACCAGTAAATCCTATTGTACTTTTCACCAATTTATTCAAATCCACATCGCTGTGAATTATTTTCGATAAATAGAGTCTTAATATTTCATTTCTTCCCTGAAAATTGGGCTTATCAATGTGTATTTGAACATCAAAACGTCCAGGTCGTAATAATGCTGGATCCAATTGAGTTGGACGATTTGTAGCACCCAATACAATTACTCCTTCGTTTTGATGAAAACTGCAAAATTGTTTTATAACAATATCAATGAAAAAAAATAGGAAAAAAAAAATCAGAAATTTTTTTCGTACAAAAAAAATGAACAAAAATATATATATATATATTTTTTTTTATTACCCATCCATTTCAGAAAGAAGTTGATTGATCGTTTGATTCGCGTATGGATGAAGTGCAGAGGTTGTACGATGCGAACCCACCGAATCGATTTCATCGATAAAAATCACACACGGTGCACGCTCCTTTGCAGCTTCTGCAAATTATTTTTTATAATTTTCTTAAAATTTAATTTTAATGTGTTCATAAAAAATAGCTATTATTACTATTATATTTAATACAACTGATGCAAAATGATTTTTATTTTGTATTTTAAATTAATTAATTAACTATTAAATTGAAGTAAATGGGACTTAAATCTTAGACTATTTAATGTGCGGTACTTTTTGTTAATTTTTTTTGCCTGGTTGATTTTGCCAATAGTCATATATAGACTATTATGTGGTATTTTTTAAAATTATTTTTTGTCCAACGTGCACGATAAACGCGACTTTCCGTGCAGGTACAAGCGGCGGAAAGTTAAGCTTTTGCTGCCCAACCACCAATAGCGAGCGGAAAATTATGTATATACTTAATTCATTTGTAATAATATTCTTAATTGTTTTAATTTTACGATATATCGTTATAATTTTTTTAAATAATATTATAAAATATAAATTTCCCTCAAAAATAATAAAAATATGTCCAGTATCATTAATAATCAATATTTGGTCTTTGGTTTTACTCCAGTTTACTTCCTTAAGCGTCTTGTTTATCGTGCAATTGAACAAAAAAACATACTTTCCGCCCTTGCCACACAATGTACTATTTTTGCCTGGTTGATTCTGCCAATAGTCATATAAACTATTTAACGTGTAGTATTTTTTTGTTTGCCTGGTTGATTTTGCCAATAGTCATAATTGTGACGCTCAGCGACAAAAGGTAAGCTCCTAAAAACTTTAGGTTATATTTTTGATTTTTAACGTGAAAATACACAAAGAGGATCAATTATTTATATACAAACCATTAATGTTTAAGTTTTTATTACATCTAAAATATTCAATAAAATCTATTTTTGATTGTACCTAATTAAAAAATCATTTTTTATTGAGGTAAAACTATCACTAAATATAACCTAAAAATTTTGGGAGCTTAGGTACCTTTTATCGCGGAGCGTCATAAACTATTTAACGTGAATTTTTTTTTTAGTTTGCCTGGTTGATTTTGCCAATAGTCATATGAACTATTAAACGTGTAAAAGTATTTTTTTTAATTTGCCTGGTTGATTTTGCCAATAGTCATATAAACTATTAAACGTGTAAGAGTATTTTTTTTTTGTTTGCCTGGTTGATTTTGCTAATAGTCATATAAACTATTTAACATGTATTTGTTTTATTTGCCTGGTTGATTTTGCCAATAGTCATATAAACTATTAAACGTGTAAGAGTATTTTTTTTTTGTTTGCCTGGTTGATTTTGCCAATAGTCATATATAGACTATTTAATATGCGGTAATTTTTAAAAAAAATTATTTTTTCCCTGATTGATTTTGCCAATAGTCATATACCTGTATATTGACAACTAAATTTACTTACTAAATAATTCGCGAACTCGTTTTGCGCCTTGGCCAACGAGAATTTCATCGAATTCCGAGCCGGCAACGTGGAAAAATGGAACACCAGCCTCGCCAGCTACGGCTCGGGCAATTAATGTTTTTCCCGTTCCCGGCACACCCGACAACAATACACCTTTTGGTAATTTACCACCAAGAACAGTGAATTTTGCCGGATTTTTCAAATATTCAATTACATTTGCCAATTCGGCTTTTGCTTCTTCAATCTGAAATAAACATATATAAAAATAATAATAAATGCAGTACAAATGTTTCAAAAGAGTACAAAAAAAAAAAAATAGAAAAAATACTTTAGGAAAAATAAAATTACATACCCCTTTAACATCCAAAAATGTGACATTAACCATTTCCGCATCAATTTCCTGATGCTCTCCAAATTGCATTCTAAATAAACCACCATCTGAGACGCGTACTAAAAAGGAAATAAAAAAGACAAAATTCAAATTTAAAAACAATTTTCCGTTTTTTTAAATATTGTAAAATGATTTATTTAGAATATTACGAAAAGAATGATGTTATAGATGATATAAAAAAAAAGAATACAGTAAAATTATATTCTTTAAAAAAAAAAATTTTTTTTTTTTCTATATTTACAGAAAAAAAAGATAAAAAAAAGTGAGAGAATTTTTATGTGTGCGATAAATTAGAGTAGTTACGTTTATACGCGCCTAATAGAAAGAGAGCAAATATTGTGCAAACAATGAGAAATGATTGAAGTCCTTTAAAAAATTGTTTTAATCTATTTTGACTTTTTCTCGATTGTCCCTCAACAAAACCTTCGGCAAATGCCAATTTTACACGTTCCTCTGGCGTTAATTCCTTATTTGAATCCCATGCATTTTCAGTGAAATCTTTACGTTTTATATGTCGCCAAATTGCATCTTGCTGTAAAAAAAAAAAGATGGGGAAAAAATTCAATTAAATTCTCTTCTAAAATTAAATAAAAAAAAAAAAGAAAATAATAATAATAAAAATTACCGAATTATCTGGATTAGTTGTGATCCATTTTAAAAATCTTGATGTAATTGAAGTTTTATTACCCTCGTCATTTTGAATATTACGTTGTGTTTTAAAGCCACGTATTTGTATATCGAGAATTGAATTTTTACCAACGTGAATTATTCCATAAAATTGTTTTTTATTTTTATTAAAATTATTATTAATCGACAATAATGTCGAGTCTTGTATTTCTCTAAAGCCTTGTTTATTTTCATTGAAATTTGCTCCCGATACATATGACACATTCCATTTATTATTATTATTATTATTATTGTTTCGTTTTTTTGTTCTTTTTGTTATTTTTACTTGAATATCATCAATTTCAATTTCTTTTACATTATTATTATTATTACGTAATTTTAGAATATTTGGTAAATCCGTGGTTGTTAATATTTCACCAGGTAATTCTGTACAATTTCGTTTTGCCTGTAAAATATAATTTAAATTAAATCTCTATTTATATTAAATATTAATTAATTTTTGCTTTTACAAACTTTACGAAAATTAATAGTCAATAAAATAAGAAAAATTAATAATTAATATCGAAATTTATTTTTCTTTGTTCATGTTTGATTTTTTTTTTATTTGCACTTATTACCTCAAGAAAACTTTCTTGGCATAAAACATCCGGAGCATTGGAAATTGGCTGATAAACACGGACTGCAAATGAAGATGATTTTGGTCTAAAACCATTCGTTAACTGCGTTAAATAATAGAGTGCCTGAAAAATGAAAATAAAAACCTTTGCAAAAAAAAGCTACTGAATTTTTTTTTTTTCTAAACATTTTTGTGAAATTATCAGTTAAAATTCTAGTAAAAGTACAAAATTTTACTATTTAATTAATATGACACGTTTTTTGAACACGGAGAAAAATGTAAATGTAAAATAGTAAAATTTACTATTCCCCGAATAATTTTTTACTATTTCAGAAGTAATTTTTACTATATTCGGAGTAAATTTTACTATTTCTGGAGTAAAAATTGCTATAGAAATGCGCAGAAATTGCGGACAGTTCCGTTTTTACTTTTAAGGTAGTAAAAGTTACTTTATTCGTTTTTCCGTGAAGAATGTGACACATAAGTAGCAAAAAAATATATAGGTTATGTTTATGATTGTTTAGTTTATGCAAAAAAAGATACTTAAATTTTTTTTTTTTCTAAAAATTTCTGTAAAATTATCATTTAAAATTCTATTAAACTTACACAATTTTAATATTAATTAAAATGACATCTACTTTAAAGAAATGGACTCATAAGTAAAAAAAATTATAGGTTATGTTTATGATTGTTAAAAAGAGTGAAAATACACAAAGAGGATCTAAATAAACAAAAATTTTATTAAGTATTTGTGTATTTTCACTTTTTAAACAATCATAAAAATAACCTAAAAATTTTTTTTATGAGTCCCTTTCTTTAAAGTACATGTCATTTTAATTAATATTAAAATTGTGTAAGTTTAATAGAATTTTAAATGAAGATTTTACAGAAATTTTAAAACAAAAAATATTTTAAGTATCTTTTTTTTGCATAAACTAAACAATCATAAACATAACCTACAAATTTTTTTTTTGCTTCCTGAATTAAATTTCTTTTTAATTTCATATATAAAGTAAAAAAACAGTTTTTATTGAATATTTTGTATGTAATACAAATACTTAATAATAATTTTGTTTATTTTGATCCTCTTTGTGTATTTTTACTTTCTAAACAATTATAAACATAACCTATATATATATATATATTTTTTTTTTTGCTTCTTAGGTGTCTCTTTCTTCAAAGTACGTTAATTAAATATTAAAATTTTGTACTTTTAATAGAATTTTAATTGATACTTTCACATAATAAGGAAAAAAATATATAGGTTATGTTTATGATTGTTTAGAGAGTAAAATATGTATAAAGAGATTTAAAATTAATGAATATTATTAAGTATTCGTGTTATATTCAAAATATGCAATAAAAACTGATCTTTACTTTATATAAAATTAAAAAAAGGAATTTATTTATAGAAGGAAAAAAAAATTGTAGGTTATGTTTATGATAGTTTAGAGACGAAAAGTAAAAAAAAATTGTAGGTTATGTTTATGATAGTTTAGAGACGAAAAGTAAAAAAAAATTGTAGGTTATGTTTATGATAGTTTAGAGACGAAAAGTAAAAAAAAAATTGTAGGTTATGTTTATTCGATAGTTTAGAGACGAAAAGTCAAAAATATAAAAAAATTTGTAGGTTATGTTTATGATAGTTTAAAGACGAAAAGTCAAAAATAAAAAAACATTGTAGGTTATGTTTATGATAGTTTAGAGCCAAAAAATAAAAAAAATTTGTAGGTTATGTTTATGATAGTTTAAAGACGAAAAGTCAAAAATAAAAAAACATTGTAGGTTATGTTTATGATAGTTTAGAGCGAAAAAATAAAAAAAATTTGTAGGTTATGTTTATGATAGTTTAGAGACAAAAAGTAAAAAATAAAAAAAAATTGTAGGTTATGTTTATGATAGTTTAGAGACAAAAAGTAAAAAATAAAATAATTTGTAGGTTATGTTTATGATAGTTTAGAGACAAAAAGTAAAAAATAAAAAAAAATTGTAGGTTATGTTTATGATAGTTTAGAGACGAAAAGTTAAAATTAAAAAAAATTGTAGGTTATGTTTATAATAGTTTAGAGACAAAAAATAAAAAAAATTTGTAGGTTATGTTTATGATAGTTTAGAGGCGAAAAGTCAAAAATAAAAAAAAAATTGTAGGTTATGTTCATGATTGTTTAGAGTGAAAAAATAAAGAGAAAAACAGTGTAAAAACTGTATCACAAACATAACCTACAATTTTTTTTTTGCTGACAAAAAGCTGCTATCTAAAAAAAAAAACTAATAAATATTTTTGAAGGTTACGCGTAGGTAGTACGTAAAACAAATTTTTATTCTTAAAAATTATTTATTAATTGTAATATTATTAAAATTTTATTCAAAATGTTTAAATATTTATTATACTAATAAAATATTCATATATTAAATAAATATTAAAAAAAAAGTATATGCAAAATATAATTAAATTTTATTTTAATTATATAAAATAAATAAACATTTGAAAGGTTACAATATCACTATATCTATATATATTTTTCATTTTGGCAAGGTTAAGTTAAAAAATTTGTTGGCAACTTTTATCAATGCCAAAAATATATATAATAATAAAAAAAAACAAATTCGAAATTATCAATATTCCAAAGATGAAAAAGTTTTTTCGTTTTATTTGCAAAAAGATTTTTCATCATTCAAAACGAAAATTTATTTCTCTATAATAAAAAAATTGATAAATCATTTTTCTGGAAAAAACATACAAAAAAAGTGAGGTTAGATTTCGTTTTTTTTTTTTTTTTAACTCAACAGAAAAAATTTCAATTGATTCGCGATGTGAAATATAATAATAATAATTCGCGTTATTTTTTTGTGACGTAAACATTTTATATATCTAACACACATATAGCTTTCCTTATCATAAATATGAGATTAATAAAAAAAAAAAAAAATTGCCAAATAAAGAATTATATATTGCAAGAATGTGATTATTGTTTTATTTTTTATAAAAAAATAAAATTGACGTACTTGATTGTGTCCCTGGAAAGCATACATTTTTTTTCCCCACTGTTTATTTACACAAGGTATTTTTTGTTTGTCACGTTATTTTAAAAAAAAAAAAAATATTCAGTTTTATGGTTCAATATACTTGAAACTGTCAAAAAAAAAATAATAATAATATGACACCGACACCAATGATTTCATCACAGATTGTTGAAGTTTCGTCGATGAACAACGTTGTAGGTCATCCTCTCGAATAAATAAGTTGATGATGATGGTGGTGGGTTATTTTGTACGCGCGCGCACACACTCACGGAAATTAAAAAACACTTGATTTGATATTGGTGGCAAATTTTTTGAATTTTCGCGCTCTTTACATTTTTTCCGAAAAATTTAACAAGATTTATTTTATCGTATCGTGTTTTTATATATATATATTGCTACAAATTTTTTATTTTTGATGCCGAAAAATATGTGTGCAAAATTTTTTTTTTTTGTCCGAAAGTTTTGTGTATATTTTTTTTTAGATCGGCAATTGTTTAATTTGCACATGCGCAGTACAAATATCAGGTATGGGTCGTTGTGGAAAATATTCAGGTGCTTCTAGAATAAAGGTGCTTTTACACATTTTTGGTTTTTTGGCGAACATAAACGAAATCGTAACCGCAACCGGAAGAATAAATATATTATTTGTCCTTCTCTAACACAGTTAGTTAGGTTGCAGTTACGTTTCTATTCTATGTTGGATTTTAAATAAAATATTCCAGAATAAGGTGTGAATGTTCCTTTATGTTAAATTTATAAAGGTGCTTATATACCTCAAATTTCGATCAGATGAACATTATTTCTGGACCGTGAAAATGCGTGAAAAGTCATTTTCACGGCGGGTATTTTTGAATTGTTTTAAACAAAAAATGTTTTTTTTAAGAAATATAATATTAAATAATTGTTTTAATATGTAAGAACACTTTAAAATAGTGATAAAAAGATGATTTGATTGAAAAATTTAGCAAATTTTGCTTTAAAACGTTTCTGCTACAAGAAAGTGTAAAATGACGATGTTTGTGAAATGGTTTGTACAGTGCTTCTTCCTTGTTAGTGTCTCTCAGAGTTTTGTTTATGTTATGTCGGTTCTTTTTAACTTGTAATAAATAATGAGTGCTGAAAATAAATCGGTAAGTTGAAATGTTTGTCAAATAAATTTAAATTCAAGTAATTGTTTCGAATAACTGAAAGAAACATGTACACATGTACACTGTACAAACCATTTCACAAACATCGTCATTTTACACTTTCTTGTAGCAGAAAACGTTTTAAAGCAAAATTTGCTAAATTTTTCAATTAAATCATCTTTTTATCACTATTTTAAAGTGTTCTTACATATTAAAACAATTATTTAATATTATATTTCTTAAAAAAAACATTTTTTGTTTAAAACAATTCAAAAATACCCGCCGTGAAAATGACTTTTCACGCATTTTCACGGTCCAGAAATAATGTTCATCTGATCGAAATTTGAGGTATATAAGCACCTTAAAAATTTAATTGCAAAGACAGCCTTAAGGATTTTTTTTTTACTACCAACCAATCATAATTAGTCTTTAGTGGAAAATTTCTAATAATTTAACGGAGCCAATCAAAATTCTCCGCTTACTGGAAAAAAAATAATATGGCGACTATCCGGTGAAAAGCAAAAAAAAACATCACGTTTCTGTTTATTCTTGATTTATAAAATGAAAAATAAATTTAATTTGTCAATAAACTATATACAATTGTACTTTAATAATCGAGTAAGTATATAATATTTTTTTTATTTTTAAAGTAACACTAAATTCTTCCGTTTCGAGGTTATGAAAATTAATCAAAAATATAAGTTAATTATTCCCGAAAATAATAAATTATAAATATTTATTATTTTTAATTGTATATATTTTCAATGGAAAAGAAAATTATTTTTCTTGTTATATACACAGAAAAATTTTCGTGTTTTTTTGTGAAAAATAAAATGATTTTGTTTTCTTTAGCAAAAATGAACGTGAATCTGTGATATATTCTGAAAATTGTGAAGATTAAGAGACAGTTTTTAAGAAAAATATCGGTAAGTAAAAAATAATTTTATTTTTCCTTTCGTTTTTTTTTTTTTTTTTTTGTAAATTTATAACTATTTATATTGTAGTTATATATTCGAAAATTTTTAGGTTAGGTTTCTGTAAAATCAAAACATTTCGAATATTAAATAATAATTTTGCCCCCCCCCCTTGATAAAATTTATTCCCACGCCCCTGGATAATAGTTTAAAGAATACGTAGATTTTTTTTTAATTAAAATTCGTTTTTTTTTAATTTTTTTATTTTTTAAAACGTCATTAACAACCTTTTGTATATAAATAAAAATATGAAAATAAAAAATTTTTTCAAATAAAAAAATGTTAAAATTAAATTAATTATTTAATGAATTAATATTATTTTTTCAAACTATTTTTTTAACATAAAAAAATTTTTATATATTAAACAAATTTTGAAATTTTTTATTTTTTTATTTATATGAAGTTTGAGTTATTCACGTTTTAAATAATTAAAAAATTTTGAAAAATGACTTTTTTTGGTTTAAAAAAGAAAATTTATATATTCTTTAAACTATTATACAGGGGCGTATGAATTAATTTTTTCTGGGGGGGGGCAAAATCACATATATTTATTTATTCATATATAGATGAATATACTTTTTATACACCCAGAGAAAAAACAGGCCTCGGATTATACGACTTTTTCGACTATTTCCGACTTTTTTCAAAAATACGACTTTTATCGACTTATTTTAATAAAATGCGACTATTTCGACTTTTTTTACATTTAACAAAAAAAAATTTTCAATAAAATATTTTTTTTAGTATATAATGCAGTTCTTCTTCAGATCTTCTTTATTTCAGTTGTTTAACAAATTTTTAACTAAAATTCTTCACTAAATTAATTATTATTTTTAATAATTTTAATGAAATACATCACAAATTCAATTATCATAAACTATTTTTCAATTAAAATTTTTATAAAATTTAATAATTGTTTATAATTTTAAAAAAAATATAAAATAAAATTACCAAAAATTTTTAATTCAAAATCATAAATCAATTCAAAATCAAATAAAATTCAATTATTTTCAAAAATTTCAATTAAAAATCAACTAAAATTCAATTATTACCAAAAATTTCAATTCAAAATCAAATAAAATTCAAATATTATCAAAAAATTTCAATTTAAAATTAATTATTATCAAAATTATCAATCAAAAATCAATTAAAATTAAATTATTATCCACAATTTCAATTAAAATTCAATTATTTTCCAAAATTTCAATTCAAAATCAAAGAAAATTCAATTATTATCAAAATTTTCAATTTCAAATCAAATAAAATTTAATAATTTTCCAAATTTTCCATTTAAAATCAAATAAAATTCAATTATTTTCAAAAATTTCAATTCAAAATTAATTATTATCAAAATTTTCAATCAAAAATCAACTAAAATTGAATTATTATCCAAAATTTCAATTGAAATTCAATTATTTTCAATTCAAAATCAACTAAAATTAAATTATTTTTAAAAATTTCAATTTAAAATTAATTATTATCAAAATTTTCAATCAAAAATCAAGTAAAATTGAATTATTATCCAAAATTTCAATTGAAATTCAATTATTTTCAATTCAATATCAACCAAAATTTAATTATTTTTAAAAATTTCAATTTAAAATTAATTATTATCAAAATTTTCTTTGAAAATTCAATTATCTGAAACCATTTTTCAATTAAAAATGGTTAAATTAAGAATGGTTTTTAAATTATTGTATTTTTGTCCGCAATTTCTAATAAATTTTTTAGTAAAATCATCAAAAATTTTTAATTAAAAATCACTTGAAGTTCAATTAATTACAAAAATCTAAATTGTAAATCTTTGAAAATTCAATGACTTAAAAAATGTTATCTAAAATTATTTGTTAAATTATTTTTAGTTCTGTAAAATTTAATTATTGTCTGAAAATTAACAGAATCTTTTGAAATTCAATTATATCTAAAAATTTTTATTTAAAAATCTAGAAAATATTTTAGTTAAAATGAAAAAAAATCGACTTTTTCGACTTTTTTTGGAATGTAAATCGATTAAAACGACTTTTTTGTGCCTTTAAGTCGATCCGAGGACTGAAAAAATTTCTTTGATTTAAAGAAATTAATTTCTTTGACTTGTTTTCTTTCACTCAAAATAACATCATTGATATATATATATATATATATATATATATATATAATTTATATAAATTTATTTGAATCAAAGAAACATTTATTTGAATTAAATAAAAAAAATTTCTTTGAATTAAATAAACGAATTTATTTAAATTAAATAAAAAATTTCTTTGAATTATTCATAAATTTAAAAAATCAAATTTTTTAAACAAAATTTCTTTTTCCAATTCTTTTTAGATAAAAAAAATAAAAAGGACAGCAAAAAAAAAAAAAAAACAAAATGTTTTCCAAACTATTACTTGCAAACAAATCATGGACACGACTTCGTGATATCACAAAATGTGGAAAATTATACAGTTCACAATCATCATTGGGATTGCGTGTTGAGACAAAAAAATTTAATAACGCCACAAAATATGAAGTTGGCAATATTATTGAGGGATTTAAAGTAATGCAATGCTCAATGGTTGATGAAATGTTTTTACGTGCAATTAAACTTAAACATTTAACAAGTGGTTCAGAATATTTACATTTAGAACGTGACGATAGTAATAATGTATTTTCCACTGGTTTTCGTACAACACCATTAAATTCCACTGGTTTACCACATATTCTTGAACACACTGTATTATGTGGTAGTCCAAAATATCCATGTCGTGATCCATTTTTTAAAATGTTACGACGCTCATTGGCAACATTTATGAATGCAATGACAGCGCCTGATTATACATTTTATCCATTTTCAACGCAAAATTCAAAGGATTATCGTAATTTAATGTCTGTTTATCTTGATTTGGTTTTTAATCCAAATTTACGTTATTTAGATTTCTTACAAGAAGGTATGTAAGATGCACACACTGTAATATGACGCAGTCTGAGAAGAAAAAGACACATAAAAAGCATACATAATTTATTTCTAAATTATAGGTTATGTTTATGATAGTTTTACACCTTATTCTTATTAAACTATCACAAACATAACCTATAATTTAAAAAAAAAACTAAAAAATTATAGGTTATGTTTATGATAGTTTTGGACCTTATGGCGTAAAACTATCATAAACATAACCTATAACTTTTTTGAAATTATAGGTTAGGTTTATGATAGTTTTGTACCTTATTCGTATGAAACTATCATAAACCTAACCTATAATTTAAAAAAATTGTAGGTTAGGTTTATGATAGTTTTGTACCTTATTCGTATAAAACTATCATAAACCTAACCTATAATTTAACCCTTTCGTTCCCAAGATAATCTGAAAACTTCAAAAAAGATAAGTGAAATTGTTCTTACAGTTTTTCGGGTCGCTGATGACGAATTCGAGGTCAGATTTTTCAAATTTTAAAAATTAAAAATGGCGGATACAACATGGCGGACAATTTTTTTAAAAGTGATTAAATCCGCTCGAAAACGGCTACTCGGGGGTTTTTGGGGTCGCTGATTACGAATCCGGTGTTAGTTTTCAAAAATTCAAAATGGCGGATCCAATATGGCGAACGACTTTTGGAAAATCTAATGCAATTTGCCTGAAACTCGTTACTCGGGGGTTTTTGGGGTCGCTGATTACGATTTCGGTGTTAGTTTTCAAAAATTCAAAATGGCGGATCCAATATGTCGTACAAATTTTTGAAATTGTTAGATTCGCCTGAAATTTGTTACTCGGAGGTTTTTGGGGTCGCTGATTACGAATCTGAAGGCAGATTTTTAAAATTTTCATAAATCAAAATGTCCGATTCAACATAGCGGATAAAATTTAAAAAATTGACCCAATTCGTTTCAAACTCGCTTCTCGAGGGTTTTTGGGGTTTTGTAAATTCGTCCACCATATTGCATCCATCTTTGAATTTTTAGAAATTTCAAAAATCTGACTCCAGATTCATAATTAGTAACCCCAAAAACCCTTGAGAAACAAGATTAAAACGAATTGGGTAAATTTTTAAAATTTTTTATGCCATGTTGAATCCGCCATTTTGAATTATGAAAATTTTTAAAATTTGCCTTCAGATTCGTAATCAGCGACCCGAAAACCTCCGAGTAACAAATTTCTGGTGAATCTAACAATTTCAAAAATTTGTCCGCCATATTGGATCGGACATTTTGAATTTTTGAAAACTAACACCGGATTCGTAATCAGCGACCCCAAAAACCCCCGAGTAACGAGTTTCAAGCGAATTGCATTAAATTTTCCAAAAGTCGTCCGCCATATTGGATCCGCCATTTTGAATTTTGAAAAACTAACATTGGATTCGTAATCAGCGACCCCGAAAAACCCCGAGTAACAAATTTCAGGCGAATCTGAACGATTTTAAAAATTGGTCATTTTTAATATTTATTTATATATTTTTTTAAACAACAGAAATTTTTAGACATCATCTGGTCTAGAAATTTTGAAAGCACTATTCCTCCTGAAGAAAATGCCTCAAATCAGACTTAGAAATATTAATTTTGTTCAGAGTTATTGAGGTTTTTGTAGGTGGGACATATATGTCCCATGGGAACGAAAGGGTTAAAAAAAATTATAGGTATATATTATATTCGTATGAAACTATCATAAACCTAACCTATAATTTTAAAAAAATTAGAGGTTATGTTTATGATATTATTACACTAATAAGGTATAAAACTATCATAAACATAACCTATAACTTTTTTTTAATTATAGGTTAGGTTTATGATAGTTTTGTACCTTATTTGTATGTAACTATCATAAACCTAACCTATAATTTAAAAAAATTATAGGTTATGTTTATAATATTATTATACCACCAATAAGGTATAAAACTATCATAAACATAACCTATAACTTTTTTTAAATAATAGGTTAGGTTTATGATAGTTTTGTACCTTATTCGTATGTAACTATCATAAACCTAACCTATAATTTTAAAAAAAATTATAGGTATATTATATTACATTCGTATGAAACTATCGTAAACATAACCTATTGGTGGTGTAATAATATCATAAACATAACCTATAACTGTTTTTAAATGATAGGTTAGGTTTATGATAGTTTTGTACCTTATTTGTATGTAACTATCATAAACCTAACCTATAATTTAAAAAAAATTATAGGTTATGTTTATGATATTATTACACCACCAATAAGGTATAAAACTATCATAAACATAACCTATAATTTTAAAAAATTGTAGGTTAGGTTTATGATATAGTTTTGTACCTTATTCGTATGAAACTATCATAAACCTAACCTATAATTTAAAAAAAATTATAGGTTATGTTTATGATATTATTACACCAATAAGGTATAAAAACTATCATAAACATAACCTATAATTTTTTCCCTTTTTTAAGTGTCCCTTTCTTTTCAAATCGCGTCACTTTTTTCTCATTTCACATATTTAAAAGTCGTAACTCTAATGAAAAAAAAAAAAATTCACAAAATATAGGTTATCGTTTGGAACACACAGACGTGAACGATCCAAAATCACCGATAATTTTTAAAGGCGTTGTTTTCAATGAAATGAAAGGTGTATTTGTTGAGAATCAAAATTTATTTGCCATTAAATTTATAAATTCAATTCTACCAAGTCATACATATGGTGTAATTGCCGGTGGTGATCCACTTGATATTGTTAAACTCACACACAAGGATTTAGTTGATTTTCATTCTTATCATTATCATCCATCAAATGCACGTTTTTATTCATATGGAAATTTTCCATTGGAGGATCATTTAAAATTTTTAAATCGTGAATATTTATCAACAACAAAATCAATTGATTCAAGTGTAACGCAAGTACCATCAGAAAAACGTTGGAATACACCAAGAAAGGAACACATTTATGGTAGATTTGATCCAATGATATCGGATCCAGAACGACAAAATTCCATGGCAATTGGTTTATTATGCAATGATATTAATGATTTACGTACAACATTTGATTTACATGTTTTATCACAATTATTATTAAGAGGACCAAATTCTGCATTTTACAAGAGTTTAGTTGATTCTAATATTGGAACTGGTTTTAGTCCTGTGACTGGTTTCGATTCACAATTAAAAGATACGCTTTTCATTGTTGGATTGCAGGTAATTTTTTTTTTACATTCTAAAAAATGAAGAGTTAATATATTAGTTAAGTTATCCAACAGTCGGTAAAGTAGATTATCACTTTACCATATGCCGATAATACAGATTTCCACTTTATCATCCGTCGGTAACATTATTGTATGGCTGTAAATAAAGATATAATCCTACATTACTGACATCTAATTTTACCGACCGATGGTAAAGTGGAAATCTCCATTATCGGCATATGGTAAAGTGATAATCTACATTATCGACAGCCTCTACAAACACATACTGAATTTTTCGCAAAGGTTCACTGCTTGTATAAATAGCACAATTGCCTACATGTGAACAAATAAATATCTAATTTACGGACTGTTTTACCACTGCCGGTAATGTAGGGATCTACTTTACCTACAGTCGATAATATAGACACTTGCATTACTAAATTGATAACGCAGGTATTTACTTTTTTACTGTTTGCAATGCAGTGACCTGGTTACCACTGCTGGTAGTGTAGGGACCTACCTTACCGACCGTTGGTAATGTTGGAACCCATTTTGCCAAGCTGGTTACGTAGTTATCTACTTTGCCACTGTTTATAATGTAGAAGCCTCTTTTACCTACTGTTGGTAATGTAAGTATCTACCTTTACCGACTGTTGGTAAGGGGGCATCTACTTTGCCCACGGTTGGTAATGTAGGTATCTACTTTACCCACGGTTGGTAATGGTGGCACTTGTTTTTGCTAAGCTGGCAACGTTTGCATCTACTTTTTCATTGTTTATAATGTAGGGACCTCTTTTACCTACTGTTGGTAAAGTAGAGATCTACTTTACCCGCCGTTGGCAGTATAGGTACTTGCATTCCTACAGCTGGCTGCGTAGTTATCTACTTTTTATTGTTTGTAATGTAGGAACCTTTTTTACCCACTGTTGTCAATGTAGGGATCTAATTTATCGACTGTTGGTAATACAGAAATCTACTTTACCCACTGTTGGCAAAAATGAAATCTGCATTACCGATTGTTGTCAATAACTTAGTTGAGATTAAAATCTTTTTCTATTATTTTTTACAAAGGGCATGAGAGTTGAAGATTTTTCACGAATGGAAAAAGCCTATGAGGAGACAATAAAAAAAGTAATGAACGAAGGTTTTGAAAAAGATCACGTCGCATCTATTCTTCATGGTATTGAATTACATGTAAAACATCAGACATCAAATTTTGGAATGAATTTACTTTTTAATATAATGCCCCTATGGAATCATGATGGTGATATTATTCAATCATTACGTATTAATGATGCTCTTGAATCATTTAAAATTAATATCAATGAAAATCCAAGATATTTACAAGAATTGGTGGAAAAATATTTTTGGCAAAATAAACATCGTTTAACATTAACAATGTCACCAAATGAAAAATATAGTGAAGAATTGTTGAATGCTGAAAATCAAATACTTAAGGAAAAAATTGAAAAATTAACAACTGATGAGAGAAAAGAGATTTATTTAAATGGACAACAATTACTTGAGGATCAAACAAAATCGGAGAATATTGAAACATTACCAACGTTAAAGATTGAGGATTTGAAAAAAGATGTAGAGAGGTGAGAAAATTAATTTTCTTTTTCTAATATAATTGTAAATTGGTTTTTATTTTTTTCTTTAATTTTGTAAACTAGGTACAATGTTGAAGATTTAAAATTGAATGGAGTTCCAGTTCAATTATCATTACAGCCAACAAATGAAGTTTGCTATTTTCGCGGTATTCTTAGTACACAAAAATTATCATTGGATTTAAAGAATCTTTTACCAATTTTTAATAATGTTGTGACAAAAATGGGTACCCAAAATTATGACTACAGGACATTTGATAAAATGATTCAATTAAAAACATCGGGTCTTGGTTTTACGAATCATATAGCTGAACAACGAAATAATGTCACGAGTTATGAGGAGGGAATTCTCATTGAATCCTATTGTTTGCAACAGAATTCAAAAGAAATGTGGCAATATTGGGAGGAATTATTCAATCGAGTAAAACTCACTGATCTCAAACGTTTTGAGACATTGGTGAAAATGAGCGCTACTGATTTAACAAATGGAATTGCTGATGCTGGTCATCATTATGCTTTGAGTAGTGCTGGAAGTTTGGTAATTTTTTTTTTTTTTTTACTTTATTTAAATTTCCTATGACATCGAAAAAATTTAATTTTTGTCTTTTCAGGTGAGTCCAGTGCGTAAAATGAAGGAGAATCTTTCTGGTTTGGAGTATATTACGCGAATGAAAAAAATTGCACAACTCACGGATATGTCATCAATTCTTGAACAAATACAAATTATTGGAAGGGAAATTTTTAATAAATCTTGTTTCAGATCAGCTGTTAATATTTCACCGGAGAATAAGGAGGAAATAATGAAAAATCTTAATAAATTCTATCAATCACTTAATGGTGAACCTGTGAATAATCCAATTTTATCATTAGAATTAACATCAATGAATAATGAAATAGGAATTCATCATTTAGTACCGTATACAATTAATTTTGCCTCCAAGGCAATATTAACAGTACCCTATACTGATTCTGATTCTTCTGTTCTTAGTGTATTGGCAAAATTACTTACAAATGTTTATCTTCATTTTGAAGTTAGAGAAAAAGGCGGTGCCTATGGTGGTGGTGCAAAATTATCATCAGATGGTATTTTTGCCTTTTATTCATATCGTGATCCAAATTCAATAAAAACATTTGAAATTTTTGATAACGCTTATGAATTTATAAAGAATTATTCACTTAACGAGAGAGATTTATTGGAGGCAAAATTGGGATTATTTCAAGATATTGATTCACCAATACCACCGAGTAATAGGGGTTTAATTAAATTTCTCTATGGTATTACGGACAATGATATACAAATGAGACGTGAGAGAATAAAAGCAGTGACAATTGATGATATAATGAGAGTAACGGAAAAATATTTAAAACCAAAGACAAAAAATGTGAAAGTTGGACGATCATTGATTGGTCCAAAGAATGAGGATTTACAAAAAAGAGACGGTGAAACGTGGATTGTTTCAAATGAAAATGAGAATTAAAAAAAAAAAAAAAAAAAACTGAAGATGTTTTTTCAATTTTATGATGTATATTTAGTTAATAAAGAAATTTTTTTTAATAGACTATATTTTTTTTCCCTCAACATATATTAATTTTTTTTTTTTTTTAATTTTTTTTCTAAGTATTTTTCAGCTGGAAATCTGACAAAAGTATTTAAAGCTTGACAAGTCTGGTGGTATTTTGTTAAAATACTAAAAGATATATATTTAAAGCACCCTGGTTATTTCTTTTTGGCTCAAAAATTGAGCTATGATTGTCTAAATGCTCAAGACAAGACAAAGTTTTTAGTCTGAAGGTATATACTCAAAGCATCCTGGTTATTTTTGCTTGGCTTAAGAATTTGAATTATAATGTCGAAATACTCAAAAATCGACAAAAAATAAAATAAAAGCTCTGAGTTTGAAGATAATTATATATATTCAAAACACTCTGGTTATTTATTTTTGGCTCAAAAATCGAGTCCTATATGTCGAAATGCTCAAAATTCGACAAAAAATAATATATATATATATATATATATATATATAGGTATATATTCAAAGCATCCTGGTTATTTTTGCTTGACTCAAATATTAATAATTTCTAATTGGTTAATTTTTAAATTCGCGCCAAAATTTTTCTGTCAATTGTTTATCGGTCATTTGTAATTTCGAACAAGTTGAAATTAATCGTTTAGAGAATTCAGAATTCTATATGAAATAACAATTCGAGCAAATAAACATTCGGACTAATGAAAATTCGGTGAATTGGAAATTTTGTTGAATAAGAATTTTGATAAATTAATATTCGATTTAATTATAATTTTTTTTTAAATAAAACGTTGGTAAATAGAAATTCTATTTAAAAAATTTTGGTAAAGATAAACAAATTAAAGATTGAAATTTAAAAAATTTTTTTTTTTTTTTTTTTACAGATTTTCTACTATTAATTTGCAGGAAAACAACAAAATAATTAATATAATATGTTGGAATATGAATCATACTTTGAAGATGTTTTAAATTTTTTTCATGATTCACAATGGATTTTTAATACACCTGTAACGGAAATTTTAGTTAAAAAATGTTTGGACAATTTTCCAGAGGGATGGCTCGAAATTTTACTTAATTTAAATAATGATAAATTAAATGATTTTGTCGCTGAAAAGAAATATGAGGTTTAAAATTTTTTTTAAATAATAATTATAATAATATTAAAAATAATAAATAAAAAAAATAAAAAAAAATTGCGAAATGAAAAAAATATATTATTTTAGACAAATTGGCCGAAATCGCTTATAACATTTATTGAAAAATGTAAACAAATTGATAGACTCGAAAAACCGGAACTCGAATTAAATATTCAACTACCGAGTCTTTTTCTAAAGGGTTTGACTCCAAAGAAGCAACATGAAATTTTATATCTTACAAATCTCGTTCGTAAACAATGTTTAGAAGAAAATATTTCTACTATTGTTGATTTTGGAGCAGGTTTGGTAAGAATTTTTTTTGATAAAAATAAATCAAAACGAAATTAAATTAAAAACTTTTTCAGGGCTACGTGTGTCAATTACTTCATTATTTATACGGTTATCGTATTCTTGGCTTAGAATCAAATGAAAAAAATGTTGAAAATGCAAAAAAAAGACAAAAATTATTTTATCCAAATTCAATAAATCATGTGAAATATTTACAATGTGAAGTAAATAATGAATTTTCCATTGATACAATTCATGTGAAATTAAAAGAAGAATTTAATGATTTATCATTTAAAAATGAGAAAATTTGTCTAATTGGCCTTCATGCATGTGCCGATCTTAGTGTTTGGATTATGAAAATATTCACACAACTTAAAGAGGCACGTCTTTTAATTTTACTTTCATGTTGCTATCATAAATTATCAATGATATCGTCAAATCAAATTTCCAACGTTGACAATGCATTAAATAATGATGGAGAATTTTTTCTACTATTTCCATTGTCGTCGACATTAAAAAATGTCATTGAATTGACAAATTTAAATTGTAATTTTTTTCAAAGGACATTTCTACGTTTAGCATGTCAAGAGCCTGCCGAACGTTGGCATGGAATGTCATCAAAAATTCATGAAAATCATGCATTTCACGTGATTGCAAGAGCTGTTCTTCAACTTTTTGCTAACAATAGTAATTATGGATTTTTTTTTTTTTTTTTTTTGAGGAAAATTAAATTTCAATCAAAATTATTAAACTTTTTTTTTTTAATGATTATTAATAATTATTTTGCTAATATTTTATTAATTGTCAATATTATTTTGCTAACAAATTAATTAAATTTTTTTTAAAATTAAAATGGTTATAACTTAGAATTTTATTTGTAAAAAAAAAATAAAATCGTTTTTTTTGTAATAAAATTAATTGATTGATTGATAAAAGAAAAATTGAAAAAACTGAATATTTTCCATTTTAGATAATTTACAACTCACAAAATTGACGCAAAAAGGAACGCGAAAATCGCAATGTGAAAATTTTTCAATGTACCTGAAGGATTCATTAAAAAGATACAAATTCACTGGAGAAAACGGTAGTTTTTTTGTTTTTTTTCTGATATAACAAAAAATTGGTTTCTTTCATTTCTTTACGAATTTATTTTTTGAAAAAAAAATTAATTTTTATATTTTCAAAAAGGGTTTTCTTAATAAATCCATATGAGTTTTGAAATAGACAAAGAATTTTTTTTTTATAAATATAAAAAATTAATATAAATAAAAATAATACAAAAATTAATTTAATATTTCAAGAAAAAATTTTTTTCTTACCTTCTTTTTTTTTGCAGATTTACCGGAGAATATTGAAGAAAAAATAACAAATCTCTGGACGACAAATGAGACGAAACTCAAGAGCGCCGAAATTTATACGGGACTTCAACTTCTTTTACAAAGTCCAGCCGAGTCATTAATTCTCATGGATCGAATTGTCTGGTTACGAGAATATGGATTTTGGGCGGAAATTCAATCCGTGATGAAAAAAACATTGTCGCCACGTTCTCATGCGATTATTTCAAAAAAAGAATAATAATAAAATTTCTCCAAATGTTGATAGCAAAAAAGGAAATTATATATTTTCTCTTTCCCCTTACTCTCAATTTTTTTTCCATTTTACAAAAAAAAAGAAAAAGAAAAAAAAGTATTCACATTTCATATTTACAAATTAAACTACTTACAATTAAATTAAATTAGAAAAACAGATACAATATGAAAAAAAATCAATTCTTTAAATATTGAATCATCAATAATTGATGGAGAAATTTTTCCCAATTCTCTCGAAAAGAAAATTGTAAAAAAAAAAAAAAAAGAAAAAAAAATTTCTACCGCCCATAAGGATGAATTTGCGAGGCTGCTTTGATGTTTGTCTTAATTGTACTCGGAGCTTTTGTCATTTGACCTGAAATAAAACGAAAGGGGAATTTTATTTTTTGTTTAAAAAGAAAAGAAGGTTATTTTTTTTAAATTAACAATTACTTGGAGAAGAAATTTAATAATATTAAATCGTTAAAATAAAGAGCAAACAAAAAAATAGTAAAAAAAAGAAATTATACTTAAATAAAAATTCCGTTTACTATGAAATAAATAAATAAATAATAATAATAATAATAATAATAATAATTTAATAAATTTCAAGTGGAAAGAAATTTTACCCATTGGTCCTTGACCACCAGGTTGGCCTTGACTACCAGGTCTTCCAACCATCATTCCTCCAGGTCCCGGGGATACTCCAGGTTGAACCATTTGCACCGAATCCGACTGGAAAAATTACATATTTTTCTCTTTTTTTTTCTTTTCTATAATAATTAAACAATTAAAAAACAAAAAAAATTCAATTTTTTTCCAAATTTTTATTTTTAATTTGAAAAAAAAAAAAAAATTTATTAGCCCTCGAATCGACCTTTAAGGGGCAAAAAAAATTCAATTTACATTCCGAAAAAAAGTAGAAAAAGTCGATTTTTTATTTTTAATAAATTTAATTAGTTAATAAATATTTTTTAATAATATTATTATTAATTATTAGATATTATTATTAATTATTAATAAATTAATTATCAATAATAATTGAAAAAAAAAATTCAAAAATTTTACCTCTTAATTAAATTTAAATTTTATTTTTAAAAATGATTTTTAATAAAAATTTTTTTACAACAAAAATTAAAATTTTTATTAATTTTTGTTAACTACAAAATTTTTTTTTATACAAAAAATTATAATTTTGTTTATCCTTTTTTTTATTATGAATATTTTTTTTTATGACAAAAATTATTATTTTTTGTTTTTTTTTAATAAAAAATTTTTTACGACAAAAATTATTATTTTTTACTAAAAAATTTTTTTACTACAAAAATTATAAATTTTTTTTTGTAATTTCTTTTTATTACTAAGCAACATTTTACGATAAAAAATTATTTTTTTTTTTTGAAATTGAATTTTTTTTGATTTTATTCGTTTATCAAGAAAATTTAAAAAAAAGAAAATAAATTTCTTTTTTTTTAAGTAATAGAAATAATTTTCATTTTTTTTTTTTTCTTTTTTTGATTTGGGGACTTTGTTCCGTTTATTTCTACGAAATAACTAAATTAATAAATTGATTAATTAATAAATTTCTAAAAAAAAAAAAAAAAAAGAATAAAATTGAAAAATCATTTTTCTACCTTAAGACCTTTTCCCATTCCAATTGCGGCAACAAGAGCATGAGTATCGGCAGCGCTACTTGTTTGCGCTTGTGCTGCACGCGTTCCAGCTTCACTTTCCCATTCTTCACGCGCTTTATTTGCAATATCCCAAACATGTCCAATAACTTTTGTATATTGTGCCACTTGTTTCTGAAAAAAGAATCTTCAAACATTTTTTCTTTCTTCTTAATTGAAAAAAAAAAAATTATTTTTTAAATCACTTTCCAATTGTTTAAAAAAAAGACACTAACGATCAGTGAAAGAAAAAAAAATACATTTTTTATACTAAATAAAAAATAAACAAATGATTTCTAGCTCTTTGCAAACTTTCTTTTTCTATTTACGAAGCGAGAGTGAAACTAAAAAAAAAAAATTTATTTTTTTTTAAGAAAAAATCTTAGGAGCTTACATTGCAGTCCTAGATGTCGTTTAGATTGCAAAATCAACAGAAAATTAAAGATTATTTTTAATATTAAAAAAAAAAAAATGGTTTCTTTCATTGAAATAAAAAAAAAAATAATTTTCTATTATTATTTTATTTATTATAATAAATAGATAAAGTCCTATAAAATAAATTCTATAAGATAAAAAAATAAATTTAATTTTCAAAATTAGGTAGAATTTTTGAAATTTTGTTCAACTTTTTTTTTTTGCAATATTCTGTAAATTTACAGAATTGCAAGAAAAAAAAAGAATAAAACAGCTAATTTGAAAATTTTCTTTATCAATTTTTTTGTCAATTTTCCAGTAAAAAATAATTGAATTATATAGAAAAAAATTTTATTTTCTTAAATAATAAAAATAGAAAAAAGAAAATAAAAATGAGAATTGTTTTCTTTCTTTTAAAAATTAAATTTCTTTTTTTTTTTGTAAAATAAAAATAGTTTTTTTTTTTTATTTACAAAGAATTTTTTTTTTTTTTTCACTTACGTGTGCAGAATCATAACTGAGATTTGCTGCCTTTGTTTCCAATGTTGTCATTTTTGCCTCAACATTTGGATCGGGTTTTGTTCGCAAATAATCAGGCACTAAATCATGAGCGAATACTGTTATTCTTCCCTCAGTCATTCGCATTAAATCTTCATCTTTCTCGGGACTCAAGTGTAATGGTAGCACTGTTAAATTCCTCAATGTTGGCGATTTTTCATGACTCAATATTTTCGTCAAACTCGTCAACTTTAATAATTTTGAAAAAAAAGAAAATGAAAAATAACAACTAATAAAAATTATACAAAATTTATTAAATTTAAAAAAGGAAAATTAATTGGTAACATTCTTTTGACAAAAATGAAATATTAAATTTTTTATTTTTATCAAAATTTTCAAATTTTTATTTTCTTTAAATAAATAAATAATTTTTTAGAACTAAAATAATTATTTTTCAAATATTTTTTATTTATTTACAACTAAAGAGTAAAATAAATATTTTACTTTATTTTAAAAATAATTATTCTTTCATTATCAAAATTTTCTATTTCATTTTTATAATAAATAATTTATTTTAATTTACATAATTTTTTTGTGAATTTTTATTTATTTATTTATTAACAAATAAATAGTAAAAATAAATATTTTACTTTATTTTAAAAATATTTTTTTATTTACCAAAATTGTCTATTTCTGTTTTATGTAAATAAATAAACTTCTTTTTTTATTTTATATTTTTCAAATAAATAAATATTTATTTATTTATTTATTTACAACTAAAGAGTAAAATAAATATTTTACTTTATTTTAAAAATATTTTTCTATTTACCAAAATTGTCTATTTCTGTTTTTTGTAAATAAATAAATTTCCTTTTTTTATTTTATATTTTATATTCTCCAAATAAATATTTATTTATTTATTTATTTACAAATAAAGGGTAAAATAAATATTTTACTTTATTTTTAAAAATATTCTTTTAATCAAAAAAAAAAAAAAAAAAAAAAAATTTCTATTTTATTTTACATTCTCTCAATAAATAAATAAATAGTTTTTTGAAGAAATAAAAAATATTAAAATAATTTCTTTTAAAAAAATTCAAATGTTTTTTTCTTTTCTTTTTTTTTTCTGAAATTCTTTTAAAAAAACAGAAAATTATTTCCAAAGAAAACAGAAAATTTTTAATTAAGAAGGAAAATTAAAATTTCTTTTTAATTTTCAAAAAGTAGATATAAAAAAGTTTTTTTTTCTCAAAAAAATATTTTATATTCGCAAAAAATAGATAAATAATAATAAAATAATAAATTTTAAATTATTTATTTAAATTATTAAATTTATTATTGTCTAAAATTTAAAAAAATTTTGAATAATTATAATTTTGAAAACCTTAAAATTTTTTGAAATTTATTTATTTAATTATCTATAAATAAATAAATAAATAAAATTAATTATTAAATTAATGTCAGCCAATAATTTTTATCAATTCCTTCAAAAATTAATTTATTTAAATTATTAAATTTATTATTCTCTAAAATTAAAAATTTTAAATAATAATAATAATAAAAATAACAATAATAAAAAGAAAATTATACTCACATGGCCGGAAATGAGGGCAAAATTATCAAGAAAACTGGGCCAATTAAGTGTTTCATATTCGTGTTCCAATTTAAAAATCATTCCAGCGATTGACGATTTTAAATCATTGACACGAGCAATTGTTGCCTCTAATGAGGCGTCTAACTGTTTTTCTTCTCTCTGCATTTTTTTGTTTTGCACTTCCGGTAAAATTTTTTTTTTTTTTTTTTTTTTTTTTTTTTTTTTATCTAAAATTACGAGAAAATTCAATTCAATGAGAGTGAAAAGTTTTTTTTTCGACTTTAATTTCAAATAGATTATAATTTTAAAAAATATATTTTCTTTTTTGTAAAAATTAAATTAATATTTGTTTATTTAATTTATTTTTGCAAATAATTATAATTAGACTTAAAAAATGAATCGATTTTTTTTTGTTGTAATATTTGTTTTTTTCATAAAAATTAAAATATTTATTTTTTATTTTAAATAAAAATTAAATTAATATTTATCTACTGTTTTAAATAAATTAATAACTAATATTTATAATAATAATATTATATATTTCATGCAAAAAGAAAGATATAATTGTTTTTAGGTTAGGTTTCAACTCACCTCCGTATACAGGAAAATACGTTTTCCTCGGCAATAAAAATATTTAATAATCACTAATTTTATATCACACACACATACTTGTGGAAAAAACTATTAATTGTTTTCATATCATGAAAATTGTAAAAATTCACTGGGAGGAAAAAAAAAGTGAAACGAGAATACAATAAACCACATAAACAAATTTGACAGATTAAAGTTTATTCAAGCATTGATAATGTAAATAATAAAGAAAGGGAATTACAATGTAAAAGAAACAACTTTAGGGCGTAACTCTTTAAATGCGCCACTGGACAAATTTCACTATTTGGGGGAATTTTCAAAAATTACCGAATTAAAGGTGAAATCACAAAGAAGCGTAAAGGGTGCTTTTATAAATTCTTTCACATTTCAGAAGTTTCACTCTAAAAATTCTTAAATAACAAAATTCCTTCTCTATTCTCCTATTATTTCTATGTTAATGGCGGTAAAATCTTAAAAAAGGCGGCACAAATGCGTAATTTTGGCGCCCTTGAAACCATAATGGACGTTCAGTACAGCGTGTGCAGTCGATAGTATAACATTAGCAAGTGCAAAATATTTTATAATAATTGTATTTAATATTCGAAATTCAACGAAAAATTTATTAACACGTTAAATATAGCTATTAGCTTTTTTTTCTATTTGTAACGCGTTAAGTACCAAAAAAAATCAAAATGTTTGAAGCACGTTTAGTACAAAGTTCTGTTTTAAAGAAAGTTATTGAAGCCGTTAAAGAGCTTTTATCTGAAGCAACATTTGAATGTTCGGATTCAGGAATGCAAGTACAAGCCATGGACAATGCCCATGTTTGTCTTGTATCATTAAATATGCGAAGTGATGGATTTGACAAATATCGTTGTGATAGGAATTTATCAATGGGAATGAGTATTACTTGGTAAGAGAGAGAGAGAGAGAGAGAGAAAGAGAGAAATTAAAAATTTTTTTTTTTCAATATTGGCATTATAATAATATTTTAATTTTAATACTTTTATCTTTTATTACATTATAATAATTCCATTTTTTATTGGGAGGGAGAGTAAATAAACTTTATTATTATTATAATTATTAAATAATTACAGTCTTTGGATTGTACGATTTTTTCGACTTTTTCCAACTTTTTTCCTCAGAAATTAAAAAATTTAGAAATTATTTTTGCAAAAATAAATTGATTTGAAATAATTTAAAAAAAAATGAATTTATCAGGTTTTGAAAAAAATTCTCCTCTATTATTATTAACTAGCAAAATTAAACGCGCGCAAGCGCGCTAAATTGAAGATTTGATTGTTTGTTATAAAGAAATTAAAGATTAATATTATCAATAATAATTTAATTTAATAGAATATTATTACATATTAAATGATAATAATGAAAATTATATATGTTTACAGGCCTCGGATTATACGACTTTTTCCGACTTTTTTCAAAAATACCACTTTTATCGACTTATTTTAATAAAATGCGACATTTTTTTTTTTTACATTTGAAAAAAAAATGTAAATAAAATACATTTTTTTAGTATAAAATGTAAATCTTCTTCAGATCTTCTTCAATTCAATTATTTAACAAATTTTTAACTAAAATTATTCTTCACTAAATTAATTATTTTTTAATAATTTTAATGAAATAAATCACAAATTCAATTATATCAAAAATTTATTTTTTCAATTAAAATTTTTATGAAATTTAACAATTGTTTATAATTTAAAAAAAATATATCACAATAAAATTGAATTATTTTTTAAAAATTTCAATTCAAAATAAACATTATTACCCGAAATTTTAATTCAAAATCAATTAAAAATCGAATAATTATCCACAAAATTTTCAATTTAAAATTTAATTATTTACCAAGTTTTCAATTTAAAATGAAATAAAATTCAATTATTTTCTAAAATTTCTATTTAAAATTAATTCACCAAATTTTCAATCAAAAATGAACTTAAATTAAATTATTATCCAAAATTTCAATTAAAATTCAATTATTTCCCAAAATTTTCAATTCAAAATCAACTGAAATTCAATTATTTTCCAAATTTAAAATCAAATAAAATTTTATTATTCTCAAAAATTTGAATTCAAAATTAATTGAATTTTCAATAATTTGAATTTAAAAGCATCTAAAATTTAATTATTTCTAAAATTTTCCATCGAAAATTTTTTTTTTTTGAAATTTAATAATTTCAATTATAACTCTAAGGAAATTCAATTATTTTTAACTATTTTAATAATATTCTTTGAAAATTCAACTATCTGAAACCATTCTTCAATTTAAAATGATTTTCAAATTATTGTATTTTGTCCGCATTTTCTAATAAATTTTTAGTGAAATCATCTAAAATTTTAATTACAAAACACTTAAAGTTTCAATTAATTTCAAAAATCTCAATTTTAAATCTTTGAAAATTCAATTAAATTTAAAAAATGTTTTCCAAAAATTGTTTGATAAATTATTATTTTTAGTTCTGTAAAATTTAATAATTGTTTGAAAATTAACAATATATCTTTTGAAATTTAATTATTTCTAAAAATTTCAACTTTAACCCTTTGAAAAGGATTATTATTGAAAAAAAAAATTTTTTATTCTAAAATCTGTTAAATATTTTTGTTAAAATGAAAAACAAATTATTATATAAAAAAAATAAAAAATAATATACAAAATAATAAATAAAATAGTATGAATACAATAAATAAAAATAAATTATAGTTACAAACATGAGAAAAAGAAAAATAAATAAAATAAACGTAAAAAACTTTACCAAATAAAACGATGAAATTAAAATTAACAGTCATTCTCACAATCGTCAATAAAATAATATAAAAAGATGAACAATTCAAAATCAACTAAAATTCAATTATTTTCCAAAATTTCAATTGAAATTCAATTATTTTCCAAAATTACAATTGAAATTCAATTATTTTCCAAAATTTCAATTCAAAATAAATTATTTTCAAAATTTTTAATTCAAAATAATCTAAAATTAAATTATTTTCAAAAATTTCAATTTAAAAGCTTCTAAAATTTAATTATTTCTAAAATTTTCCATCTAAAATTTTTTGAAATTTAATAATTTCAATAATATCTCTTCTGAAATTCAATTATTTTTAATGATTTTTATAATTCTTCAAACATTTAACTGTCTGAAACCATTTTTTACTTAAAAATAGTTTTCAAATCTGCAATTTCTAATAAATTTTTTAGTGAAATCATCAAAATTTTTAAATTAAAAATTACTTGAAGTTCAATTAATTTAAAAAATTTAAATTCTAAATCTTTGAATATTCAATTACTTTTAAAAAAAATACATATCTAAAATTATTTGATAAATTATTTTTAATTCTGGTAAAATTTAATTGTTGCCTGAAAATTAACGAAATCTTTTGATATTCAATTATTTCTAAAAATTTCAATTTTAACTCTTCCAAAATTATTATTATTGAAAAAAATTTTATTTAAAAATCTGTAAAACTTGATTAAGTATTGCCTGAAATATTGTCGACCATCAAAACTAAAAACTATGGTAAAATTTTTTTAATTCGAATAAATTGCTTTAATCTGACTTGAAAAAAATGATAAAAATGGAATTTTTAAGAATTTTTTTTTCAGAAATTTGCCCTATTTAAATAAAATTTTGAAAATTTGTCTTTACTATTAGTTCGATTCTGAAATATTCGAAATAAATTTTCTTGATAATATTCATTATAGAATTATTCTCATTACAAAATTAATAAAATCAACTGAAAGACATAAAAATTCCGTTTAGTCGATTTATATTCTAAAAGAAAGTGGATTTGTTTTTTATTTTAACAAAAATATTTTACAGATTTTTAAATAAAAATTTTTTTTTCAATAATAATCCTTTTCGAAGGGTTAAAGTTAAAATTTTTAGAAATAATTAAATTTTCGAAAGATATATTGTTAATTTTCAAACAATTATTAAATTTTACAGAACTAAAAATAATAATTTATCAAACAATTTTTGGAAAACATTTTTTAAATTTAATTAAATTTTCAAAGATTTAAAATTGAGATTATTGAAATTAACTAAAAATTTATTAGAAAATGCGGACAAAATACAATAATTTGAAAATCATTTTTATTTGAAAAATGGTTTCAGATAGTTGAATTTTCAAAGAATATTATTAAAATAGTTAAAAATAATTGAATTTCCTTAGAGTTATAATTGAAATTATTAAATTTAAAAAAAAAAAAATTTTCGATGGAAAATTTTAGAAATAATTAAATTTTAGATGCTTTTAAATTCAAATTATTGAAAATTCAATTAATTATGAATTCAAATTATTGAGAATAATGAAATTTTATTTGATTTTAAATTTGGAAAATAATTGAATTTCAGTTGATTTTGAATAGAAATTTTAGAAAGTAATTGAATTTTATTTCTTTTTAAATTGAAAATTTGGTAAACAATTAAATTTTAAATTGAAAATTATTGATAATTATTGGATATTTAATTGATTTTGAATTAAAATTTCGGGTAATAATTGAATTTTAGTTTATTATTATTATATTATTATATTATTGAAATTTTATTTACATTTTTTTTCAAATGTAAAAAAAATGTCGCATTTTGTTAAAATAAGTCTATAAAAGTCGTATTTTTGAAAAAAAAAGTCGTATAATCCGAGGCCTGTGAACATATAATTTTCATTATTATCATTTAATATGTAATAATATTCTAATAAATTAAATTATTATTGATAATATTAATCTTTAATTTCTTTATAACAAACAATTATATACTCAATTTGGTTCTTGCGCGCGATTAATTTTGCTAGTAAATAAATAAAATAAATTAATAACAATATTGCTAACATAAAATTTTTCCAAAATTTTTTTCTTTTGAAAAAATAATGAGATATTTGATTTTTAGCATGTCAAAAATTTTAAAATGCGCTGGTACAGACGACACTGTAACATTGAGAGCATGGGATAATCCAGAATCAATAAATGTTATTTTCGAATCGCCAAATAAAGAGAAATTAGCCGAATATGAAATGAAATTGATAAATATGGATCAGGAACATCTTGGAATTCCTGTGAGTTAATTAATTGTCACCAAAATTATTAAGATTTTATTTTAATAATAATTATATCAAAATTCATGGATTATTTCTCAACTGTAACCGGATAAAAATTTCTTATTCCTTTTTTCTTTTTTTGTAGGAGACTCTTTATTCTTGTACAGTAAAGTTGCCATCTGCTGAATTTGCAAGAATTGTAAGGGATTTGCAAATGTTTGGCGAATCAATAACAATTGCCTGCTCAAAGGAGGGCATCAAATTTAGTGCAGCTGGTGATATTGGAACAGGTTATTAATTAATCACGTATAAATTAATTCCGTATTAATTTGGAATAAATTATTTCCGTATTAATTTGGAATAAATTACATTAATTTGGAAATAAATTAAATCTGTATTTAAAACTAATGACTTAATACAAATTTAATATATACTTAAATGTTTATTTTTCCAAACAGCAAACGTAAAATTGGCACAAACCGCTGAATCAGATAAAGAAGAGGAAGCTGTAACGATAGAAATGCAAGAACCAGTGAAACAAGCATTTTCAGCAAGGTATCTCAATAATTTTGTAAAAGCAACGCCACTTTGTGCTCAGGTTCAACTTTCATTATCCAATGACGTACCCCTTGTTTGTGAATATAAAATCGGTGACATTGGCCATATTCGATATTATTTGGCACCGAAAATTGAAGACGAAGAGGAAAGCTAAAAATAACTTTTAAACTTAAGACAATTCTCTTTAATTTTATTTTTTTTTAATAATCATTTAAAAAAAAAAAAAAAAAAACAAGAAAAATGTAATAAACGCGACTTTTTTTTTCTATAATATTCATCTCGACTTGTTTGAATATTTTACAGTTATTTTTTTTTAGTAAATTATAATAAGTTTGTAAGAGAAAAAAAAAAAAAAAAAAAAAACGTTTCCTCGGTCTTGTAACTTCAAAGCTGTAAAATAATAATTTTTATAATGACTTTTTTTTATATAAAAAACAAAAAAAAAAAAATTGTGTGAATTTTTTTTAAACCTTTAATTGCCAGTGGGATATATACGTCCCAACTACTTCAAAAAAATCATAACTTTCTTAAAAGTTAACAGATCAAGTTCGCTGAGATCTCATTTTAAAAAGGACAGACACAGTAACTCACTTTATAAGTTTAATTTCAACTTTTTTGTTGTTTCTGTTATAGATAAGTTATTTTTGAGCACATATTTGAAAAATTTGAGAAAAAATGAACAGAATTTCATATATAGCATAATTTTTAATTTCTTAGTACAATAGATTAAAAAATGTTCTAAAAACACACACTTTCTTCGTTGACGTTAAATTTCAAAAAATCATAACTTCCTTCATTTTCATCAGATAAAAAAATAAAAAAATAAGGTCAGAATTTCTCAAACGGATCACCTAAAATTCAGAAATTTTTTTTGTAATCAAAAATCATTTCTTTTGACTCCTTACATGGTAAAAATAAGTCCCTGAAATTTGTAGGACAAAAAAAAATTTTTTTTGTTAAAGTTATAAACAATTGAAATTTTTTGCAGTCTTATTTTAAAAAATTTTTTTCTCGAGTTCCTGTTCATCAATTAAAAAAAGAAAAGGGTTTTTCTCGTCTTAAAATGTAGATTCTAAATATAATTTTTATTTTGAAAAAATTTCATATTTAATAGATTTTTATATTATTTATTTATAAAATGTTATTAAAAAATAGTGTTCTTGACGTCCTACAGAAAATTAAAATTTTTTTTTTTTTTTTTGAATTCCCCACCCAATTTTGTGTAAGAAACCGTTGAGAAAAAAAAATGAGACTAAAAAAAAAATTTCTGAATTTTAGGTGATCCGCGTTTGAGAAATTTTGACCCAATACGTATTTTCTTATTTTTCATATAGATTTCGAAAAAAAAAATGTTTCGAACAAAAAAAATTATTAATGAAAATTTCCCATGGAATGCCCCATATATACAAAAAATGTAGAAGTAGAGGGGGAGGGGACAGGGTAATTTTTCGCATTTTTTTTTCGAAAAAACCGATTTCTTTCCTTTCTATCTCGTATCTATCAAATCCAATCGGTCTTGCTATATTTTTTCTATAATCTACACGTGAAAAATACATGTATGTACTAAATTTCAGCTCTCTATATTAAATACTGTAGCCGCAAGGGGGGGGGGGACACAAAGCTGTGACGGACGCAAGAGTCTTTTCATAAGGGTTCCATCAGTACACCGAAGATGTACGGAACCCTAAAAATACATTATTTCGATATAATTAATTCAAAAAGAAATTGAAATTAAAATTTTTAGAAATAATTTTGAGTTTTGGAAGAGCAATAATAAAAATTTTTTGAACTAATTGAATTTCAGGAGATTTTTAATTAAAATTTTTGTAAATTAAAATTTCTGTATAGATATTTTATAAGCCTTAAATAATAATTAAATTTTCGAGAATTTTGAATTAGAAAATATTTTAAATAATTGAGTTTTTGAAAATCTTGATTAAAATTATTAAAATTAAATTATTCAACAATTTTAATTTTAGATAGAAAATTTGGAAATAATTGTATTTTAAAATAGTTCGAGTTAAAAATTTCGAAAATAATAATTAAATTTCAAAAGATGATTAATTGAAACTTTCATTTTGAATTGGTTTTGAAATTTTTTTTTTTTTTTTTAAAAACTTTAGACAATAATTTGAATTTTCAATTGAAAATTTTTTTTAAATCCTGTAATTTTCGAAGAATTTGTTTTAAATTATTGAAAATAATTGATTTTGCAACCAATAATAATTTAAGTTAATATATTTGTGTTTAATAACTCAATTTACGAAAAATTTACTGATTAACTTAATTTTCTTAATATATTCATAAAGAAGGGAAAAGCAAATGATTAAATTATAAAAAAGAAAATATAATTACAGTAAAACCTCCCAATAGTGGACACCGACGGTGAAAGATGAAATTGTCCGTTAACGGAGGTGTCCGCTATTGAGACGTTTTTATCTCATATAAAACAATTTAATTTTGCCGGGACTTTCAAATTTCGTCCGTTAAAGGAGGTGTCCGCTAAGAGAGGTTTCACTGTATATATAATATACTAAAAAGGAGTTTTATGAATTGCAACTATTTTTTTTTTCCATGTTTATTACAACAGTCTCTTTTCGTGACAAATAAGAAATTTAAGGATACATATTGATATAACATCAAATTTCTACTGATGTCATATTTTTTTAGGCTAACAAACATTCTTAATTGGAATTAACATTCAAAATTTTTTTTTTTTACTATAAAAACACCGTTTTTCGGAATGTTACATTTTTTTTTTTTTTGATGATGTATAATTACTATTAGGTTTTTTTTCGAAATTATATAGTTTTAATGTCAAGAATGTACCTTTTATTCAATCTCTCTTATTTCTTTTTTTTATGTATGTACACCAGTTTTTTTTTTTTTTTGCATCTTTTTGTTCATTTGGTTTTTTTTATGAATCACATGACCGTTCATAATGTATCTGATTATATAGTTTCCCCTTTTTTTTCAATAATGAATTATATTTGGAAGATTTAGGATTATTTTTATTTGACAATAAGTTTTACATTTATATCTAAAAGAAAATATATACGAAAAAAAGGGGGGTGGGGAGAAATTCTATACATTTTTGAAAAATAAATTTTTACACACTCCATAATTCTAAACATTTTTTTTTTGGATTTCAATTTGCTTTTCGTTAAAACCCTTTTTTTTGGGGGAAAAAAAGAGAGAATGTTAATTTATTGTTTCGCCGATATAAATATTTAAGAGAAAAAGACAAAAAAAAACTCTTAGAAATTAAATCTAATTTAAATATAAAGCTAATTTTTCTTTTATTATATAAAAATACAGAATTATAGATTATGAACAGTCAATAAATATATATATATATATATATTAATATATATATATATTATAAGTGACCCACTATAAATATATATATATATGGAAAATAATTCTAATTATTTATTTATAAATGTAATTATAGTAGAAATGGAAATATTAAATAGTGAAATGTAGTAGCATTAGTAGAAATATATACAAGTATTTTTTTTTTTTATTTATTTGCATAAAATCTTTATTTTGGTATTTGGATAATATTCTAAAAAGAGAAAGGAAAAAAAAACGTTTACTTGCTAATATTTACCTAAACTTAAAAAATACATTATACATTTGTACTTGTAGTACAGTTTTTTTATTCCATTTTTGCTTATTTTGTTTTTGTTTTCTTTTTTTTGATGGTTTGTAAGAAAAAATAAATAAAAAGTGGAATGTAGAATAAAAGGTTTATAATTATAGGTATGACTTTTTTTTCTAATAAATTATTATTACGTATTATTGTAAAATCGTTAAAGAGATGATAAATATTATTTCCTACGCGGAAAAAAATAATAGCTTTGGCAAATATTTAAAACTCGTTTTTCATTTTTTATGAGATTCGCATTATTTATAAATAGTAATTTTTTTTTTTTTTTTAAACTCGTATTCGTCACTTGTGCTTTAAGTTTTAGTTTTTTTTGGTAATTATTTTTATATTCTTTGTATTTTTGCAATAAACAGCTGTAATTAAAATAAGGTCAATTTTTTTTTATATGTATTTTTCATTTGAGAGGAATGGCGTAATTTTGAAAACAGAATTTTTCGATGCGTTTTCAAAAAAAAAGGATTGAAGAATCAATAAATTGTAGGTTATGTTTATGATCGTTTTCATGCAAAAAAAAATTCTAGGTTATGTTTATGATAATTTGGCGGGAAATTTTAAAAATACCACATAGAAAATTATATGGTATTAAAATAAGCTGCAACGCTTATTATTTTAATCAAATTTTGCTTATTTTAATATCAAAAATGTATTAAAATAAGCAAAATTGTATTAAAATAATAAGCGTTGCAGCTTATTTTAATACCGTATAATTTTCTGTGCAATTTTTAAAAATTAAAATTGAAAATAATTAAATAAATAAATATTTCAAAAATACGCCGAAAAAAATCCTCTAAATATTGACCCAACTGTGATAAATATTATTGACAATGTGAGAAATATTAATTACCTTATTTATCAGCCTGTGTATGTGTGTGTGTGTATTTATGTGTAAAGAAGAAATCATTTTTCGTTTAATAGGTCTTTTTTTCTTTTTTCATTCTTTTTTGAGCCTATATGACTTTTTTGGAAATGTCATATATATACATAATGTACCGTTTTTTTGTGGTTTTCTTTTCTTTTTTTTTTCTTTTTTTTTAATAAAATAAATCTAAGTATTCTTGTTGCCATTACTTCCAAATAAACTTGGATGAACAAATTTATCATGCAATGTTCTCAAGTGTCTCAATAAATTACTTTTGACATTAAATCCTTTTTTACAATAAGAACAGAGAAATGGCCTTTCACCAGTATGTGTTCGTTGATGAATAACCATTGATGCATGACTAGGAAATACTTTTTGACAAATATTACATAATTTTTGATGACTATGAATTCTTTTTGGTTTTGGTGGCGCTGAATTATTCATTAATGCCAATTGTTCTTCAGTGTGTTCAGTTTGAATATGTCGAACCCATTCTTGTGGCGTTGGATAAGTATTACCACAAAGATCACATTTTAATGGTGGAAATTCTTTACTATCGTCATCAATGTCGCCCTGATTAAAAAATTTTCGTAATTGTAAAAATTATAGATAAATTTCAATTATTAGTATTATTATTATTTTTTATTATTATTTACCTATTGGTATTATTATCATTATTATTATATTATTATTCTTACCTTTCGCTTCTTTCGTCGATTTTCCGTCATATCAGCATGAGTAAATTCTATATGTCGTACCCAATCAGAAGGACGATTAAATGTTTGACTGCACATATCGCACGTGAGTGGTGTATATTCTTCTTCCTCCTCTTCTTCTTCTTCCTCTTCCTCTTCTTCAATATCACCATCTTCATCGGCGCTATGTACGATTTCCTTTTTTTTTTTTGTAAAGATAGCAGAATTAGACAAATTATTATTGTTATTTAGATATTAAAAAAAATTTTTAACTTTATAAAAATTGATTATTTAAACAAATATGAGAAATTAAAACTAATATCGTAATTTTCTATTACGGCGCGTTTGTATCAGTTTCAATTACGGTGACAAAAATTACGTGTATTTTGAAAATACTTTGCCCACCGTAATTAGAGCCAATAGTAATCTTAAAAATGTTTCAATTACGACAAAGGAAAAAATTTGAACTCAAATAATTAAATTAATAATTCTTTAAATGTGCATTTTTATTAGTAATTGTATCAAAAAAAAGATTAAAATACTTTTTTTGAAATCATTTTGCAAGTTGTATTAAATATAATAGTTATTTTTTATGAACGCGCGGTAATTGATACACTTAATCTATATATGTTATTATTTAAGAAAAAAAAATTTAGAACATAAAAAAATTTTTTATTTACACACATTTTGAAACTTTTTTTTTTATTTCACTATTAAAATTTCTTTTTTAAATATTGCAATTTTTTTTTTTTTTACTATGGCTTATTTTCTGCTTAAACATATTAACTATACAATTTCACGGAAGAGAATTTCCAAAAAATGCCATGTTTCAAAGATATGATTATTTGTTTAACAAAAAAAAAAAAAAAAAAAAAAAATTGCGCTTTATTTTACGAAAATTGTATTTCTTTTGTTAAACAAATAATCATATTTTTAAAACAGTGCATATTTTTTGGAAATTCTCTTCGGTAAAGTTGTAGTTAGAAATATTAGAAATTTTTTTTTATAAATTTTTAAGAAATAATCAATTTTTGAGCTAAGCAAAAATAATCAGGATGCTTTGATATATTTATATATATATATCTTTAGGTATTACAAAAATACCTACAAACTAAAAGCTTTTATTTTATTTTTAGTGGAGTTTTGAGCATTTTCGACATGCATAGCTCAATTTTTGAGCCAAAAGGAAATAACCAGAGTGCTTTGATTATATATATATATATATATATATATATATATATATATATATATATATATATATATATATATATCTTCAAACTAAAAGCTTTTATTTTATTTTTTGTCAAAATTTGAGCTTTTCGATATATATAACTCGATTTTTGAGCCAAAAAGTAATAACCAGGATGCTTTGAATATATATCTTCAAACTAAGATCTTTTATTTTATTTTTAGTCGATTTTTGAGAATTTCGACTTAAATAGCTCAATTTTTGAGCGAAATGTAATAACCAGGGTGCTTTAAATATATATATTCAAACTAAGAGCTTTTATTTTATTTTTGTCGAGTTTTGAGCATTTCGATATATACAGCTCAATTTTTGAGCCAAGCAAAATAACCAGGATGCTTTGAATATATATATATCATTAGGTATTTTAAAAATATCTACAGACTGAAAGCATTTATTTTATTTTTTGTCGAATTTTGAGCTTTTCGATATATATAACTCGATTTTTGAGCCAAAAAGTAATAACCAGGATGCTTTGAATATATATCTTCAAACTAAGATCTTTTATTTTATTTTTAGTCGATTTTTGAGAATTTCGACGTAAATAGCTCAATTTTTGAGCGAAATGTAATAACCAGGGTGCTTTGAATATATATATTCAAACTAAGATCTTTTATTTTATTTTTAGTCGATTTTTGAGAATTTCGACGTAAATAGCTCAATTTTTGAGCGAAATGTAATAACCAGGGTGCTTTTAATATATATATTCAAACTAAGAGCTTTTATTTTATTTTTGTCGAGTTTTGAGCATTTCGATATGTACAGCTCAATTTTTGAGCCAAGCAAAATAACCAGGATGCTTTGAATATATATATATATATCATTAGGTATTTTAAAAATATCTACAGACTGAAAGCATTTATTTTATTTTTTGTCGAATTTTGAGCTTTTCGATATATATAACTCGATTTTTGAGCCAAAAAGTAATAACCAGGATGCTTTAAATATATATCTTTAAGTTTTATAATAATACCTACAGATTAAAAGCTTTTTTATTTTTTGTCGAATTTTGAGCTTTTCGATATATATAACTCGATTTTTGAGCCAAAAAGTAATAACCAGGATGCTTTAAATATATATCTTTAAGTATTATAATAATACCTACAGATTAAAAGCTTTTTTATTTTTTGTCGAATTTTGAGCTTTTCGATATATATAACTCGATTTTTGAGCCAAAAAGTAATAACCAGGATGCTTTGAATATATATCTTTAAACTAAGAGCTTTTATTTTATTTTTAGTCGATTTTTGAGCATTTCGACGTACATAGCTCAATTTTTGAGCCAAAAAGTAATAACCAGGGTGCTTTGAATATATATCTTCAAACTAAGAGCTTTTATTTTAATTTTTGTTGAATTTTGAGCATTTCAACATGTACAGCTCAATTTTTGAGCCAGAAAGAAATAACCAGAGTGCTTTGAATATATATCTTTAAGTATTATAAAAATACCTACAGACTAGAAGCTTTTATTTTTTTGTCGAATTTTGAGCGTTTCGACATATATAACTCGATTTTTGAGCCAAGCAAATTTAACCAGGGTGCTTTGAATATATATACTTTTAGGTATTATAAAAATACCTACAAACTAAAAGTTTTTATTTTTTGTCGAATTTTGAGCCAAAGAGTAATAACCAGGGTGCTTTGAATATATATCTTCAAACTAAGAGCTTTTATTTTTTTTTTGCCGATTTTTGAGAATTTTTGTGGCAACCGAAAAAAAGAATTGATTTTACCATAAATTTCTTACTTACTGGTTTGATATCAATTTCATGATCGATTGTAAGTGTATCTGATGGATCCATTGATTCTTCCCAATCAATTGGTTCATCTTTTACCAAAAGATCCAAATTCAATTGTGTCTGTAAGAAAAATAAATTTATTAAAAATATCGATTGACTAAGTTATTGATTATTATTTACTATGTTTTTTTTTACATACATTCTCACCGCTTTCACTTTTGGATTTTATTGATTCCCCATCATTGGTGGTTGTAGAACTTTTTCTTAATTGTTTCTTTGTATTAACTTCGACATTCTCTTTATTTTGTTTACTATTACTATTTTGTTCCAGTACACTTTTTGGATCTTCAATAAGTGGAATTTTTTCATCAACCTCATCTATTTTATCATCATCCTGTTGTTGATCGATTCTTTTGTCATTATTTTTTTTCTCAACGTTACTTTGAATTGTTTGATGACAATTTGATGATGAAATTGTGGAATTATTCGTTTGTAATGGAGGTGCAGTTTGTGTTGGAAGATCAGTTGCCGTTTTATCAGTTGGTTGAATTAATTTTATTTTTGGTACGCCGCCAGTTAACGATGTTGATGATTGATTATGATGATGATGATGATTATCTGACGATGTTCTTTTGTCGCGATCAATTTTTTGATTATTTGATGATTGAATGGTGTCCTTTTTATTAAGGCCACTACTACTGCTACTACTACTGCTGCTACTATTTGATCTCCATAATCCACGAACTCGAAGAATATCACCGGCTTTTAAAACACCTTCCAATTGATCATTTGTAACTGTTGCTTCACCGCTGTACATATATTGAATCAATATTTTCAATGTTCGATATCCAATTTCAGTTGGAAGTACCTAAAACGTTTTTTTTTTTTTTTTTTAATTATTTAACAAAAAAATATAGCTTTTCAACACTATTTGGGAAAATACAATTAAAATTTTATTTAAGTAGGACAAATTTCAAAAAAAAAAAATTCTTAGAGTTTTATTTTTATAATTTTTTCAAGTCTGATCTAAACAATTTATTCGAATTAAAAATTTTGTCATAGTTTTTAGTTTTAATGTTAAAAAAATTTTCAGGCAATACTCAATCAAGTTTTACAGATTTTTAAATAAAAATTTTTTAAAAAAAAAATTATAATTTTGAAAGAGTTAAAGTTGAAATTTTTAGAAATAATTGAATTTCAAAAGATTTTGTTAATTTTCAGACAAATAATAAAATTTTACCAGAACTAAAAATAATTTATCAAATAATTTTAGATAACTTTTTTTTAAAAGTAATTGAATTTTCAAAGATTTACAATTTTGATTTTTAAAAATAATTGAATCTCAAGTGATTTTTAATTTTTAATGATTTCACTAAAAAATTTATTAGAAATTGCAGACAAAAATATAATAATTTGAAAATTTTTTTTAAGTAAAAAAAGGTTTTAAATAAATTTTCGAAAAATATTATAAAAATTATTAAAAATAATTGAATTTCAGGAGAGGTATAATTGAAATTATTAAATTTCAAAAAAATTTAGTTGGAAAATTTAAAAAAAATATTAGAAACTATATTAAACTAAAATTTTTGAAAATAATTGAATTTTAGTTGAATTTTAATTCAAGTTTTGAGTATAATTGAATTTTTCAAAATAATTGAATTTTAGTTGAATTTCAATTGAAATTATTGAATTTAATTGAATTTTAGTTGATTTTAAATTGAAAATTATGAAAATAATTGAATATCAATTAAAATTTTAGAAAATAATTGAATTTTAGTTGATTTTGTAATGGTTCCAGATAGTTGAATTTTGGAAGAATATTATAAAAATAATTAAATAATAATTGAATTTTGAAATAAATTATTTTTAAAATTATTAAATTTCAAAAAGTTTTAGATGAAAAATTTTAGAAAATTTTTCAAAATTCAATTTCAAGTGATTTTAAATTGAAATTTTTTTTTAAATTTTATTTTCTAATTTTTTAAATTAAATTTTAAACAATTATTTGAATTTCAAAAAAATTTTAAATTTGAAAAATAATTTAAATTAATTGAATTTTTTTTGAAGAATTTAATTAATTAATCTGTTAAAATTCAACTATTTTCCAAAATTTCAATTGAAATTCAAAATTTTTAATTCAAAATCATTTAAAATTTACAAAGTTGAAGTACGCAACGTTTATGATAAACGATTTTTAAAGAAATAATTTTTAAAATGAAAAATTCTACAATTTTTTGCCACGAAATATTCTTTTATAATTTGTTAATCAATTAAAACTGCAATAAATATTTTTGAGGAAAAAAAATTATAGAATTATTTAATTTTAAAAAATTACTTCTTTAAAAATTGTTTATCATAAACGTTGCGTACTTGAACTTCATTAAAATTTAATAATTATTAATATATTAATAATTCCAAAATTTCAATTCAAAATCAGTTCAAATTCAATTATTTTCTAAAATTAAAATTGAAATTCAAAATTTTCAATTTAAAATCAACTAAAATTCAATTATTATCAAAATTTTCAATAAAAAATCAACTACAATTCATTTATTTTTCAAAATTTCAATTGAAATTCAATTATTCTTAAAAATTTTAATTCGAAGTCAACTCTAATTCATTTATTTTACAAAATTTTCGAATCAAAATGAACTGAAATTCAATTATTTTCTAAAATTTAAATTGAAATTCATAATCAACTAAAATTCAATAATTTTCCATAATTTCAATTGAAATTCAAAATTTGTAATTTAAAATCAACTAAAATTCAATTATTTTCTAAAATTTAAATTGAAATTCAAAATCAACTAAAATTCAATAATTTTCCACAATTTCAATTGAAATTCAAAATGTTTAATTGAAAATCAACTAAAATTCAATTACTTTCCAAAATTTGAATTGAAATTTAACTAAAATTTAATTATTTTCAAAAATTTCAATTCAAAATCAACTAAAATTCAATTATTTTTCAAAATTTCAATTAAAATTCAATTATTCTTAAAAATTTTAATTCAAAATCAACTAAAATTCATTTATTTTCAAATTTTTCAATTTTAAATCAACTAAAATTCAATTATTTTCTAAAGTTTAAATTGAAATTCAAAATCAACAAAAATTCAATAATTTTCCATAATTTCAATTGAAATTAAAAATTTTTAATTGAAAATCAACTAAAATTCAATTATTTTCCTAATTTTCAATTCAAAATCAACTAAAATTTAATTATTTCAAATTTTCAATTCAAAATCAACTAAAATTCAATTATTTTTCAAAATTTCAATTGAAATTCAATTATTCTTAAAAATTTTAATTCAAAATCAACTAAAATTCATTTATTTTCAAATTTTACAATTCTAAATCAACAAAAAGTCAATTATTTTCTAAAATTTAAATTGAAATTCAAAATTTTTAATTCAAAATCAACTAAAATTCAATAATTTTCCAAATTACCAACTAAAATTTTCACTTCAAAATTAATTAAAATTTACGAAGTTGAAGTACGCAACGTTTATGATAAACGATTTTTAAAGAAATAATTTTGTTAAAATGAAAAATTCTATAATTTTTTACCTGAAAAATATTTTTTTTTTTTAAATTTGTTGATAAAAAAAACATCTACAAGAAATATTTTTTTAGGCAAAAAATTATATTGAAATTTTTTAATTAAAAAAAAATTATTTCTTTAAAAATCGTTTATCATAAACGTTACTTACTTCAGCTTCGTAAATTTCTCTTTCAATTTAAAAAAAAAACAATAATTAAATATTAAAATAATTTTTTTTTTTCACATACCACAATGTATGGTGCATTTGTATTTGCTCCAAAGTGACATGTTTGAAAAATATGACTCAAATAGGAAGAGCAAGCAGCAAGAACAAATCGGTGAGCGGCGACATGTCTTCCACAAGAAGTTGCCAACAATACATCGGCAAACGATTCAGAATGCAATAATGTTGCAACAGAACTATGTAAATGTGCACTATAACTATGCCACTTCAATTGATAATTTTCTGATGCTGCGATAGACATTTTTTCTGTATATAACAATAGAAAATATTTGTTAATCGCAAAAAAAAAACTAAAATATTTTTTAATTAATTAAAAACAAAAAAATATTCTATACAATTTTTTAACAATACAAAAAAAATGTATACAAAAATACGCAGATAATATATATCTATATATGTTGCCCAATTTAAGGCAACCCTCATCTCCCTTTCTTTATATTACACACACACACACAGAGACACATACATACATATACACATACATGAACTACACAATATATTACTATAATTTAAATATTAATTTTTCTAACATTGTAAATAAAAAAAAAAAAAACTATTTTTCTAATTACCTGTCGTCATTGTGCAACAAAATCAGTTCTGTCGATGATGATGATGATGATGATGATAATGGCAAAAAGGATGGAGGAGCCAGTGTTTATCAATTTCTCAACAAAATAAAATTCAATGTTATGATTATTAATTTAATTCAAAAACTAGAGAATAATGAAAATTATTTTCAAAATTAATAAAAAGAATCAATTTTTCGATTTTGTAAAAAAAATAAAGGGAAATTTTATAATTTCTTTTTTTTTTTTTTATGTCGCGCGCGCGTCTTTCGTGATACTGTTTTGAAGGCGGCTAGACACGGGGAAACTATATGAGAATCGAACGAACAGACATGTAGGGACCTAAAAATCGATATTTCGGTCTTTGCTCCATTCTCTCTCTCCAACTGTTGTTGTATTAGTGTATATGTACGTGTGTGCATGTGGTTTAGTACCCCGCATTGGTTTGCGGGGTTTTTGCTTTTCAATGTGTTGGAAGGGTGCTCTCTGTTCATCATCGATTTTCCCGGCTACCAATCGCATCCATCCATTTATCGCATCGATCGTATAGCGCGAGCTGATTTCAGCGTTTGCGTTTGTCTGCGTCGTCGTTCAATTCGCCACCAGGTCTCTCTCTATCTCTCTCTATCTCTCTCTCTTATATACACTTATTTTTTTTTTACACAATAAAATATAATTCGCATTTTTAAAAAAAAATTCATTTATATTTGTTAAAAAAAAAAAAAAAATTGCACAATATTTATTTACTTTTAATAATTTCTTTATTCCTTACACTTTTTGTATTAAAAAAAAAATATATATATAAACTACAATAAAACTAAATTTAAATATATAGTAAATAAATACAAAAAAAAGTGTGTATTTTATTTAAATATTTTCTATATATTTTTGAAATTAATTTTTACATTTACTAATATCAGTTTATACATGATTTTATTAATATAAAATTATAGTAATCATAAATTTCTTTGAACCATAAACATGTATTGTAAACACGTGCTTTATTTAAGTGCAAAAATAATTTTGCAAAAATCTATTTTATTATATAATATATAAATTAAAATATTTTTTATAAAAATTATTTTTTTTTTTATTTTTTTTTATTTAGATTAATTATTTTTTAGAAAAATGATAATCAAAATTCTAAAATATTTTTGAAAATTTTATAGAAAAAAAAAATAATTTTTTTTTTTCAAAATAAAATATAGAAACAATATCTGAAAGTTATATTTGGAAAGTTTTTGAAATAAGATCACGTGACAAACAGGGTTAGGCATGTAGTGATGTAAATTAATACGTTTTTTAAGTTTCTTTACATTTCCGTATGTTACGTTCTAAATGCAGATTTAAGGGTGTGTTTACAATGAGCTACGTTTGTGTGATTCACAATTATCCAATGTGAAACGTCTGAAATGTGTCATTAGGTAAGCAACATTTCGGATGTTACACTTACAAATTAATAAATAAAGGTGCTTATATACCTCAAATTTCGATCAGATGAACATTATTTCTGGACCGTGAAAATGCGTGAAAAGTCATTTTCACGGCGGGTATTTTTGAATTGTTTTATACAAAAAATGTTTTTTTAAGAAATATAATATTAAATAATTGTTTTAATATGTAAGAACACTTTAAAATAGTGATAGAGAGATGATTTGATTAAAAAATTTAGCAAATTTTGCTTTAAAACGTTTCAGCTACAAGAAAGTGTAAAATGACGATGTTTGTGAAATGGTTTGTACAGTGTACATGTGTACATGTTTCTTTCAGTTATTCGAAACAATTAGTTGAATTTAAATTTATTTGATAAACATTTCAACTTACCGATTTATTTTCAGCACTCATTATTTATTACAAGTTAAAAAGAACCGACATAACATAAACAAAACTCTGAGAGACACTAACAAGGAAAAAGCACTGTACAAACCATTTCACAAACATCGTCATTTTACACTTTCTTGTAGCAGAAACGTTTTAAAGCAAAATTTGCTAAATTTTTCAATCAAATCATCTTTTTATCACTATTTTAAAGTGTTCTTACATATTAAAACAATTATTTAATATTATATTTCTTAAAAAAAACATTTTTTGTTTAAAACAATTCAAAAATACCCGCCGTGAAAATGACTTTTCACGCATTTTCACGGTCCAGAAATAATGTTCATCTGATCGAAATTTGAGGTATATAAGCACCTTAATCGATGATCCCCACTCGTCATTTGTCATAATTCTCGCCAACTACCGCACTCTGCTCGCAGGTCTAAAAAATTAAAGGTACGGTCACACGACTTTTGGAAAAACCGTTCTTGTCTTTCTCTCTCCTAAGACAGAGGCATATGATTGTCTCACTCTGCATTCTCTGACATTTCCCAAAGACGGAAAATGCCGAGTGAGACAAACTTATGCGTCTGTAATAGAAGAGAGAAAGACAAGAATGATTTTTCCAAAAGTCGTGTGACCGTACCCTAAGGCCTAAGAAGAATAGAGACGTAACTGGAATCGTAATAATGAGTCAAAGTAGGACAAACAATATGTCTATCCTTCTCTCACTCATTCTTCCGGTTGCGTTTCTATTCTGCTCAGTCCTTTAGTGACTTTAAAGATTAGAAGTTACTATTGAGTAACTAAATTTCCACTAGAGCGGTAGTTGACAATAATTATGACACAAATGGCGAGTGTGGACAATGGAAACCAACCGTAATTTACTTTCCAAATGTTGATTTAAGGCGCCGTCACATGACAGCGTAAAACGCTGGAGTTAAAACGGAAAGCATGAGAACGAAAGAGATAGTGAAATATGTTTATCTCTTTCTTTCTCATGCTTTCCGCTTTTACGTCGACGTTTCACGCTGTCATGGGACGGTGCCTTTAAGGCTGTGTTTATAATAAGCTACGTTTGTGTTCAGGCGCTTGTATACCTCAAAAATTCTGAGTATACTCGGAATTTGAAAAAAATTTCACAAATTTTGATTGACTCTGCATATAAAGAATTTGGAAATATTCCAATCAAAATTAGTAAAATGTCTGACAAATACCGAGTATACTCAAAATTTGTGAGTTATACAAGCACCTTTAAGGTGATTTCACTCTAAAAGTGCTTTTATACCTCCAGTATTTTGGTCAAGAAATTGGCTTGATTGAATTTTCACAGACTGAATTTGATTGGCTCTGACAAATATTCTATTTACACCATGAAAATTGATTATTGTTAGAGCCAATCAAATTCAATCCAGCCAATTGCTTGACCAAAATACTGGAGGTATAAAAGCACCTTTATCCACTGTGGAACGTCTAAAATGCGTCATCATGTACGCAACATTTCAGACGTTCCACTTAAAAATTAATAATTGTTTCACATTATCATACACATTACTATACAACCTTGGCTAGATTTCTTTCTCTATCCTTGTTCAATACACACGTTTCCCAGGTAACATATGTATAAAACAAGAACAGAAACAAATAATCATAATCTGTGACCCATGACTATATATACATGCACTAGTGTATATATACAAAAACTAAAAGTAACAAGAATACTTGTGGCATGAGATTGCACAAGATGATTGAACATTGTTTTTACTAAAAAGTAAATTTTTATTTTATTTAATGTAGTGATAATTTTCTTGTTATTTCCTAGGCTATAAAAAAATGATTGTGTATTAACAAAATTTAGTGACTAGTTAATAATTTTACATATATATATATATACATCATACGTACAAAAATTTGACCTATATTTTTCATAATATAAAAATTAATTTTTATCCTCTCTTTCTCACTCTCTCTCGCTTTGTTAATTCTTTTTTTTCGGTATAAATATATAAATATAATGACTGTGATAAGAAGCCTATATTGGAATTTAATAGTTTCGGCGATAATTGTAAGCAGTATACGAAAGGAACAAAGAACAACGTAAAAAAGGTAAGAAAATGTCAATTTTTTTTTTTTAACTAAAATTCATAGATTAAAATTTTTTTGAAAAAAAGAAAATAATCGTGACCTTTATAGAATACGTCTACATTGTGGATATTATAAAGAGCATATAAACTGAAAGTAAATAGATATATATATATATATATTATACTGATGACAATAATTGATTATTGTTTAAGAATGTCGAAGAATAATTATCATTATAGATGCAGTGATGATTATTTTATTTTGGAACTAATTGACAGAACAATTAAAATAAGTTGACTATAATAGAAGATTGAAAAATTTATCGTAAAAAAAAATTTTTTAAATTAAAAAAACAAATATTGGGTATGCAATAGAAATTTCTATTTTGTAATTGATTTTTTTTTTATTTATTGAAATATAATACACTTTCAATAACAATGTAAAATTAAAGGAAATTCCATTAGTTTGATTAAAAAAGAAAAAATCAATAAATAAACAAAAAGATAAAAATTGCTTTATTTATTAAACTTTTGTTTATTATGTAAAATTATTATTATTATTATTATTTTTTATCATTATTATACAAAATGATTCGTTATATAAATATAATATAGAAAATATATTTATTAATATATATTATTATTATTATTATTATTATTATTATTATTTTCTTTTAGTACTAATTGAAACTCCATGAATTTTTTCGAAATTTTTTTAGCAAGCCATTTTCGATTTATGAAATTTTGAAAATTTGGAAAATTTTCATGACATTTAATTTTTGAATTCTCATAATTTCCTTAAAAATGCATCAATTTTAAAAGTCTTTTTTTTTCAAAATGTGTGTTTTTAAACGTACTTTTCCAAAAAAAAAAAAATCGAATTTTTTTTTTTTAACGATATTACTATCAAATTTTTGAGTTTTAATGATAAAAAGTCAATTTTTCTCATTTGACGTAGTGATCGATTTTTTTCAAAATTTTTTCAAAAAAAAAAAAAAACTACTTCTTTTTACGAAACTTTTAAACCTAGCCCGATAATGGGCAAACAATTTTTACAATATTTTTGGAATTTTTCAAAAATTTTTGAATTTTGAATTTTTTAAAAAATATTTTTGGTTTTTTTTTTTTATATTACGTACTTTTATGTATTTTGACGCGCTGATTACGAAAATTATAGTGACAATACCGAAAAATTTGATTTTTATTGTGAAAACCATTTAAAAAAAGTCCCAAAATTTATGGTTTTTTTTCGTTTATTGGGTAAAATATGCAAAATTAAAGAAAATGCATAAACAAATGTATTTTAATAAGATCTTTAACTTTTGTATGAAAGTTTTTTTTTTTAATTTTACATATTTTACCCAATAAACGAAAAAAAAAACCATAAATTTTGGGACTTTTTTATGGTTTTCACCATAAAAATCAAATTTTTGAGGATTGTCACTATGATTTTCGTAATCAGCGCATCAAAATAAATAAAAATACGTATTTAAAAAAAAAAACAAAAATATTTTTAAAAAATTCAAAATTCAAAAATTTTTTGAAAAATTACGAAAATATTGTAAAAATCGTTTGCCCATTATCGGGCTAGGCTTAAAAGTTTCGTAAAAAGATGTAGTTTTTTTGAAAAAAGTTTGAAAAAAAATGACTTTTTATCATTAAAACTCAAAAATTTGATAGTAATATCGTTTAAAAAAAAAATTCGATTTTTCGTTTGAAAAGGACGTTTAAAAACACACATTTTGAAAAAAAAACTTTTAAAATTGATGCGTTTTTAAGGAAGTTATGAGAATTCAAAAATTAAAAGTCATGAAAATTCTCCAAATTTTCAAAATTCCATAACTCGAAAACGTCTTGCTAAAAAAATTTCGAAAAAATTCATGGAAGCTAGTCTCAATTAGTACTAAAAGAAAAAAAAAATTGGAGATGCAATTACAGATGGACTTCCATTTTGGCGTGGAATACATCATATATTTATTCTACTCAGGGTGATTTTTATGTTTCGGACCCCATAAAAAACATTTTTTAATTCTCATTTTTTTTTTTTATTTTTAAACAAAAAGAATGGAAATAAAGAAAAAAAATTTTTAGAGGGTTCAAAACACAAAAATCATCCTGTATATAAATTTAAATTGAATTATAATATATTTAAAAAAGAAATCTATTTATATTATTTTTTAATATATTTTTATTATTGTTAAAATTAAGATTGGAAAATTATTAATAAAAAATTACTAATAAATATTTTTATATTTTTTAGAATGATGAAAACTTGACCTACAATTTCGCAATTAAAACAAAATTCCCCATTTTTAATTTGATAATTATTGTTAAACAAAAAAAAAACGCACAAAAATGCCTCATGTTACTAGAAAATGGGAATTATTTCCTGGAAAAAATAGATTTTGCTGTGATGGAAGATTAATGATGGCACCACAAACTGGAGTATTTTATGTAACTGTTTGTTTAATCGCCGGAACAAGTGGATTATTTTTTGCTTTTGAGTAAGTTTTTATTTTTAATTATATCTTGGGGAAAAAAATTAAAATTAATAAATAATAAATAAAATAATAACCTTTGATTTGTTTTTTTTTTTGCAGTTGTCCTTATCTTGCGTCTAATATAACGCCTGCAATTCCAGTAATTGGTGGTTTTCTTTTTATTTTCGTTATGTCCGCATTATTTCGTACAAGTTTCAGTGATCCTGGCGTTATACCACGTGCAACGTCTGATGAAGCTGCCTATATAGAGCAACAAATTGGTGAATATAAATCCAATTTTAGAAGATATATACTTGAAGAAATATATATTCAAAGCACCCTGGTTATTACTATTAGGCTCAAAAATCGAGTTATATATTTCGAAACGCTCGAAATTCGACAAAAAATAAAATAAAAGCTTTTAGTTTGTAGGTATTATTATAATACTTAAAGATATATATTTAAAGCACCCTGGTTATTTTTGCTTGGCTCAAAAATTGAGCTGTGCATGTCGAAATGCTCAAAATTCAACAAAAAATAAAATAAAAGCTTTTATTTTGAAAATATATATATATATATTCAGAGCACCCTGGTTATTACTCTTTGGCTCAAAATTCGACAAAAAATAAAAACTTTTAGTTTGTAGGTATTTTTATAATACCTAAAAGTATATATATTCAAAGCACCCTGGTTAAATTTGCTTGGCTCAAAAATCAAGTTATATATGTCGAAACGCTCAAAATTCGACAAAAAAATAAAAGCTTCTAGTCTGTAGGTATTTTTATAATACTTAAAGATATATATTCAAAGCACTCTGGTTATTTCTTTTTGGCTCAAAAATTGAGCTGTACATGTTGAAATGCTTAAAATTCGACAAAAATTGAGGTATGTACGTCGAAATGCTCAAAAGTCGACTAAAAATAAAATAAAAGCTCTTAGTTTGAAGATATATATTCAAAGCACCCTGGTTATTACTTTTTGGCTCAAAAATCGAGTTATAATATGTCGAAACGCTCAAAATTCGACAAAAAAATAAAAGCTTTTAGTCTGTAGATATTTTTATAATACTTAAAGATATATATTCAAAGCACTCTGGTTATTTCTTTTTTGGCTCAAAAATTGAGCTGTGCATGTCGAAATGCTCAAAACTCGACAAAAATTAAAATAAAAGCTCTTAGTTTGAAGAGATATATACTCAAAGCACCCTGGTTATTATTTTTTGGCTCAAAAATCGAGTTATATATATCGAAAAGCTCAAAATTCGACAAAAAATAAAAAAGCTTTTAATCTGTAGGTATTATTATAATACTTAAAGATATATATTTAAAGCACCCTGGTTATTTTTGCTTGGCTCAAAAATTAATTATATTTTGATAATTTGTAATTGGTTAATTTTAAAAATTTGCACTAAAATTTTTCTATCAATTAATTGTCGGTCATTTTTAATTTCAAAGAAATGGAAATTCAGTGTAAAAAATTCGTATAAATATAAAATTGGGACAAATTTTAAATTCGGTAAATTGAAATTTCTGTCATTTAAAAATTTCATTAACATAAAATTTTGATTAAATGAGAAATTTGTTAAATTAAAATTCTATTAAATTGAAATTCTTCTAAATAAAAAGGTCATGTAAAGAAAATAGTGGTAAAATAAAAATTCGGTAGCTAAAAATTTTTTTTATGTAAAAATTTGTATAAAAAGAAATTCTCTGTGAAATGCTAATTCGAAAATTGAAAATTCGTCTATAAAATAATTATTTCTTATAAAATGCTCTTTTTTGTTTTTAATTTTCAAAAATATTTTTTTACTAAATTTTTTAAATTTAGCTACCCATTTTTAGTTCATTTGGACTACGGGAATTGTTTTTGTAAATAAATAAATATTCTTTTTTCCTTTACAGAAGTGCCAAATAATGGTAATTCACCAACCTACAGGCCTCCACCTCGAACAAAAGAGATTATGGTTCGAGGACATCCTGTTAAATTAAAATATTGTTTCACATGTAAAATATTTCGTCCGCCTAGAGCGTCACATTGTAGTTTATGTGACAATTGTGTAGGTAAGTAAAAAAAAACTGATAACTTTAATGCAAAAAAAAAGAAATCTAATATTTCTTAAAATTATTTATTTACAGAACGCTTCGATCATCATTGTCCCTGGGTAGGAAATTGTGTGGGAAAAAGAAACTATAGATATTTTTATGCCTTTATAGTGTCTTTAGCATTTTTATGTGTTTTCATTTTTGCCTGTGCAATAACACATCTTATAATGTGTAAGTATTTTTTTTCGATTATTTAAATTATATTTGTATTATTATTGTTAATTGATATACAAGTTGTAAATAATAAAGGGAAGATCAGTAGAATTATTGTTGTTTTTTTTTCTATTCAGTAACGAGGGAAGGACTACAATTCCTAGATGCTGTGAAATCATCACCAGGTAGTGTTGTCGTTGGTGTTGTTTGCTTTTTCTCCGTTTGGAGTATTCTTGGATTAGCTGGATTTCATACTTACCTCACAACAAGCAATCAAACAACTAATGAAGATGTATGTTTATTTATAATATTTTATATAATACAAATATAAAATAATATTGATGCATTCTGAAAAAAGGAACCTAAGAAGCAAAAAGTTACCTATCATTTTTTTTTTTTGTTTCTTAGTTCCCCTTTCTTCAGATCGCATATAATTTTTTCCTCTATATATATAATAGAAATTTTTCTTTTTATTCTAATTTTTAACAGATAAAAGGATCTTTCACTAGTAAACGGGGACAAGAAAGTTTTAATCCCTACAGTCAAGGGAATATTTGTGGAAATTGTTTTTATATATTATGTGGACCTGCTCCGCCAAGTCTCATTGGTAAGTTTTTGAATTAAAAATTTTTTTTAGGGGTAAATAAAGATTTTATACCATTTTATAATTAATAACTGTTATAACAGGTTTAAATTTTTTGTTTTAGATCGTAGAGGTATTGTTACATCAGAATATCGAACACAACGTGAATGGATCGATGGAGAAAATATCAATCCAGGAAAAACGTATGGTTCAGTAAAAGTTCAGCCACAGGTGAATAATAAATAAAAAATAAGAAATAAAAATAAAATACTAAAATAAATTCTTAATAATGTAATTTTTTTTTTTTTGCAATCAGCAACAACAGAAAATTAATGGCATCGGTAATATATCAATAAACAACGATGTTGGAGAATTTACCGGTTCAATGAACAATCTCTATCCTGGACAACATTCACCACAACGAATTGAATCAATAAACGGTGAGTTACCACTATTAAGAAATCCATGTGCCAAAGATTATATAAATTTTCCATCTCACTATATAAATGTAAACAATGATCATCATCATCATCATCATCAACAACAACAACAACAACAGCAGCAGCAGTTGCATTATTGTACAAAATCTTATTCTTCTAATTCGTTTATTAATAATGCAACAGCAAATAATGTTATAATGCAAAAAATTAAAGACATTGAACGTACAGAGAAAATATTAGCAAATTTACAAAAATTTCATCCACATAGATTGTACATCGAAAATGATGGTTTTGAAAATAATTTAAAATTCAATCAAGAGTATAGTATAGATTTTCGTAATTATCCATGACATAAATATTCTGATGATGGTATTTTGCCAATTGTCCCATCGCCACCTCAACGCCGCCTCCATCATCATCATCATCATCAACATCATCATCAACATGATTGTCATTATTGTCATCAAAATTCATGTTAAATAGTTATCGATTACGTCTTTGAAATTTCCACAAAGATTTGATCTTCAAATTCTTTACATAATAATGATTTTCGATGTTTTCGTGTTGATTATCCCTTTAAGGATGGAATGTATAAAATTTTTTTACATAAAATTTAAGGACAATTTCCGCTAAATTTAGTCCTTAAAGGGTTATTTTATGAAATTGAATTAAAAAATGAAAATCTTTCATGTACTCTTGATAAAAATTCACATTTTCGAAATAAAAGTATTAAAGGAAATGTTATAAGAACATAATAGTATGTTTTAAAATTAGTACAAATTTAAAAAAAAAAAAAAAAAAAAAAATAGGTAGTAGTTTACATTAGAATTGTTATATTCTAATAATAATTAGAAAAAGAAACTTTTATTAAAAATAAAAACCATTATAAACATAATCTAGAATCTTTGAATAAACAGAGTTGCCACAAGTCAGGGAAATTTTACAGAATTTAAACAAATGTGCCCAACGATTAAAAAAATTGAATTCTTTTTGTATTTATTATTTTTATCTTGAAAAAATTGAAATCACTTTGTATTTTTAAAATCCTTTAATTATTTAAATTTTAGAAAATAATATTTATAGTTTAAAATTCTATAAAAAATCTCATTTTAAGATAAAAAAATATCTAAAACTTTTTTTTTTAAATTATCACGATTTTTTAAATAAAATTTACATTTGATAAAAAAGAATAAAATTCTCAAATATCAAGGAAAATTGTTGTGGCAACCCTGATAAGGATAAAATTATCATAAACATAACCTATAATTTATTGATTCTTAGGTCTTAATACTTTTAATATTCCGTTAATATTATAATTTATAAAAGTGATGAGCGTAAAGAACGTAAGAGAGACGTAAATTATAGGTTATGTTTATGATCATTTTAGCTATATATTGATTAAAAGTTCATTTTTAGTTTTATGAAAAATCAAAATCAGTCTTTATTTTCTTTGTAAAGAAAACACTTGATTATATTTGTGTATTTTTTCCCCTCTAAACTATCATAAACATAACCTATAATTTTTTTTTAAAACGATCATAAACATAACCTACAATTTATAAATTAATCTTAATTTTCCATTAATATAAAGTTATTAAAGGTATTGGCTCTGAAGAAATGAACCTTAAAGGCAAAAAATTATAGATTATGTTTATGATAGTTTTGAGTCTTCATTATAAAAATAAAGTCTGATTTTGATTTTAAATAATTAAAAAAAAAACTTTTAAACAAGATATAAAACGATTAAAAATATAATCTACAAATTTTTTCGCTCAGGTTTCTTTTTTTAGATTTCATCATTTTTAGAACTTAATATTAACGGAAAATTAAGAGAATTAAGACCTAAGAATCAATAAATTATAGGTTATGTTTATGATCATTTCAACTTCAGTATCATAAACGAACATAAATATAACCTATTTTTTTTTGCTATCTTAGCGTCCGTTTCGTTTTTTACCTGAAATCAATCAAACATTTCTGAAAAAAATTAAAACCGTTACTAAAAATTTTTTAATAAGTCACAGATTTCTAAGTTACTAAAAAAAAATAAAGTAACTTGAAGGTTAATTTAATACAATGAATAATTGAAAGTTACAAAATTAAAAAAAAAAAAAAAATGTCACTCGTGAAATAATGGGTAAAAAATATGTTAAATTATAACCAATTTTGCATTTGATTTTACAGGTGTCGAAGTATTAAAATTAATTAATAATAATAGAATTATAATAAATTATTAATTATCAACAATACAAAATATAAACTTGTAGGTTCAAGTGCAAATTTCGTTTTACATACTATGTATTAAAAACATTTTTAACATCGCTCTTGGTACCCCTTAAGTAATTGTTATTTGTTAAAAAATATTTACTATTCTATAGAAAAATTTCGAAATAATTTGTAAAAATTTTTTTTTAAGGGGGTTCAACTTTTTTAACATAACCTCAAACTAAAAATTGGTTTTACCACCCAAAAAAAAACTATAATTAAAGTTAATTTTACTATAGGGATTTGAAAAGATCTAATTGTTCAATTAAAAAAATAACAATGATAATTTTCATCTTTTATTTATATAAAAAAAAAATTAATTTTTTTTTTATATAAATAAAAGATGAAAATTATCATTGTTATTTTTTTAATTGAACAATTAGATCTTTTCAAATCCCTATAGTAAAATTAACTTTAATTATAGTTTTTTTTTGGGTGGTAAAACCAATTTTTAGTTTGAGGTTATGTCAAGGAGTTTAATCGCCTTAAAAGAAGCTTCATTTTTTGAAGCAAAAAAAAAAAAAAAATGCTGCACTGCGCAATGAAACGAATATGATTTTTCGTAAAAAATCAATTAGCACGCATTTTTTAATGTAGGATTCTTTCTTAATGTAATTCGTTTCTTTTTTTTTAATTATACGCATCCTCTTCAAAAATTGAGGGATGAGTGCGTATCTGATTGCTGGTAGGTAAGTTTCTCTTTTCTGGATTTTTTTTTATTTTCTTATTATTTTGTATATATATATATTTAAATATCTCTATGTGTAATATTAGTTAATATTAATTAATTAATTAAAATTTCATTTGGATGTAATTAGAAAACTTTTTAAATCTACATCCTTTTGAAATTTTTCATTATAGTCAATTTTATCAAAATTTCAATTTGATAAAAACTTTTTCTATTTATAGAAATCGAATAATTGCACTTGAACTTCCCCCCCCCCCTCTTTTTTTACTCCGAATCTTGAATTTAATGCTTTTAATATACGATATGAGTATTTAAAAAAAATACTCTTGCGTTAAGAATTCTATAAGGAGGTTTAGACATAACCTCAAAATTAAAATTGTTTTTTTTTTTAAATAAAAACCCTAGATATAACCTCAAAGTAAAAAATTGTTTTTAATAACAAAATAAAAACCCTAGTTTTATTTATTAATAACTTTTTAGTTTGAGGTTATGTTCATAGGTGTTGAAACACCTTAAGAAACTATATTTTTTTATTTGTAAATAAATATTTAAGGCTACTTCCACAATAGCTAAAAAAGACGCATCCATTGCCAACTTTTGATAAAAAAAAAAAATTTATTTCCTTATTAAAATTAAAAAGAAAATTCGAGGTTATGAAATTTTTATTTTCTTTAACAAAACTTTATTTACAATTTCAATGATATTAACAAATTGAAATTGTAGAAATAGTGAAATATTGTAAAATAAATTTGTTCTCGACAGGTGGCAATGGATGCGCGCGCATTGTTTCGTCCTTAAAAAAAAATCGTCTGCTAAACGTTGCGATTTAACTATTGTAGAAGCAACTTTAGGAAATAAAAATATAACTAAAAAATTAAAAAAATATATTCTAATTTTTCAGGTAGCACAACAAATAGTGTGAGTCATCTTGTGAGCCATGAGGCTCCATTGGCCTCACTTAATATTGCGCCAATAGATATTGATGAAATTGCGCCACTACCACATTCTCGGCCAACTGTATTTTCATCAATAAATGTTACCTCATCCTCAATTGGATTAGACGATGTAACAAGTATTCCTCATGTAACTACAAATAATACAACTGCCACAACGCCATTGTCAGCTTCAAAGCTCAGATTATTACAAGACACAACAATGATTGAATCGGCATTAGATTTAGATTCATTAGAAGATGTGGCCAGTCAGGCGGGTTTGATCAAATTAAGTGGAACTGTATAAATTATTATTATTATTTCCCATTTTTGCTTTTTAGTGCTCAATTTGCAAATTACGCTCTTAAAGAAGGGGGTCAAAGAAAAATTTGAAGGTTATGTTTATGATCGTTTTTACAAGTAAAATAATAATTTTTATTTTCTACATAATAAAAACAAATCTTCCCATTTTTTATATTTTTACTCAAAATTATCATGAACATAACCTATAAATTGTAAATCGAAACTATCATGAAAATAACCTATAAATTGTAAATCGAAACTATCATGAACATAATCTACAATTTCTAAATCAAAAACAATCACAAACATAACCTATAATTTTTTCCTTTCTTTAGAGAGGTTCTTTAGGTTTTAATTCTCTTATTATTTCCGTTAACAGTAGGTGATAAAAGTAACTAAAAGAGTCAAAAAATTATAGATTATGTTTATGATCGTTTTAAAAAAAAATTTGTAGGTTATGTTTATGATAGTTTGGAGGGGAAAAATACACAAATAGAATCAAGTGTCTTCATTGCATAGAAAATAAAAAATTAATTTTGATTTTACTTACAACAGGAACTTTCAATCAATAGTTAAAAACGATCATAAACATAACCTGTAAATTTTTGCGTCTTATGTATCTTTCTTCGTAGTATGAACAGTTCTACCGATTTTCACCCTTACGGCAAATACGACTTACTAGGTTTTTACTTTGGGCAGCAGAAATAGACAATGCGCTCCGAAGAAAGATATATAAGACGCAAAAATTTACAGGTTATGTTTATGATAGTTTTTACCTATTGATTGAAAATTCCTGTTTAGTTATAAGTAAAATCAAAATTAGTTTTTATTTTCTATGCAATGAAGACACTTGATTCTATTTGTGTATTTTTCCCCTCCAAACTATCATAAACATAACCTACAAATTTTTTTTTAAAACTATCATAAACATAACCTATAATTTTTTGACTCTTTTAGTTAATTTTATAACCTACTATTAATGGAAAAATAAGAGAATTATAACCTAAGATTCAATAAATTTGGAATTTTTTAAAACGATCATAAACATAACCTGCAATTTATTAATAAATTTTAATTTTCCGTTAATGTTAAGTTTAAAAAAAAAATGATTGGCTCTGAAGAAAGGAACATTAGAAGCAAACAAAAATTATAGGTTATGTTTATGATAGTTTAGAGATTATAAAACTATAACAAACATAACCTATAATTTTTCCACCACATAATTCAAGGTTATGTTTATGATAATTAAGTATAAAACTATTATAAATATAACCTATAATTTTTCGGAAGATAGGTTATGTTTATGATTGTTTAGAGAGTATAAAACTATCATAAACATAACCTTGAATTTTTCCAACCACTTTTTTTAAGAGCGCGTCGTTTTAATTTAAATGCTGCTATGTTTGCATATTAATGCAATCTTTTTTTTCTCTTTTTTTCTATATCAAAAAATAAATCGTTTGGGTTGTACATTTAAATTAAATGTAAACAGTATTAGCGCAACTCGACATCTTGCAATTTATCTTCTATTATTAAAAAAAAAAAAAATAAATAAGTTAAGTATTATCAATGTTAACAATAGCAGCAGCAATTGTACATTAGTTTAATTATAAAAAAAAAGAAAGAAAGAAAATTAGTATAATGGTAGAATTAACAGTGATACTAAACTCTGCTCTAATACTTATAATCAGTAAAGAAAAAAAAATACCAAGAGAATTGTATCCCTATATATGTATATAAAACTTTTTGAAATATGCATTTTTTTCTAGAAAGGAAAATAAAATTTTTGTATAAAAAAAAAAAAAAAAAAATAGGATCATATTTGTTTAAAGGCTGAAAAAATATGAAATAATTATTTTCCTAATAAAATTTCAATCATTTTTAACAATATTAGAATAGTTTTTTTGATTATTTATTTTTTAATATGTTAATTTTAAAATTCTATTTTTAATATAAAATAAAGGAATATAAAGAAGATAAAGAAAATAAAAAAAAAAAATAAAAAAATATAGAGAAAAAATATTAAATAATTTATGAATGTATTATGTACATATACATATATATATAGTAAGCAAAATATCCTATTTTTGTCATTCGCCGAATTTTTTTTTTCAATTTTTGAAAATTCTTGTCGCAATATTCATTTACATCAAAATTAATAAATTGTTTTTTCCATTCGGTAATAATAATTTTAAAATAATTTTTTTTTAGAATATTGTATAATATTTATATTTGGAAAAAATTATTTTAAAATTAATGGAATTGTATAGAATATTATAAAAAAAAAAAATATTGTAAATGAAAAGACTCTGAAAAGTAATATCACTGCCTGTAAAATATTTATTTGATCATTTTTTATTTCAAATATTCGCAATTATTATTAATTTAAAAAATATGGGCGATAAAATATTGTTTTAATGTTTAAAAGTTGAAAAAAAACAATTATTGTACACATATATATATATATATATATATATATATATATATATATATATATATATATATATATATATATATATATATATATATATATATATATATATATATATATATATATATATATATATATATATATATATATATGTATGTACACGTTTTAGGAACTCTTATAATTATGTATATATTCTATAAATATTACAATGTTATAAATAATATAAAAAAAAACTTTTATCGACTGCATGTAAAAAAACTCTATTCGTAATTTCCTATATATATATATATATATATATATATATATATATATATATATATATATATATATATATATATATATATAATTATATAAATATATAAATATTGTTATAAATTATTAAATTAACATATTATTCGAATAATAATAATTATTTTTATTTGCAATTGTTTATGTAATTGAAATTTAAAAAATTAACTATAATAGGAAATTTCGAGTTTGTAAAATAATGTATAATGGATAGAAAAAGAAAATTGCCTATAAATGCTGTGAAATTATAGAAATTTCTTTATTTCTCTTTTTTTAAAATAAAATTTTTTTGCAGTATGTATCTTAAGAATTTTTACATTAAAAAAAAAACAATGTTTACAATTAATCAAACATTTGTATAGAAATTTTTCTTTTTTTTTTTCTTAAATGTATGAATTTTACAAAATATATTCTTTTTTTTTATATAAATACCAAAAAAAAAAAAATTCTACTTTAAAATTATTTGCAAAAAAAAAATCACCCATAAACTTCTCAAAGATAAAAAAATGTTTATTTTTAAAATTAAAAAAAAATCAAATTGTTAAAAATTGAAAAGCTTGATAAAAAAAAAACATGAACAACTTTCTAAATTTGATTAAATATGATTGCAACAATAAGAATAATTAATGCAAAACTTAAACCTGTTATGAAAATGAAAATATTCCTTTTTCCAGTAATGTGTTTTTGATTATTGATTATATCACTTGTTTTTGTGTCTTGATAATGACAATAAAATTCCGAATGATCTGTAATTAAAGAGATTTTTTTTTTTGAGAAAATAAAAAAAAATGAAATTTAATTATTGAAATTAAATAAATTGTTAGTATTTAAAAAATAAATCTTACCAAATTGTAATTCCAAGTCTTTTTGTATAAAATCATCTGGAACTTTGATGTCTAAAAGTTCAAGAAGAGATGATAATACTTCTTCTGTACCTTCACCGGGAAATAAATAATCCGATAAAGTCACGTTACGAGGAAGTTTAATAAATACTCGTCTTGGTGGTTCGTGAACTATTATTGTCTCTAAAATTTGATATTTAATATTTTAAAAAAATAATAATAATTAAAAATACTAATAATCGAAAAACTAGTAACAAATGTACTATTAATAAAAAAACTGAAAATAAAAAATAATAATAGAAAATACTAACAATAAAAAACAATTTTTTAAAACTACTGGTGATAATAAATTATTATTAATTTAAAAAAAAACTTAATTATTTCATGAATAAATTCTACGACAAATGAATTATAAAAATTTTCAGTTTAAAATCTATTAAAATTTACTAATTAACAAAAAATTTAACTGACAAACTTTGAAAATTTAATTAATTAAAAAAATTTTAACAAAAATTCTTCAAAATTCTAATTTGCAAAAATTTTTAATTAAAATTCTCTAAAACTTAATTATTGTGTAACTAATTAAATAAAAAAAAATAATCAATTTAAATATACAAAAAATTTCAATTCAAAATCTGGATTAATTCTAAAAATTTCGACATTACCTCTTTTGAAATTTAATTATTTTTTAAATTTCTGTTTAAAATTCTTTGCCAAATAAATTATTTTTTAAATTTCTGTTTAAAATTCTTTGCCAAATAAATTATTTCTAATAATTTTAACGAATTTCTTCTAAAATAAAATTATTTAAAATATTCTTCAATTATTTAATTAAAAAATTTGTTATTATTCAATTATTGTCTGTGATTTGTATAAAAAAAACCTTCAGCAAATAAATTTTATAAAAATTTCAATTAAAATCTATTGAAATTAAATTATATTTAAAAAATTTTTAAATATTCTTCTAAAACTCAATTATTTTTAAAATTAATAATTTTCAATAATATATTAATATCAATTATATAATTAATTTTTTTATTTTACAGTCATTTACTTTACATAACTTTTTATTTGAATGAATTTTAATTTAACAGAATTATCAATCAATCGAATATTATGTGATTCGAATTTTTAAATGACCAAATAATTAACAAAAAAATTTCAATGCGAATTTCGAAATTAACCATTATAAATTTTCAAGAAATAATCAATTTTTGAGCCAAGCAAAAATAACCAGGATGCTTTGAATACATATATATAATATATCTATAGATTTTATAAAAATACCTACAGACTAAAAGCTTTTATTTTATTTGTATCGATTTTTTAACCAAAGAGTAATATAACCAGGGTGCTCTGAATATAAGTCTTCAAAATAAGAGCTTTTATTTTATTTTTTATCGAGTTTTGAGCATTTCGACATGCACAGCTCAATTTTTGAGCCAAGCAAAAATAACCAGGATGCTTTAAATATATATCTTTAAGTATTATAATACCTACAGACTAAAAACTTTTATTTTCTTTCTCGAATTTTGAGCGTTTCGACATATATATCTCGATTTTTGAGCCAAGCAAATTAACCAGGGTGCTTTGAATATATATACTTTTAGGTATTATAAAAATACCTACAGACTAAAAGCTTTTATTTTTTTGTCGAATTTTGAGCGTTTCGACATATATAACTCGATTTTTGAGCCAAGCAAATATAACCAGGGTGCTTTGAATATATATCTTCAAACTAAGAGCTTTTATTTTAATTTTTGTAGAATTTTGAGCATTTCTACATACATAACTCGATTTTTGAGCCTAATAGTAATAACCAGGGTGCTTTGAATATATATCTTTAAACTAAGAGCTTTTATTTTATTTTTTTGTCAATTTTTTAGTATCTTGACATGCATAGCTCACTTTTTGAGCCAAAAAGAAATAACCAGGATGCTTTGAATATATATATAAATATCTTCAAGTATTATAAAAATACTTTCAAACTAAAAATTATTCTGTCTAATTTGAGCATTAAAAAATAGTAAATAATAAAAATAATTAATAACAAAAAAATACTAATAAAAACAATACTTTCTCTACGGAGGAAGCAATACTGAAAATAAAATTTACTAAATTACAAATAAAAATACTGAAAATTAAAAATACTAATAATAAACAAACTGAAAATACGAAAACTGAAAATAAAAAAATATTAATAATAGAAAATATTAATAATAAAAAATACTCATAAAAAGTACGAATAAACAAAAAATTAATAATAATTAATAAAAATTAATTAATATTAATAATTCATTTATTTTTCTTCACCTTCAGGACTACCGTCTTCTTCTTCAATTAAACTGTCCAAATGCATTTCTAATCTACTAGCCAAAGATCTCAGTATATCTTGTTTAACTGCATTGTTTGCTTCTTCTATTGTTGCTTTTTGATGAACAAATGTTCGACTAACAAGTTGACCAACTAATCGCATTGATGCACCACATTCAATTGAATTTGCTTGCTTTTCAAGAGTTCTTTCCTATTAATGAAAACAAACATTATTTTTTTTATTTATTTTTTTTTTTTGTATTTATATTATATTTATTATTATTTTACTATATTTATTTTTTATATTTATTTATTATATTATTTTATGAGGAAGATGATAAAATCAAATGTTTAATCTTACACAAGGAAAATAAAGTGAAACTTGTAATATTTCAAATGATGCTTCACTATTATTTTCCTTATTATCACAGCATCCTTTTTTCTTTTCTTCTGTCAATTGTTCCACAATTGTTTCAATTGTAGTGTCAGAAGAAGGTATTTTTCCTTCAATTAATATCACTGATGAATTTATCATGTTTGATGTCTCATTAAGAATATCCTTTAAAGAAAAAAATAAATGACAAAAAAAAGAGGAAATTTTGCTTTTTCCCATTATTATAATAAATACAATATTAACAATAATATAAAATATATATATATGCACCTGGAATTGTTTCTTTAAAGAAACTGGTGTTTTAAATCTTGCAATGGGAAATAAACGATTAAAATCAATACGTGTTTCTAAATAATGCCATTTTGTATTTGTTTGAAATTTCCAATCCACTGGTTTTACAATACCAACATTATTTTTTGTATCCACTGATTTGCAAATGTATCTATTTTTTTTTTAATATTAAAATTGAAAATTACAATTATTTAAATTTAGAATTTTTTTTTAATTATATATTGTTTTTTTAGTCTTAATTGTTAAAATTTTATTTTGTTATAAATAAATAAATATATTATATATTTATAATTCTATATAAAATAATAAATTTTAAATTCAATATTTAAATTTGTCTTTAAAAAACTAATTGTAAACTTAAATTTCAAAACTTTTAAAATTACTTTTTTGTAACGCTATTATAATGTAGTATAAGATTTTCTTGATTGTGATTTCCATAAAGATATTGGTTAGAAATCAAATTTTTATCAACTGATGTGAGAATAAATTTCAATTTTTCAACAGAAACACTAGAATTAAATATATCTTCTGGACCAACTGTAAAAATTCCTAAAATCCACATTCCACCCGATAACATTCTAGTTACCTGCAAAAAAAAAAAAAAAAAAAAAAGAAAACAGAAAAAAAAAATGTTGTAATTATAAGTATTAAAAAATTTTTTGATTTTTCAATATTATATAGAACAGTTTTTATTTATGAACAAGAAAAAAATTTCAAATCAATGGAAATACTAATTTATTAATATTTTATGGCAAATTTTTAAATTGGAAAATAGTTTAAAATTATTGAATTTTCAAAGATTTACAAATTTTGATTTTTGAAATTAATTGAAGTTGAAGTGATTTTTAATTTCAAATTTTCGATGATTTGACTAAACATTTTATTAGAAATTGCAGAGAAAAATACAATAATTTGAAAACTTTTTAAGTGAAAAATGGTTTCAGATAGTTAAATTTTCAAAGAATATTATAAAAAAACATTAAAAATAATTGAATTTCAGGAGAGTTTTAATTGAAATTATTAAAATTCAAAAAAATTTAGATGAAAAATTAAAAAAAAATTATTAAAAGCTATATTAAATTGAAATTTTAGAAAATAATTGAATTTTATTTGATTTTGAATTGAAATTTTTGAAAATAATTGAATTTTAGTTGATTATGAATTAAAATCTTTAAAAATAATTAAATTTTAGTTGATTTTGAATTTAAAATTTTGAAAAATAATTGAATCACAATGTAAATTTTGAAAAGTAATTGAATTTTAGTTGATTTGGAATTGAAAATTTTCAAAATAATTGAATTTTAGTTGATTTGGAATTGAAAATTTTCAAAATAATTGAATTTTGGTTGATTTAGAAATAAAATTTTTGAAAATAATTGAATTTTACTTGATTTAGAATTGAAAAATTTGAAAATAAATGAATTTCAATTGATTTTGAACTGAAAATTTTAAGAATAATTCAATTTCAATTGAAATTTTGAAAAATAATTGAATTTTTCTTGATTTTGAATTAAAAATTTTGAAAAAATTGATTTTCAATTAAAATTTTGGATAATAATTCAATTTTAATTGATTTTGAATTGAAATTTTGGAAAATAATTGAATCACAATGTAAATTTTGAAAAATAATTGAATTTTAGTTGATTTAGAATTAAACATTTTCAAAATAATTGAATTTTAGTTGATTTGGAATTGAAAATTTTCAAAATAATTGAATTTTAGTTGATTTAGAAATAAAATTTTCGAAAATAATTGAATTTTTCTTGATTTTGAATTTCAATTGAAATTTTAGAAAATTATTAAATTTTAGTTGATTTTGAATTTAAAATTTTGAATTTCAATTTAAATTTGTGTAAATAATTGAATTTTAACTGATTTTGAATTGAAATTTTGGAAAATAATTGTAATTTAGTTGATTTTGAATTCAAAATTATGAAAATAATTGAATTAAAATTTTTGAATTTAATTGAATTGTAGTTGATTTTAAATAAAATTTTAAAAAATAATTGTATTTTAGTTAAATTTCAATTCAAATTTTTAAAAATAATTGAATGTTACTTGATTTTTAATTGAAAATTTTCAAAATAATTGAATTTTTGTTGATTTTGAAATGAAATTTTTGAAAATAATTGAATTTTAGTTAAATTTTGTATATAATTGAATTTCAATTGAAATTTTTGAAAATAATTGAATTTTAGTTGAATTTCAATTGAAATTTTGTAAAATAATTGAATTAGAGTTGATTTAAATTGAAAATTTTGAATATAATTAAATTGAAATTGAATGTTTCTGAATTTATTTGAATTTCTGTTGATTTTGAATTGAAATTTTGGAAAATAATTAAATTGTAATTGATTGTTGATTTTGAATTGAAATTTTGGAAAATAATTTAATTGTAATTGATTTGGAATTGTATTTTTCGATAATAATTGAATTTCAAAAGATTCTAATTTTCCCGTAAATATTTGAGGTTAAAAAATTGTTTAAATTTTTTTTTTTTAATTCAATTGAATCGCAATTTTTTTTTTTTTGTAAATGATTTTTTTTTGTTACTTATTAATTTTTAGTAAAGAAACAAATGTTTTTTTTTTGAAATTTTTTTTCTTCCTCATTTATTAAATTTCGTGGGGGAAAAAAAAAGGAAAGGAATATTTTTAAACTCACATGTCTTGCATGATCAACCACCCAATTTCCAGGAATATCTTTAATAGACTTTATACAAGTATTATCGACAGATTCTTGAGAAATATTATTTAAAGCGGAACTAATTACAGACTCTTCAATAACATCTTTTTTTGATGGTGGTGAAGTTCTTGCTAAATGAATCACAAAATCTTTTTGTGCACAACTCTATTATGGGGGGAAAAAGAAAAAAATTAAAAAAAATTGTATTATTTCGAAAAAAATTATTTGAATTAATAAATAAAGATTTAAATAATTAGATTGCTTGAAAAATTGTAGAAAAAAAGAGAAAAAAAAATATAAACAGCTGCTGGAATATAAAAGAATTTTTTTTTTTTTTTATTATAATTGAAGAAATAAATTGTAAAAAACCTGTCCCAAAATTAATCCTATGGTATATCCTTGGCGATTTGCAAGAGTATTTAAATAATCAAGAAGATTATCATTAGCAAATGTAGTTCTTGGCATTTTTTTTTTGTATTTTAATTTTTAAAAAAATATGAAACTTTTAAAAAAAACATCTGTCACTGACGAGAGAGTGTCAACAATAAACGTATTTCGAATATTGTTGGAGTTAAATTTTGTTACCTTATTGATAGCAAAAAAAGTTGCCACTATTTGCCATGGCGCCACTAGTCTTATGAAGGTACTATTAAAACCTATCCATTCCTGATGTTGATGAACGCACCTTAAGACCATTGTGATAAATATTTTTTCACAACAACTCATCCCTGATAATCATATTTCGATTCCGCGACGAGCCACACACAAAATAGAAAAAAAAAATCTGATCAAATCGTGTTCAGTGTCTTAACACGGTAGACATTGTCGTTGAGTGTATGTTATCTCGTCGAGTGTTTCACAATACTCCCCGTGAACATAACTCTTAAATTTGGACTTCTAGCCAAATTAGAGGCTAGAAATAAAATTAAAATTAGTGTTATCATTTTTTTTTCCTATCATATCTGAATGCAAACATGAAACATTGCATTTAAAAATTATTTTATTTTTTTTTTTACATATTCCGCGCGCGCCTCTCTCTAATGTTCTTTTCAGTCAACATTTGCTAATAACCATATTGGATTTTATATTATAGTGCCTTGTCGTCCTATCTCATCAAACACACACGGGTAACTTTTTTCCTTATATATGATCATATCTAATTGTTTATTCGCGGAAGTTTCAAACAATATTGATCCTGAATAAATAAGAATGTTTGCAAAGTTGTCGTATGAATTCAATTATTAACATTTTTACCGGCTCATGTGACTTTCCTGCTGCATTGAAAACTTAACCTCAATTTTTATTGCCGGGTTCACGCGGATAATATCTATCTATATATATATAATATAAAAAAAGTGCGCTATTTATTGATTGTGTTTCGTGAAATAAAATTTATTTTAACGAATTTCTGGCAGTGAATTACATTGGATTTTACTTGTTGCTGATTTAGTAATAGGTATGTTGATTTTTTTTTATGAATTTTGCTTTTTTTTTTGTTCCTAAATGACCACGAGAAATTTCTATTTTTACTTTTTTTGCTATTTGTAAATGTGTGTAAAATTTCCAAAAAAGGAGATTTTTTTTTTATTAGAATTTTTGCTTGTGTATACTTATATTTTTACGAAAATTTGCTGATAGACAGAAACTTTAGCTCCAGCAAAGAATAGGCCTCGAATTATACTTTTTTTTTTTTTTTTTTTTTTTAAATACGACTTTCTTGGACTTATTTTAATAAAATGCGACTTTTTCGACTTTTTTTACATTTTTTAAAAAAAATTTTAAACAAAATACGTTTTTTTTAATATAAAACAAAGATCTTCTTCAGATATTCTTTATTTCAATTATTTGACAAATTTTTAAATAAATTTATTCACTAAATTAATTATTATTAATAATTTTAATGAAATTCTTCAAAAAATTCAATCACCTTAAACTAATTTTCAATTAAAACTTTTTATGAAATTTAATTATTGTTTATAATTTTTAAATAAATGAGCAAATAAAATTATCAAAAAATTTTAATTCAAAATCAAGTAAAATTAAATTATTTTTCAATATTTCAATTGAAATTCAATTATTCATAAAATTTTCAATTCAAAATCAACGGAAATTCATTTATTTTCAAAATTTTCAATTCTAAATCAACAAAGATTTAATTATTTTCCAAAATTTCAATTCAAAATCAGTTAAAATTCAATTATTTTCCAAAATTTCAATTGAAATTCAAAATTTTTAATTCAAAATCAACTAAAATTTAATTATTTTCCAAATTATCAACTAAAATTCAATTTTTTTAAAAACTTTCAATTCAAAATCAACTAAAATTGAATTATTTTCCAAAATTGCAAATTCAAAATAAATAAAAATTGATTTATTATCCCAAATTTTATTTAAAAATAAATTTTTAATTCAAAATTTTTAATTCAAAATCAAGTAAAATTAAATTATTTTTCAATATTTCAATTGAAATTCAATTATTCTTAAAATTTTCAATTTAAAATCAACTAAAGTTAAATTATTTTCTACAATTTCAATTGAAATTCAAAATTTTTAATTGAAAATCAACTAAAATTCAATTATTTTCTAAAATTTAAATTGAAATTCAAAAATTTTAATTCAAAATCAACTAAAATTCAATAATTTTCTAAAATTTAAATTGAAATTCAAAATTTTTAATTGAAAATCTATAAAAATTCAATTATTTTCAAAAATTTCAATTCTTAATCAACTAAAATTGAATTATTTTCCAAAATTTCAATTCAAAATCAGTTAAAATTCAATTATTTTCCAAAATTTCGATCGAAATTCAATTATTCTTGAAATTTTCATTATTTAAAATCAACTTAAAATCATTTATTTTCAAATTTTTCAATTCTAAATCAACTAAAATTCAATTATTTTCCTTAATATCATTTCAAATTCAAAATTTTTAATTCGAAATCAACTAAAATACAATTATCTTCCAAATTATCAACTAAAATTCAATTATTTTGAAAATTTTCAATTCAAAATCAGTTAAAATTTACGAAGTTGAAGTACGCCACGTTTATGATAAACGATTTTTAAAGAAATAATTTTTAAAATGAAAAATTCTATAATTTTTTGCCAAAAAATATTCTTTTATAATTTGTTAATCAATTAAAACTGCAATAAATGTTTTTAAGGCAAAAAATTATAGAATTATTCAATTTTAAAAAATTACTTATTTAAAAATCGTTTATCATAAACGTTGCGTATTTCAGCTTCATTAAAATTTAATAATTATTAAAATGTTCAATTGAAAATCAACTAAAATTCAATTATTTTCCAAAATTCAATTCAAAATCAGTTAAAATTAAATTATTTTCAAAAATTTTCAATTTAAAATCAACTAAAGTTAAATTATTTTCCATAATTTTCATTGAAATTCATTTTGATTCAAAATTTTTAATTGAAAATCAACTAAAATTCAATTATTTTCCAAAATTCAATTCAAAATCAGTTAAAATTAAATTATTTTCAAAAATTTTCAATTTAAAATCAACTAAAGTTAAATTATTTTCCATAATTTTCATTGAAATTCATTTTGATTCAAAATTTTTAATTGAAAATCAACAAAAATTCAATTATTTTCGAAAATTTCAATTCAAAATCAGTTAATATTCAATTATTTTCTAAAATTTAAATTGAAATTGAAAATTTTAAATTCAAAATCAACTAAAATTCAATAATTTTCTAAAATTTCAATTGAAATGCAAAATTTTTAATTGAAAATCAACTAAAATTTAATTATTTTCCAAATTATGAATTCAAAATCAACTAAAATTCAATTGTTTTCCAAATTTTCAATTTAAAAGATTATAAGATTTTATTATTTCTAAAATTTTCCATTTAAAATTTTTTGAAATTTAATAATTTCAACTGAAATTTTATTATTTTTAATGATTTTTATAATATTCTTCGAAAATTCAAGTTTGTGAACCTTTTTTTTTCTCTTTAAAAGTTTTCAAATTGTTGTATTTTTGTCTACAATTTTTAATAAATTTTTTAATGAAATTATCAAAATTTTTAATCAATTGAGGTTTAATTAATTTCAAATATCTAAATTGTAAATATTTAAAAATTTCAATTAAATTTAAATAATATTATCTAAAATTATTTGATAAATTATTTTCAATTCTGTTAAATTGAATTATTGTCTGAAAATTAACAAAAATTTTTTGAAATTCAATTATTTTTAAAAATTTCAACTTTAACTCTTACAAAATTATTATTATTTAAAAAAATTTTTTATTTAAAAATCTGTAAAATTTGTTTAAATATTGCCTGGAATTTTTTTCGACCATCAAAACTAAAAACTATGACAAAATTTTTAATTCGAAAAAATTGCTTGAAAAAAATATAAATTATAGAAAAAAAGTATTTAATTAACAAAAATATTTGCAATTTGCTAAAGTTTTAAAAAGCATAATTTAAGTTCCAAAGCGGCATAATATTCTGTTTTAAAATATTTTATTTCTAAAAATTTTTTTTTTTATTTTTGCAAATAGTTTTAGCTAAAAAGGTTACATTATATATTTTGTTAAATTTTTTATTCTTCAGGAAAGGAAAATGGACTATAGAGAAGTAACTCTACCAAATTATTCGTATGTATTCAATTTTGAGGAAAAATTTATTCATCAGGACACAAGAATATGGATGAGAAAAAATTGGACAAATGGTTTTTACTTTTGTGCAATATACATGATATTAATATTTGGCGGTCAACATTTTATGGCAAGCCGACCTAAATATAATCTAAGGGGTGTCCTGAGTTTATGGAATACTCTATTAGCATCCTTTTCAATTATTGGATTCACTAGAACTGCTCCTGAATTGATTCACACATTGAGAAATTATGGCCTTTACCATAGTGTCTGCATACCAAGGTAAATTGGAGAAAAAAAAATTATATATAAAATAATAAAATTTATTCACTAATTTATTTAATTCTATTACCTAAAATTTATTTATTATTAAATTGGAACGCATGAATAAGTTTAAAAAATCATTGTTAGAATTTTTATTTGAATTTCATTAGTAATAATTTTCATTGAGTTAAATTTTATTTGTTCGAAGTTGTTTGCAGAATTTTCATTTAAACCGATTTTCTCTATTCAATTATTTTAAACAATATTCAATTAAAGTTTTCGTAAAAATTCTACGAAAAATTATGATTTTATTTCAAATTTCTAATTTTGCAGAAAAAAAAAATTGTACAGAATTTGAATTTTATAGACTATTCATTTGTTCGAATTTTCATTTTACACAATTTCCATTTATTGATTATCATGTAGAATTTTTATTTAGACAAAAATTAATTAGCTAAAAATTCAATTTGATTGAATTTCAATTTGTGGGAAAACGTTGTTTCCGTTGAATATTAATTTTTCAGGAATTGTAATTCAAAAGAATATTAATTATTATGCAAAAAGAATATGAATTTACAGAATTAAAACAGAATATTCAAAATATTTCTGTCAAATTGATTTTCGATTATTTGCATTTTCTGTAACTTTAATATTCTAACAAATTAATAATCTCTCTAATCTTCTTTCTGGATAATTAATATTCTTTTGAATTAAAATTCCTGAAAAGTTTTAGCTACCGAATTTTTGTTTGGCAGATTTTTTATTTTAGAGTTGTTTAATTTACATATGACTTTTCATTTAAAAAAATTATTTTTAAAACATTCTTAATTGAATATTGTTTGCAATAATTGAATTTTTGAAAAACTTGATTAGAATCATTGAATTTCATGATGTATATTTAGTTAAGAAAAATTTTTTTTAAGACTATTTTTTTCCCTCAACATGTATTAATTTTTTTCTAATTATTTTGCAGCTTGAAAAACTGACAAAAATATTTAAAGCTTGATATGTCTGGTGGTATTTTGTTAAAATACTAAAAGATATATATATATATATATATGTTCAAAGCACCCTGGTTAATTCTTTATTGGCTCAAAAATTGAGCCATAATTGTCGAAATGCACAAATTAGACAAAACAAAATTTGAAGTTTAAAGGTATTATTATAATAGATGAAGATATATATTCAAAGCACCCTGGTTACTTTTGCTTCGCTCAAAAATTGAGTTATGCATTTCAAAATGCTGAAAAATTGACAAAACTTGAAATAAAAGCTCTTAGTTTGAAGATATATATTCAAAGCATCCTGGTTATTAATTTTTAGCTCAAAAATCCAGTTATATATGTCGAAACGCTCAAAATTCGACAAAAAATAAGATAAAAGCTTTTATTTTAAAGAGATATATATTCAGAGCACCCTGGTTATTACTCTTTGGCTCAATATTCGACAAAAAATAAAATAAAAGCTTCTATTTTAAAGAGATATATATTCAGAGCACCCTGGTTATTACTTTTTGTCTCAAAATTCGACAAAAAATAAAAGCTTTTAGTTTGTAGGTATTTTTATAATACCTAAAAGTATATATATATATATATATATATATATATATATATATATATATATATATATATATATATTCAAAGCACCCTGGTTATATTTGCTTGGCTCAAAAATCGAGTTATATATGTCGAAACGCTCAAAATTCGACAGAAAAATAAAAGCTTTTAGTCTGTAGGTATTTTTATAATACTTAAAGATATATATTCAAAGCACTCTGGTTATTTCTTGTTGGCTCAAAAATTGAGCTATGCATTTCAAAACGCTCAAAAATTGACAAAAAATAAAATAAAAGCACTTAGTTTAAAGTTATATATATTCAAAGCCCCCTGGTTATTTCGTTTTAGCTAAAAAATCAAATCATTTAATGTCGAAACGCTTAAAATTCTACAAAAAAATAAAATAATAGCCTTTTAGTTTGTAGGTATTTTTATAATACCTAAATATATATATATATATATATAAATAATTTATTCATGCTTCCCATTAAATTCTATTAAATTTAATATTAAAAGTTTCCTTTCTCTCTTTTTTTTTTTTTTTTTATAAATTTTCAGTTTCATCGAGCAAGATCGTGTCTCTGGATTCTGGACATGGATGTTTGTACTATCAAAATTACCAGAACTCGGTGACACAGTGTTTATAGTTCTTCGTAAGCAACCATTAATTTTCCTCCATTGGTATCATCATATCACCGTTTTACTTTATTCATGGTTCTCATATACCGAATACACGGCATCGGCACGATGGTTTGTTGTAATGAATTATTTTGTTCATTCAATAATGTACACGTACTATGCATTAAGAGCAATGCGTTATTCACCTCCAAAATTCATTTCAATGGTAATTACGGCCTTACAATTAAGTCAAATGGTAGTTGGTTGCGCAATTAACGTTTGGGCCTATCAATATCTCGAAAGTAGCCAAACCGAGTGCCACATAACGAGTCTCAATATTAAATACAGTTTAACAATGTATTTCAGTTATTTTGTATTGTTCGCGAGGTTCTTCCATAAAGCTTATTTGGGTGGCTCGCGAACTAAATCCGAGAGGAAACTCTATACAAATGGTGCTCCTCATATCGCTGCCGATTTTAGTAATAGCAAGCTCAAAGCTAATTAAATTTAAAAAGAAAATGAATTTAAAAAAAAAAAAGTAAAGAAAAAAAAAACATAAAATTGAAAAACAAAAAAGCCAATATTTGCTAATAGCATTTAACGATTTAATAATTACGAGTTCAAATACCAAGAGCCTTAAACCAAAGCCAATAATTAAAAAAAAAATAATAATAATAATAAAAATGCTACTTTTCTTTCTTCCTCTCTTGGTTGGAATTGACTCAATTTGATAGACAAACACTAACACAATATTTAAATTATTCACTCAGAGAAAAAATTGCCAATTTTTATGTAATCGGGCAATTTTCTTGTTTTGAATCGGAATTTTATTTTGCTTCTTTTTCGTTTCGAATATTTTTCGTTTTTTTTTTGTCACCTTTCAGGTGTTATAATTTTGAATTAATTAAGTTAAGTGCTCTAGTTATTGGCAGTTTTTTTTTTTTAATTTGAGAATTTTATTATAATTTATTATTTGTATGAAAATAATTATTTAAAATTGAAAAAACAATAATGTTTAAAAAAATATTTTTTCTAATTTTTAACTGACGATAATTAATTCTGGGGCATTTATCTTAATTTAAATTTTTTATATCGAAAAAAAAAAATTTTCTAAAAATGTTAAATATTAAATTTTTTTAAAATAAAATTCTTATTTTTTTGCAAGTTTCAATTTTAGTGTTAAAAAAAAAATTAATATAAAAATGAATTTTTGTAAAAGAGAATTTTTTTTTTTTTTTTTTTTTTTTTTGAGTTAAGATAAGGAATGACTGGAATAACGGCGAGTAAGATCGAAAATTAAGTAGTATATGGGATGAGGTGAGACCTTGACAGTGGGAGTGGTCTTGAGATTCAAAAACATCCGTTACCTCACATTCAAGCTGAAAAATTCTGACGTAAGAAAAATCGTGTGACAAGAATCGCGTGACATTTTCTATACATATATATATATATATATTTATTTATTTTTTAGGGAAAAATTCAAGCACTGTTTAAAAAAAAAATCAAGAAAATTTTTAAAAATATAATTCTCTTGAAAAAATAGTTTTTTTCTGCATATTTTCTACAATTTTTTTTTCGTCGAATTATACGTAATTTTCTCGTATTTTTAATTATTAATTATTAATTAATATAATTACAATTTATATTCACTTTTTTTCTACTGTTATTTACAATAATTATTACATAATTCTTCGAGGATTATAATTAATAATTCTTTTTAGAGTTAATTGAAAAATGCGAGAGAAAAAAAAATTATTTTCGGCCACATTTGTCTGAATAGTAAAATAAAAAAAAAATTTGTTTTTTGAAGGAAAAAGTAAATTGTTAAAAAATATTTTTATATACATTTTTTTAATTCCATACGTTCGATTTTATAATTATAAATTTGTTGAATTAAAATTTTTCAATATATTGATATGAAAAATGGAAAAATTATATGTACATTGATTTTTTTTCCTATTAATTTATTGAAGAATTTTTTTTTTTTTTTTTTTGAATACAATATAATAAAAGCAGCTAATCTAGTTTTGTCTTATCTAAAATTACCAACAATTCCAGTAGTAAAAAAAAATATTATGCAAAGTTTGTATTTGATAACATTAATTCTCTTTAAGAAAAAAAAAATGATTTAAGTCATATTTTTCCTTTTTTTTTTTTGCCAATTCAAATTTGTAAATTATTTTTGACATATTAAAAATTGGATTTAGAAAAAAAATGTTAGAAAAAATAATACGAAAATTAAAATTGACAAAACAATTGTAAAAAAATTATTATAATTAAAAGAAAATTGTTAAAAAAAATGTAAAATTTTTTTTTTATTTTTAATAAAATACCGAAAAATAGTTTTTTTTAAACCGTAATTAAAAATCAAAATCGAAGAAATCTGAGTTTAAATTTTATATATATATATATATATATATACACATACAGAAACTAGAAAGTAAGAAAGAGAGAGAAATGTTTTCCCTTTATCTCTTGGACACGATTTTCCATTCATATATTGGAGAGACCTTTTAATGGTATTCATGGTTTTCGAAGCTGACTTTCTTTATTAATGTTGCGCCTATTTTTTGAACAAGTGTGATACTTAGGGACGCATGAATAAGTTTTAAAAATCAATTGTTAGAATTTTCATTTAATTTAAAATCAATTGTTAGAATTTTCATTTAATTAAATTTCATTGGATATAATTTTCATTGATCCGAATTTTATTTTTTACTTTCAATAATTTTAAACAATATAACAAATAAAAATTTTTAAAAAAACAATTTTTTGTTGTTGAAATTTTTAAATAATTTTGGATAAAATACATTTTAAAAAAATTTTAATCAAAAAAAATTTTCAAAATCCATTATTTTTAAAAATCTTAACTGTAACTATTACAAAATTCAATTATTTCTTAAATTGTTTTCTAATATTCGTAGCTAAATTAATTATTTTTAATGATTTTAATCAAGTTTTTGAAAAATTCAATTATTTTAAACAATATGCAATTAAAAATTTTCTAAAATTCAATTACTTTTTAAAAATTCGTAAACAAAATAAATTTACAAAAATTTTAATAAAAAAAAAGCTTCAAATTACAATTTTTTTTTAAATTTTGACTGTAATATTCCAAAGTACAATTATTTTTAAAATTCTTAGGTAAATTAATTATTTTCAATGATTTTAATCAAGTTTTTCAAAAATTCAATTATGGTAAACAATATTTAATTAAAAGTTTAAAAAAAAACAAATTTTTTTTTTGTAATTCGTACATAATTACAATTACAATTTTATAATTTTGCATAACTCGAACAAATAAAATTCGGTTCAATGGAAATTATACATCTAATGAAATTCGATTAAATTAAAATTCTAACAATTTTTAGAATTTACTCCTGCGTCTCAATAAATAAATATTTCAATTTTTTTCTTTGGTTTCTATTTAAATCTTCTCAGCACAAATTCTTTTTAGAAACTCATTTTTTACGCTAGTTTATTATTTATCGAGAGATAATGACACAAAAAAATTTCAAAGTGGACACTTTGTCTTCAACTTTTCAATGCAAATTTATTTAAAAAAAAAAAAAAAAATATATTAAAGCGTTGTCATGTTAAATAAAGATATTTTTTTCACTTATTCAGTTTTTCTTTAATTTAATCAATTTTTGTCAGTTATTACTGTTTGAATAATAACAAGTATTATATTTTATATTCGATAATGGTAATAATAATTTTTTATTTATTAATGAAACATTGAAATTGTGATTAAAAAAAAAAAAAAAAAAACAAAGAGAAATAATAATTTAGTATATCATTTTGAACGAGATAAAAATGGTAATTTGTATAATGAATATTACAGTGTTGCGAGTGTGAATTATATCCGACCAAAAGTTTAAAATAGGAAGTGCATAAGGTATATAGATAGAAATATGTAACTTATACAAATATTAGTATTCAGATTGTCTTACGTGAATGTTTTTGAGACTCGCGCAAAGTAAAAGTCGTGCCCCATATTTTACATACAATAGTTTTCATTAATGAATTTTTAATTAATGAAAGAAAAAATATAAATTTTTAATTAACGAATATGAAAAAAAAAATGAATTTTCACTTATGCATTTTTAATGCATTTGGAAAATTAATTTCATTTTCATAAAAAAAAAAACACAAAAAACAATTTGATAATAAAATTTACTTCGAAATCTATGTTAACTCTGTTATTATTATTTCATCTGTTTGTGATAAATTAATAAAAAAAAAAGAAAAGAAAAATATTTTGTTATATCTCTACCTTATAAATAATAATATTAATATTATTAAGGATTCAAGAAATAAATCGAAATTCGCAAACTTAATTTAGATTTTAAAAAATTAATTCTGTTGTCAATTTTATAATTTATAATATTAAAAAAATAATTTAATAATTATGAATTAAAAAATTAATAATTTTTTCTGTTAGTGAATATTTTTCTTTTCTTAATATGATTAAATGCGTTTTATTACGAGTTTTGCTAATTAGATTGTCAAGAGAAACAGAAAAAAAAAATAAGAATGATTACACATTATTTAACTCTAATTTATATACAATTATGTAATAATAAATAGGTGGTGATATTTTATAAAAAAAAATTTTTTTTTTTTCGTTTTTATAGGTTTACGCACACTCTTCGTTATATTTATTACATATACTGCAAATGTGTGGGATTATTGTTAAAGATGTATTCTCTTTAAAAGCCAGTATATTTATTTAAAAAAAAAAAATGAATGAAAAAAAGTATTTCTACGTAAGATATAAAAAATCTGGCAGCCCCCTGCGGGGGCGGCCACATTCTCATCACGCGCTTCGCGCGTAGGGGCTCGCTTCGCTCGCTAGTTTGAGCGCGCCCCGGGGCGCGCGAAGGATAATCGTCCCGCTTCGCGGTCCGATATTATTACGCGCTTCGCGCGTTTTGTTTGTTTATTACAATTCAAAACCTATTAGCATTAATTACTTTTTAACTACACTCTGTAATACAAAAATTTTCCTATTAAATTTAAAAATTGTATTAATTGTACTACCAGAAAGTAGTTGAATGACCCAAGAATCTATTTGGTAGAATGAGATTTTGTAGTTGTTTTAGACTTTGTAGTTGATTTAATTAATTTTGAAGTAAAATGTCAAGAAGAAAGAAATTATTTTTATTTATTTTATTAAAAAGAATAAAATTAATTACACACAGAGTTCAAATAAGTAAAAAAGTAGTTATTTTAAAAGTGGATGTTCATATAATCGACTTGTTTTGAAAAATTTATTAGAAACAACTCATAGTCTTTATTAAAATGCGTTAAATTAAATTATAGAAATAGGTAAGGTTTAAAGGTATTAGAATAAATTTTTTATCGGGCACTGAAGAATGACGGCACTGTAGCTGATCAAACTTAGTTCCTTAATATTGCGCCGTGGATTGGCCAGGTCTTTGTAATTAACGAAAATCGACAAACCAAATTATTTACTAAAATAAGATATTCCGCTTTGAGCTAATTTCAATTGAGTAAAAGAAAAAATTAATTGAAGTGCGATTCCAGGTGAGATTTTGACTTTTTCGGAGTAGGTTAACCGATTGCAATGAAACTTTGGAATTTTGTTATATATAGTAAGACTAATCTTTAACGTAAATTTCAGCTTAAAATATTTGTTAGTTTACGAGATTTGCAATAATAACAAAAAATGCGAGTTTAACTTATTTAATTTTAATAATTTACGTGTATAAACAATTGCGATTTCTGCTAGTTGACGTGCAGACGTCATTGCGCACGCAGCATTCTCCTATAACTAGCTGACGTGATTCGTGGACTAAATTGGCTACGTGAGAATGCTGCGTGCGCAATGTCGTTAATGTTCCTTTGGAACATTAAAGAAAACACAGGTAAGATCATTTTAGGGTTTGAGTGATTGAATTTTAGATTGTCGCGTGAAATTTATTCAATTATTATTTAATAATTTTTTTAGTTGTAAAATTATAAAAAATTGTTCTGAAAGAGATTTATTCCTCTCATTTTCCTTGACATTTTAAAAAAAGTAGACCTCAATCCGATTATTAGAACGGAAGATATAGCACTTTAAAATTTTTTGTTATTATTGCAAATCTCGTAAACTAACAAATATTTTAAGCTGCAATTTACGTTCAAGATTAGTCTTGCTATATATGAGGGGCTGATAGTAAAAATGGTTTAAAATAACATTGGGAGCAAAAGTGGGATAAGTGACTTGGGAGCAAAAACGGGTTAAAATGATTCGTGTAATTTATTGATAAATTCATTATATTATCGATTAAAAAATATTAATTATAATAAAATATGCATTTTTTCCTATTGTTAATATTTTTTAATCGATAATATAATGAATTTATCAATAAATTACACGAATCATTTTAACCCGTTTTTGCTCCCAAGTCACTTATCCCACTTTTGCTCCCAATGTTATTTTAAACCATTTTTACTATCAGCCCCTCATATAACAAAATTCCAAAGTTTCATTGCAATCGGTTAACCTACTCCGAAAAAGTCAAAATCTCACCTGGAATCGCACTGAAAATTTAAAAACACTAAAAAAAAGAACTTTAAAGTAAAAGCATTTTTTAAAGCAACAAATTTATTATATGAGGTTTTGCTCTCATGTTTTTATTCATAAAAATTTTTTTGTACAATTTATATAAGTGAAATTTTTGGTTTTTATAAATTAAATTTCATTTTCTTAAAGTACTTTGACTTTAAGGATAACATTCTCATCACGGCACTCGCGTTTCACGCTCGAAAATTAGAAACATACAATAGGAAAAGGAGGCATGCATTAACCTATTAACGAAATTTTTACAGGTAATTTGAGGCTCTCTCAAATAGTGTACTAAAAGAACCGAAAATTTTTAAATAAACAATTTACAAGCATTAAAAAAAAGATTTTTTTAGAATTTTTGTTCAGTTTTTATAATTTTTCAAATCTTATCCCTTCAGAATACCTTTAAATGCTAAAAATATGGTGTCAAAAATATTCCAATACGCCATTTTGAATTTTTAAAAACTGACTTCAGAATCGTAATGAGCGACCTACACACCAAGGAGTAGAAAGATTTATTTAAATTTGTTAAAAAGATTGTTGAAAAATGAATTTTCTCTTAAAAAATATCAATGTTTATACTTAGTTAATTCATAATTCTTTATAATTTCGCCTGCAACACTTATTATTTTTGTTTCACTTCACAATGCTTCCGTTATAGTGGAAAAAATGTTTTAGGAATACTGCTTCAAAAACTTTAAATCTAGAGATGAAAGTTGCTAAAAGAAAAGGTGGCAAAATAGGTTAAAACTGGGACGCAAAAAATTAATGAGTAAAATAACCGAATTTTAAAATAATCGAATCAATGTTAAATTATTCCGTTATGATGGGCCAGCCATTTTGGATTTTTTAAATCTAACCTCAAATTCGAATTCAGGGACCTCGAAAACAACAGTGTACTCATTGATACTTAAATAGAAAAAGATTTACTATTTTCTTCAAAGGTGTACAAATACGTTCAAAATCACAAAAACAGAACGTCTTTTTATTGGAATATATATGAGCCATGGATTGTCAAGGGGTTAGATAAAAAAAAGGGCTAAAAATAAAAGAAGTTCACTAAATTCAAAAGTTAGCAATCGAAAACATACAATATTCTAGTAAAAACAGTGCAACATGAACTAATCAGAAACATTATGAAAAAAATTGCAATTTTTGGAAATGGATAGCAATGGTTCACTTATATAAAAAAAAAAAAAAAAAAAAAATAAAATTCGAAATATTATGAGTAAGTTACTTTAATTTATGTTAATTGAAGGTGGTTTAAAGAGAAATAATACATATTTGAACACATTTTTTCAAAATAAAGTGATTTTGCTCTGCATTTTACCCATTTTTCATCGGTTTTTGTCATTTTTTGTCTTTTTTTAAAAAAGTGGTATAACTTTTTTGTTTTAATCGCTATTAAAAATTGTCAAAAGAAAAAAGTGTTTATTTTTAGTCGTAATTTTCGAAAAAAAATTAAAAAAATTTTTTTTTTGAAAAATGTGAATTTTTGAAATTTTTAAAAACTCAAAATTTGAATAATTTTGTTGATTTTTGATGAAATCATCTGGCCAACGAACTCAGGCGAGATTTTGGTACACTTAAAGTGTATACCAAATTTGAGGTCGATTAATTAAAATTTACTCAAGTTATCGTCGAGACAACTTTTTTGTCTACAGACATACAGACATACATACATACATACATACATACAGACAAACATTTGTTTAAAACCTATTTTTTTGGCATCAGGATGTCTTGAAACGTGGAGATTCACAAGAATTAGATATTGGTCAAAATCGGGCAAATGTAATACTTTCTCATTATGATGAGAATGTAAAAACAAATTTTTAATTAAAAAAATTCAAAAAAAAAAAAAAATAAAATAAAATTCGAAATATTATGAGTAAGTTACTTTAATTTATGTTAATTGAAGGTGGTTTAAAGAGAAATAATACATATTTGAACACATTTTTTCAAAATAAAGTGATTTTGCTCTGCATTTTACCCATTTTTCATCGGTTTTTGTCATTTTTTGTCTTTTTTTAAAAAAGTGGTATAACTTTTTTGTTTTAATCGCTATTAAAAATTGTCAAAAGAAAAAAGTGTTTATTTTTAGTCGTAATTTTCGAAAAAAAATTAAAAAAATTTTTTTTTTGAAAAATGTGAATTTTTGAAATTTTTAAAAACTCAAAATTTGAATAATTTTGTTGATTTTTGATGAAATCATCTGGCCAACGAACTCAGGCGAGATTTTGGTACACTTAAAGTGTATACCAAATTTGAGGTCGATTAATTAAAATTTACTCAAGTTATCGTCGAGACAACTTTTTTGTCTACAGACATACAGACATACATACATACATACATACATACATACAGACAAACATTTGTTTAAAACCTATTTTTTTGGCATCAGGATGTCTTGAAACGTGGAGATTCACAAGAATTAGATATTGGTCAAAATCGGGCAAATGTAATACTTTCTCATTATGATGAGAATGTAAAAACAAATTTTTAATTAAAAAAATTCAAAAAAAAAAAAAAATAAAATAAAATTCGAAATATTATGAGTAAGTTACTTTAATTTATGTTAATTGAAGGTGGTTTAAAGAGAAATAATACATATTTGAACACATTTTTTCAAAATAAAGTGATTTTGCTCTGCATTTTACCCATTTTTCATCGGTTTTTGTCATTTTTTGTCTTTTTTTAAAAAAGTGGTATAACTTTTTTGTTTTAATCGCTATTAAAAATTGTCAAAAGAAAAAAGTGTTTATTTTTAGTCGTAATTTTCGAAAAAAAATTAAAAAAATTTTTTTTTTGAAAAATGTGAATTTTTGAAATTTTTAAAAACTCAAAATTTGAATAATTTTGTTGATTTTTGATGAAATCATCTGGCCAACGAACTCAGGCGAGATTTTGGTACACTTAAAGTGTATACCAAATTTGAGGTCGATTAATTAAAATTTACTCAAGTTATCGTCGAGACAACTTTTTTGTCTACAGACATACAGACATACATACATACATACATACATACATACAGACAAACATTTGTTTAAAACCTATTTTTTTGGCATCAGGATGTCTTGAAACGTGGAGATTCACAAGAATTAGATATTGGTCAAAATCGGGCAAATGTAATACTTTCTCATTATGATGAGAATGTAAAAACAAATTTTTAATTAAAAAAATTCAAAAAAAAAAAAAAAAAAAATAAAATTCGAAATATTATGAGTAAGTTACTTTAATTTATGTTAATTGAAGGTGGTTTAAAGAGAAATAATACATATTTGAACACATTTTTTCAAAATAAAGTGATTTTGCTCTGCATTTTACCCATTTTTCATCGGTTTTTGTCATTTTTTGTCTTTTTTTAAAAAAGTGGTATAACTTTTTTGTTTTAATCGCTATTAAAAATTGTCAAAAGAAAAAAGTGTTTATTTTTAGTCGTAATTTTCGAAAAAAAATTAA